TGAACTTTGCAAAACTGATAATTGCAACTTATCTATCAAATACTGATCATGAAGAAGTTGACACTCTCCTTATGGCCCATGTCTACTACAGTGCTGCAGACAAGACAAAGGAGTTCAATGTTGAGAGAATTTGTATTCAGTCTGATGATACAGAATGTTGCTTGCAAAGAAGGATGAGAGTTAAAAAGAGCTCTTAAAGTTTCTTATGTCCTTCAAGGTAGCATTCTAAATTACTATATGAATCTCAAAGTGCATTACCTATTTGAAGATATATCAAAGATGGGTGTCTTGTACCAGTACTCACAAACAGACCTTCGTAGCAACACAAGAAACATAATATGTCCTTGGCAATTCGCAAATGTAAAATGGCAAAAGGCAGCGAAAATTGCTAAACAAAGTTTCTAGTCAAGGGTGTTTTGCTACTTGTCCATGTGGCAATAAACAACATAGTGCACATCGTTGGACAATATTTAAGGATGAGTTTCTCAGAACTATAAAAATTATTTAGAGATCTTACATATCTGAATAGCTTGTGGTGACATGAGCAACTTAGACCTTTAAAATGCTTCCTAGTCAACTGGTACCCAAGACAAGTCGTACCCAAGACAACTGGTACCCAAGACAAGTCGTACCCAAGATAACTGGTACCCAAGTTATTTCCAGTATTATGGGTGCATATTAGGAAAACAAATTGAGTTTGTATAATTATGTTTTCATGTTATAATGTGACTCAAATAAGCCTCAATATTTTTTTGAATTTAGAAGACATTTTTTCTCAATGGATTAAGTAAAGCATATTGATTTAACTTGAATCACTTTTTTACTAATAAAACAAGTGCTTGGAGTGCTTGTTCACAACATTTTCTGTCAAACATATATATAAATAAATATAATTACAACAGTGACTTTTCTACAAATGAATCAAACAATTAATTTGAGCATTTTGAGAAAGTTTAAAGGAAGTTTAATCTGTTAATTTTTTTCCAATTGGAACTAAATTGGATTATGCACATGCATACTAAGTGTAATAGTATATCATGTATGAATAAGTACCAAAATAATATTTGATATTAATATTATACTATATTATTACTTGTATACTATTATTATATTATTCAAAATATTTTATTGCTAAATTTCATGAATATGACTTCTGATAATATGAAATCCTAGACAAATAGATTATCTGTTTAATAAGAAATTAGGCCCAAGATTTGATGAATCAATACATTTATAATAATACCATCTTCCAAGATGAATTAAATCTGACACTTGTTCCAAACACTCATAAACATACAATATTTAAAAAATGATTATGTATGTGTCGAATAAACATATATCTCTTCACTCGAACATCCAATATAAAATAATAGTCAAAATAAATTGACACTCAAAGCTCAAAATGTTACAAAATTATACCAATTTCTTCTGAAAATTCTTCAAACTTCTGAACAGTATGTTACAGTTATAATATGTATATCTTTACACATCCCCAGTCCAACACTTGATTCAAAACAAAACATATGCTTGGGTACGACTTGTCTTGGGTACCAGTTGACCAGTTACCTTTAAAATGACTTAAATGCAGCTCTAACATAGAACCAGGGAGATTTGAAAAATCAGGCTGTTGCTGGATTAAGTTCGAGAGTTGTGAACAATCATGTCTATATAAAGACATATCCTTTGATTCATATGAGAGTAAACTGTGAAATTACAAAATTATTTCGCACTATGCTATTTTTGAGTAATCTTTTAAAAATATAGTAGTGTAGTAATTTTATCTCTAATATGTATATTTGTGTTTAAAACACATTTTCCATGCTTTGAAGATAACAAGACACAAGTTGAATATATATGATCTAAAATATGTCAACTAATCACCATTCAACTAAAAATATAAACAACTATTGCTGAAAGTGAAACATTGGTCATTTTGCCCATTTATGTGTCATTTTTGATTTTAGTGTGCTAATAAATATGCTAAACTATCTTAAACTTGAAAAGTTTAAGAATATTAACATGCAATAATAACATTTGTGTTGGTTTTCTCATTTGTTGGAGGGCAGATCTTAGACCTCTAATAAAAACATTCATTGTCTTACATACATTTTCTTTAAGTTAACCAACTATGGCAAACGAAGTATTAAAACTCAAGGGGGAATAATCTGGAATTCAACTCCAGATGTTATCAAAAATTCAAAAACCATTTTTATTTTTAAGCGAGCCTTCAAAAGACATGTAATTAGTCTCTATGATTAGTACCCTGTACAAATTTTTAACAGATGCACCTTTTTCCATTTAACTATTCTACATCATTAAAATGTTTTATTACATCTTTTATAATGTACATCATTTTTATTTTTATTTGTTTCCCAGTTTGGCTTACATAATTTATACTTTGAGACACTTTGTAACATCAATAATAAATGTAACTAACAATATGCCATTTTTAAATATTTTAGCTTGTGATAAGACATACACCCACTAGGGTGTCATTATCACTTATATGTATATATGTTTATATGATTTTAATAAATAAAAAAAAAATAAAAAAATAAAAAATCAGAGAAGACAGATTCAATAAAAAACATATATGAATCTATCATCAAAGAATTATAATTGTGGAAAATGATATGCTACTGCTAAATGCAGAATGCTAAAAATGCCAAATTTTAGACACATGTAATCAAATGAAGGTTACATTAAATAATACATAGTATTGATAGAGAATAGCTACAATTTTGTTAAAGTTGATGATTTGAAATTACTTTTTCATTTACATAAATAGGGCAGGGGAGACATGAAAGCTATAATATCAACATTGGTTGTCCAATATACATTTTCTATATCCTAAATGGAAGAAGACATGTACAAGAACAGATTTGACCAAGAATGCACCAACCAGTCAGCATAAAACTCAAGATATATGGACCTATACTATATACGTTATTGCTGAAAGCGAAAATGAAAAAAAAGCCAAGTTTTGTCCTTAAATATCTCATTTCTAGGCATTAGAATACTAATGATGGTCCTGAAACATCAGAAAAAGATTAAATAATACATAGTATTGACATAGAATATGTACAACTTTGTAAAAGTTCATAATTTGAAGTTATTTTTCTTTTTATTAATATTTCTGGTCATTTTTCCTAATAAATGGGGTAGGGGAGACCTGAAAGCTCTACTATGAACATTGGTCATCCACTATACATTTTTTATATCTTAAATGAAAGAAGACATCTACAAGAACAAATTTGACTAAGAATGCACCAACCAGTCAGCATTAAACTCAAGATATAAGGACCTATATGGTATTGCTGAAAGCGAAAATGGTCAAAAAAGCCATGTTTTGTCCTTAAATGTCTCATTTCTAGGCACTAGTTTACCAATAAAGGTTCTGAAATATCTTAAAAACATTAAATAACACATAATATTGATATAGAATAGCTACAACTTTATTAAAGTTTATAGTTTCAAGTTATTTTATATTTTCATATTTTTCTTTAATTTTTCATGATAAATGGGGTAGGGGAGATCTGAAAGCTCTAATATGACCATTGGTGGTCCACTATACATTTTCTATACCTTAAATGGAAGAAGACATCTACAAAAACAAATTTTTTTACAATTGCAACAACCAGTAAGCATAAAACTCAATATATGAGGAACTATATGTTACTGCTGAAAGCTAAAATGATTTTCAAAAATGCCAAGTTTTGTCCTTAAATGTCTCATTTCTAGGCACTAGTATACCAATAAAGGTTCTGAAATATCTGAAAAACATTAAATAATACATAATATTGATATAGAATAGCTACAACATTGTTAAAGTTTATAAATTCAAGTTATTTTATATTTTCATATGTTTCAGTAATTTTTCATAATAAATGGGGTAGGGGAGATCTGAAAGCTCTAATATGCCCATTGGTGGTCCAATATACATTTTTTGTATCTTAAATGGAAGAAGACATGTACAAGCACAGCTTTAATCAAAATTGCAACAACCAGTCAACATTAAACTCAAGATATAAAGAACTATATGTTACTGCTGAAAGCGAAAATGATCAAAAATGCCAAATTTTGTCCTTAATTATCTTATTTCTAGACACTAGTACACTAATGAAGGTCCTTAAACATCTGAAAAACATTAAATAATACATAGTGTTAATATTAAATAGCTAGAGTTTTGTTTGAGTTGAACATTTTGACTTTTTGTAGTTTCCATTTTTAGCCAATTTTTTTCTAAAAAATTCAAGGTATGTCTTCCTCGGACCAATATTTAGATATGTTCGCAAGAGTTATATGCTTCGCAGGCGAAATCCCTTGTACAGGAAACCCTAATAGAATGAAAAATACAGAGAAACTCCATCCAGCTCACAAAGTCATTTTTTGCACAATTCTCACACCTTCCACCCCGAGTAATTACGACTGCTATTGATAATTGAAAAACAACTCTCTTGAGGGATTTAACAAGATCGTCCAAATACAGAATCTACATACCCCTACCCAAAGATATTAATCATTCTTAGAACTAAACATTAAGCTCTTTAAAATCGATTTTTGCAATCTGAAAGTAGGCACATCAATCAACCAAGTGTATAGTACAGTTAGGTAGGGGATCACTTAACTTAAGTAAAGGAAAACTAGATGAAATAAGAGAACCTAACATTATATTTCCATATGGATTATCCTGCCAATATGCAGTGGTGAAATCTAAAATGTGTTTTTACTGAAACATAAAAGCATTCCAAAATAAAACTTCATTTAAAGCGTTCTTTAGAAATAACATTGAAGGGAATTACCGTAACTGATATTTCAAATGATTTGGATTCACCATCTACAAAAACATTCACAGGGAAACTGATTTTAGGGCGATATGACATGATGGGCTTGTTATATTAAATGAAGTGTTATCTTGTCTTTGAAACCTCGTTTTGGACGTTCCAATTACTATTTTACATGCCTTAAACCATTAACGATAGCTGATTTACTGTTTGTAGGAAGAAAAGAATCAAGTCCTTGTTGCACACACTTGGTTGGATCAGGTACATTTTTATTTTTATCGAATTACCTCAAGAATCAAGAATATACCTTTATTTCCGGAACTACTTTCTACCTATCACTTTGAAATTAGTAAGTCATTACCCCGATGGTATGATTAGGTTGACTTATACGATGGTTGTTCAATTAACATTGATAAATATAAGAAGATACCTTACAAACTGTTATTAATGAATCTGTATTGGTATAACTATGTGAATCCAAAAACCCTAGTGACGGTTAGTGCATTAGTATGTACCCTTTTCCTTACCCAAATTTTGTTCCGTTGTATTGCGGATGCGTCATTTGTTGATGTACGAAGACTTTTGGTTATGTGTTACTTTAAGCCTTGAGCATACACAGTCTCTAGTCACAGTCAACATACATATCCTTGAAGTCATATTATTTTTACAATATAGGGCTGGAGGGATGAGTTATTGATGTGGAACAAAGATGATTATGGTGGTCTACAGACAATCAATGTACCATGTCACAAAATCTGGCTCCCTGATATCGTCTTATATAATAAGTAAGTGGGCGACGGCGTTAATTATCAATTATTGTTTGTGCATCATTATTAAACATTCACAATATTAAAAATTCTTCAAATGGTTCTAGTACAACCAACCTGACAACCAATACTATCGTAGAGCATACCCAGGCCGATGGACCATGTTGGTATTCCTAAGCAAGGATTGGTACTATCATCTCAAGGGGAAGGAGGTTACATATTGGCGGATTGTTTTTATTTATTGCTTTGCTTTATAATAATCTGGTTTTCCCTTAGCTCCTGTTAGTTACATACAGGCTGTCAAAAAACAGGACCGATGAAAAGTTGATTAACTTGGTTAATCTTGCATACTAGTATATTCTGTCTTGAAATTTCTGAATTATTTAGTTCCTCAAATGTGAATTTTGTCGTGAAAGTTTAATGAAAAGCTGCTCATTGAGTCAAAAACTGCAGTACACTGGTACCTTTCATTTAAAAATAGAGCGGAGAGGTGCCCACTTTGAATATGTTTTGTAAAGTACTGTAGATAATAGGTAGATTATCAACTTTTTCTTCGTCCCCGCTTTTTGGACACCCAGTATTTAGGTGAATATTCTAGTTATCTTTTATCAATTTTGCTTTGCTATGTATTCTCATAGTGGTATTCCATCCTTGTCTCTACATGTATAATTTTATTCTTGTAGTGCTGCTGAGAGGATGGATGACTATATGCCAGCACTTGCAATGGTGAAGAATGATGGCTCTGTCTTTTGGCCTATTCCCTCAAAAATCAGGAGTACGTGTAAAATCGATGTCACGTACTTTCCATTTGATGAGCAGGTTTGCAAACTTAAGTTTGGTTCATGGACATACAACGGCTTCCAGGTGGATATTGTTAACCGTTCGGACCAGGTAGACCTTCAGAATTATGTCGAGAACGGAGAATGGCAGCTTAACGAGATCAGAGTTGAGAGGAATGTTGTCAAATACGGATGCTGTCCAGAACCATTTCCGGATGTAACATTTCATATTGTAATTCGGAGAAAGACCTTGTATTACATGTACAACGTCGTCCTGCCTTGTCTGTTAATGTCAGGGCTGACGCTGTTGGAATTCTGGCTTCCTCCGGAGTCGGGTGAGAAGATTACATTGGGGATCACTATTCTCTTAGCTTTCTCTGTGTTTACTCTGACGATCAGCGAAAAGCTACCCGAGACGTCTGAGTTTATCCCATTGATTAGTAAGTAGTATCTTTGGTCATGTAAAAGGATGTATGAGGTTATTTGAAGTAATATCAGTTTAGACCTTAAGTAAAGGTACTCAGTGCAAAGTATAATGATATAAATGTAAGCAAACTATAATTAAGATTTTCACAACATTTGCTTGCTGTTCACCATTTCCACTACATCATTGTACTAATTGTGCAGGAGTAATAGTGCATTTTGTTGTTAAAGTCTAAATTGGAATAAGTCACAAGAAAGATGGCGGTTCAGATTTTTTTCTCCGATCCCTTCCTAATAAAAAAATCATTTAGAACATGGTACCAATTCTCAATCATATTTACTCTACGCAAACCGTACAGCGGTCGTAACTTCCCAAATTCGAGAGAAATGCGCCGCATAAAATAAAAGGACGAGCAGTACGCTGTAGACTTTCTATATCGATTTTGTGAAGCTACGGCCGCCGTAGAAAAAATGTAAATGAGGCCTAATTACCACATCCTGATGAAAAATATGTTGATCGAGTATAAATAAGTAGTAGAACGTACGTTTCAAAGTACACCTCAAAATATTCTCTTTTTCAGGTATTTATGTCACTACAGTTATGTCAATGGCTGCTCTCAGTGTCATGGCAACGGTTGTCGTTCTGAATCTGCATCATCGAGAAAATGGGAAGGTAGTACCTCGATGGCTGAAAAGAATTTTGTCTTCTAAATTTTCGTCTTTTATATGTGGCTCGTGTACAAAGACAATAAAGCCCAAAACTGACGGTCAAAGGTCAACCAAAAACCACGTGATCCTTGAAAATATATCTATAACATCAACGGGCGAAGCGTATGTATCACATAGCCCTAAAAGTATTTCAAATGCTATCAGTGCAGGCCATTTTGAACGTTCAGTGTCATTTAAAAACTGTTTAAACGATACCAACCACACCAAAGAAGAAAAATCAGAAAACAATACGTCATCTTCTAAACAAGAAGGTACAAGAGTAAATAAAAAGCTAAGTCCGCCACTAAGACAGCTTGAACAGGATAAAGAGTTTCTTAAAATACTTACGAGAATTCTTGAGAAATATGAAAAAGATGAACGAACACGTGAGATTAAACAAGAGTGGCAGAAAGTAGCAAGACTTTTAGACCGCATTCTTTTTTGTGTGTTCGTCTCTGGAACGACAGTATCTGCATTTATGTTGCTCGGGGTCCTTCCAATGGCTAGATGGAAGTAGAAAACAATAATAATTGAATATTCCGAGTTATCCAATTTGACTATATCTAAATTGTAAATAGAGTCCTCTTATTTGCTTGATAAATGGAAGTAGAAGAAGTCGAAAAATGGAAGTAGAATTGTCAATTCTGGAAGTGAAAACAGTATGAAGTTAATACATACGTGATCACTCAATGGCTAAATGAAAGTAGATAGACTATGAGGTGATGAGGGGAAAAATGAGACCCCTACAATGGTTAATGAAGTGGAAATAGTATGAAGTGAATACATACGTGATCATTCAATGGCTAAATGAAAGAAGAAAGACCATGAGGTGATGAGGTAAAAATAAGACTCCTACAACGGTTAATGAAGTGGAATAGTATGAAGTGAATACATACGTGATCATTCAACGGCTAAATGAAAGTAGAAAGACTATGAGGTGATGAGGTGAAAAATAAGGAAATAGTATAAAGATAAAGAATTCTGAATATATTTATAATATCAGGCTATATAAATCGAACACAATTCATTTACTGCCTAATCTTCTATATATTACAGTGTGTACTGGCAAGCAGTCCACACGATCCGTAAACAAGTATTGTAAACGTCTGTGACAAGTCATGATTTTAGGGATAATTATGTTCAACGTGATCTGTATAGATATAATATTATGGCCAATGGACTGCAATAGAATCCATTTCAAATTATTTGCTTTGGAGAGAGTGTTATTGCTTGATGAGTCGCTATAGAATGAACTACACGCCTATTTACACAATTTTCCTTTCTATTGCACGGGTGTTAAGCCATGATGATACCATGAGCACATGCTTTGAGGATCTGAGTTGTTTGAACCTACCGCCGAGCTCACCTTTATATAAAGACCCGTTACACAGTCATGATACCGCCGAGCAAGCTCATTGTATCATCGGGTCTTCTTTACCCCCGTGTATTGGGGAACCTGTACACGTGTATGAATATAACTGAGTATCTTATCTTCTAGTGACACTTCTAGTGACACCCAGTTAAAGACATACATATCAAATCTTCGTTGTGATACATCCAAACTGAAGGGTAGCCTTAACAAGAAATCTGGTGGCTATTCTGAATGTCCATTTTGTACAACCTTGCCTGATGAGGAAGATTTATCACATGTTATTTTGAATTGTGCTTCCTTTACAAAAGAAAGAGCAGAAATGCTCAAATCTATTATGATTAATATCAATATACCGTACTTCAACAACCTAAGTGATGACCTTAAAGTTCAAAAATTATTTAACAATGACTGTCTTTATAGATAAATAAAGTCAGCGTATTACCAGAGGAACTTAAAAGGAACTTACACTTATACATTATATTTTTTTCCTGCTATTATTGATAATGTACATTCAGCTCTGCATTATATATGCATACAAATGTTAGTTTGTACTTGGTAAGACATATTTTGTTGGGCCAATAAAATTAACTTAAACTTGCATTGAAAATGAAGTCAAGTTACATTTCCATCAATATTATAAATATTCTCCTCGCTGGTTATGGAAATAAAAATTCAAACATAAAGAGGCACGTATAGTTCAATCACGAGGGAGCTAAGGTTGCCAAACTTATGGAGGGGAGTGTATGATGCGAATTTTCAATAAAATCTACTTTCGATAATTGGAAGTTGTCAAGTATTCTCTCCCATCGCATACAGCCTTCCCTTGAATCCTAACATGTAGATGTGTTTACTTGTGTAGGAGTATCCCGGGAGGGGTACACGTGAGTTGGATGGACACAACACGTAGCAACGGTGAAAGACAACATTGTTTACCAACGTAATAATAATGACTCTATTTATAGTCTATATGATTGCATAAGTGGAGAGAATGCAAAAACAGCATTTATGAAAAGACGAAGTGATAATTGAAATTGTGAATGAAAATGTGCGCATATTGGCAAAATAGATTTGGATACCAAAGTGGAATGTCGAGCCATACACGAAGGAGTATTGGAGAAGTGCTGCACTGAAGAGATCTGAAATTTAAAAATGTCAGTAGAGACTGTATTAGCAGGAGTTTCTTTAGGAATTGGAATTATTCTCTTTCCTATCTCGGTAGGAGGTAGCATCAAAGCTTCGTATAGGATACTTCGTACTAGTGCTTTGAGGAACAGATGCCTCCCTCATCTTATACTACTTATCACTAGCGCCATTACATCATTGACGATTATTTGCCTTGAATTTATCCCAATTTTGCTCCTGAGTTTAGGGATCCATATCCAGGTATTGACAGTGTTATGGATGTTCCTGATGCCTTCATCAAAAGCGTTGATGTTTTCATCAATGATCTACATAGGCGTTGAGCGATTGAGACGCTGCCACGCTGCATTTATGCCAACTAGTTCCCCACTCCCAGGATTATTCTTTATCGTGGTATCCAGTTTAAGTGTGCTAACTGTGAACATTTATAAGATAGCAAAAATGAACATTGAACACCAATTTGATCTTAGGGCTGGAGTTAACATGACTGGCCCTGTTCAAAGAGACCTCGTTTTGCCTGTAGATGAACAGCATACGATTATGTATAGCATCACTCTTGTAGCTTTATCCCTAATCTACATATTGGCCGTCGTCTACATTAGACGTCAGGGTAAAAGGGTTGATGCGAATCGAACTGTAAGCACACCCGTGTGTAGTCGCCCAGATCCCAATATGTTCTACATGTCCTCCTTACAGCGTCCTGAAATTGTACCAAGAGAACGAATCAGCAGTTTAGGAACAGATGACATGACGTGCCCAGCGTTTAGCTCGAATGGGACACGTCTTCGCGATGATGACTCTGAAACTGTACGGAAGACACCCGTTGTTTCACTGCGCTCATCAGACGAAGAGCAACCGAGCGCGACCATATCATATATCAAAGTTGCACCATCTTGTTATTCAAGATCGTCTGCCTCTAGCCATGACACATACTGGCCAAAAACTCCAAGAGTGAAGAAAAAAAGGCGACGAATGGCTAAAGCAAAGGTTGTACCTTTAAATTCTAAAATCAAAGAAACATCGGACATCCCAAAGCAGGGACTTGGAAAAATCGGAGCAGCTTTACGCAAGTTGTCCTCTGTAAGCTTGTTTTCTATTGATCCAATTCTAGAGGTGTATACAAGCCAAGAAGAAAATGAAATAATGCAAAAGATAAGACTGCGACCCCTCAGGCACACTAGGCGCAGCGCTGGGAATGTGTGGCATTCTGGAGAACGGGGGCTTTCGCCTGTATATTCCGAGACTACAATAGGGACAGATCAAATTAACTCATCACATACTTCGACCAGTTCAACCCATTTTACAGACCAAGTACAATCGGCACAAGGAAGTCAAGTCACCGATCCAACAGGCGCTGATCAACCAGGAGACGTTTGTTATACATGTGGTTCGAAAACAAAGAAATATAACACGAGGCGAAAGAGGGGGCACAAACGATCAAAGGTACTCAACAAACAAACCTCGAAGACTAGCATGAGAAGCGAAAATAGTAGAGCCTCAAATGCGTCATCGTGTTTAACCTCGTGCTCAGATAGATATGGTAGCTCAAGAAGCAAAGAAGACTCGGGTTGCTTAGATGATCTTCATTTACACAATAGCCATGTGGCGTCGGATAGGAAGCGCAGTAATAAACATTGTAAAGTGAGTAGCATATCAGCAGATATGGAGGAAACATCATTTGGCGTTGGCACACACGCAGCTAAGCAATCAAACGATGAGTTTATTGGGACTTGGGAACAGTTGTCAACTGATATTCAAAATCCAACATTGTTTCGAAGAGCTCATTCTCTGGTCAATCTTAACCCTAGAAAATTGGATTATTCCACATTATCCAAAAGTTTTCCGTCTGAAAATGAACCCCCATACGAGAGTCATACCAGTCATTGTGTTGTCATGGAGTCGTGTTCCACACAAACTGATGATCGGGTTGGGGAAGAGAAAGATCAAATTGCCCCTTTTAAAACCCCTTCTTCCAAAAGACCAGTCATCATAAAAATAACAAGGCCTTCGCAAGCAAGTTCTGATACAATGATAAAACTACCTTCAAACAAGCTTAGGAACATATCTGAATATCATGCTGATTCTGTAGAAAGGAGGTTATCGAAGGTATCTATAGAACTCCCCTTTAGCCCAACACATTTAAATCGTGGCTCGTGTGGTAGTGCTTCGTCTGATGTCGATTTCTACCTTCAGAGTCCAGGATCGGGTTTGTTTTCCGGGCGTAGTGGCAGCAGCGTTCGGAGCAGTAGGAGCACTAGAAGTAGTAAACGGACCATGTCCAACACCTCGTGTACAATTAGCAAGAAAGACACAATGAAATCTATAAAAACAAGTTGTATTTTAATGGGCATGTTCTTGGTGTTATACCTTCCCCATACCATCATGTTTGCAATGTCAGAGAAACTATCAATGAAAGCCTGGTCAATAATGTGCCCGATGGCAGTCCTACTGGAATTCGTGGCTGTTATGTTAAACTCATATTTTTACGTGTACACCAATAGAGCCGTGATGAGGCGCCTGAGACCTAGATTACGGGGACAGTGATATAGCGCACAACATAAAATATATAATATACACTAATACGGAAAATAACTGATCATTTCAGTATAAAAAATGATGACATTTCTTTTAATGGATGGGAAATGGAGATAACGTTCCACAGCTAGTTTAGGGCGCGATACTACATCGCCCAGTCTTCGGGAAGAGAGTAGTTAAATTAAAACCTAAGCGAAGTAGCCTCCTGAAAAAGAACTAGTCCAGTCTATCATTATTAGACAGAAGAGCATTTGCATCCTAAAGCTGTGGCGTCTCCCCAATCCGAATTGAAACTGGCAGATACGAACGCCTGGCTATCCAAGATAGACTTTGTGTGATTTGCAGTGAAGAGGTCGCACTTGTGGAGGATGAACAGCATGTTATAATGGACTGTAGTAGATATGATTTGTTAACGCGTGATATGTTTCATAAAGTGTCATCTAAATTGACATCATTTCCAGAAAATCACGAAGAACAATTCAATATACTTATGAGTGAGCGTTTCTGCAATTCCATAGATGCGGAAAGAGTTGCACTTCTCAATTTATTTAGAATTGGTAATGATGACATTATATTTCAAACTTTCAAATCAGACAATGATGAAGCAATGATTTTAAAAGCCAAAGCTGTATTTCTAATGTATGCAAAGCGTAACATGCTTATGCAAATGTGATTTTATTGTTAATGCAAAACAAAAATTGTAAATGTACTCACAATATACACTTGTGGTAATAAAGGATACAATACAATATAGACGCCTAAGACTCTTATCTCACGGAGAGATTTGCACTAACGAAGCTTTGCTATTTTAGGCAAAAATCTTGATTTGATTCAAAATGGTTTATTCTGCATTTGGTCCGCAATTTTTGTTGGTATATCATTTTCGTTTCATTGACTAGAAAAATACATGGCACATGCGCGCATGCGTGACTGTAAGTTAAAACCAATCAGATTATATGATATTTTGCGCACGTGAACTATTCACTACTGAGCACTAAACCATTGATGGACTTTCAACAGATGGGCTTTCATGCAACTTCCCATATTAAGTATTGCCTTGGGTTTTCAAAATCGGAGAAAAAATGCTTCCTGTACACATTCCAAGAAAGATCTTATTTTGTACTTTCCATATATGATTAAAGTAATAACTTAGAAATAAAAACTTGATAATTTAATATAAAATGGAATTCATCATAATTATGGCAATAATGAAAGTAAACATTTTCCCTTAAATTATATTTTTATTGGAATGTCTTCTTGAATAATTACCCACAATGCAACATCTGAAGAGATCATTTTTTGATACCTCTTTTTCTTATGGCTCCTTTTGTTTAGTTTTAATGAGATTAAATATGTTTTGTGCTTAAATCATATTCAAAATTGATTTTTCTTCAAGATAATACTAAAACCATATACATTTATCTCAAATTCTTTGAAATATTATCAAAAAGGGGAGCATGGCATTGGTCATTTTGAAGTTCTCATTCTTTTGAAAGCCCATGATTCAGCTCTTTAGAATGTTTTAACTGCTACGCTTCACAGAGATAGGGCAAGACGGTTATCATGCAGCCATAATATGCCATATTTAGTGACTACTTCCTAATAAATGTTATCATATGAGTTATCATATGAGACACATTGCAATTAACACAATGCCGAATAACAAGTGGTGTTGTTAGTTACATGGGTGGGTGGTACACCTCAAAATGTTTATTGATATTAACCGTTGTCAAGTTATTGAGCCTGTTATGAAATATACCGTATACGCAGTGACGTTCGCCAAGTACACAGGCATTATTGAGGTCCACACCTCCACTAAGTTGTGGACCTCGATTACACAGGCGTACTTTAAAATTTTAAATAAAATAAAATATAGTAATAGAAATCGATATATATGAAGATTAATGCTAAATAAAAAAAGTTCTCAATAATTACAACGTTTGAAAATACTTGCAAAGGGCGGGGTGCAATATGGAGCAAATAATATAACAATATCATAGACAGTGAACTTGACAGAAAATCTCATAGTTTAACCTACAAAAACTCAGAATGTAGTATACATAGGTTAATGAGAAGGTACAACACAAGGAACTTGAATTTGCGTTATACCGTATCTCAGGTAAATTGACCTGCGCTTTATACCGTATATTATATTCGCAGTGTGTGTAGTTTTAACTATACTTCACTGTCAAGTTCACTATCAAGGGTATTGTTACAGACATTACGTATAAAAATATCTAGAAACTAAACCAGATCTTTCTGAAGCAATGAAGGACCACGTGCAGTATGGCAAGTGATTTTAGAGGGTCATATCTTTCACCATGAGTACTTTCTGGGCATAAGTACAGTGGTTAAAACAATGTTTTCTTTCAAGTGAAGTACCCACGATGATAAAAATATAAATCAAACAATTCGAAAAATTATGAATATGTCAATTTTTTCAGAATATTGAACCTATTTACTCAAAAGAGGATCTTCTTTTTCTGATTTTTATTGCATGAAAACATTATTCAACAAGGGGTCTAAGACATGTTCAAAAATAGAATGCATATGGTATTGAAAGTCTAGTTTTGAAGATATCAATTTTTGATGACCAAGATTATGCTGAAAACAATGGATAGCACGAGTTTTCCCTATGGGAAAATAACATGGGATATGTGGTTTTTAACTTTAACTCAATTCAATACCCATCCCCTTTTCAGAAATTGTTTATATAGTGTAGAGGAGACTTTCGATATATTTAAATTGAGAAAAACAAGATCCTCTTTTTAGAAAATAAGCCTAACATTTTTCAAAAAGTGCCAAGGTGGGGCCCTAATCCATAATTTTTCAGAGAGTTGGATTAATATTTTACTATCATGGGGACTTCACTTGAAAAAAACATATTGTTTTAATAAAAGCCATTTTATTTAGGGCCAGAAGGTGCTCATGGTGAAAGATATGACTGTCTAAAATCACTTGTCATACTGCACGTGGTCTTTTTAATCACCCTCGAGTTTTACCTTACCTTACCTTACCTTATGCCGTGGTCACATTTGCTCTGATTTTTACTACGGCGCCCGGCCGATTGAGTGTTTTGTTCAATATTGTATTCAATTTTGAACACAATACTCAATCGGCCGGGCGCCGGTGCTGAAAATCGGAGCATATGTGACCACGGCATTACCTTACCACGCGCTTTCAACTGTCACGCAATAAAACATAAGACTATGTACAGCTTTCGATCCCAATATAACTTATATTAAAATCTTTATATTACTCGTATAATGATATTGTCATTCATGATATTCAAAATAAAATATTCTTAAACAATACAAAATGTTGTTGAATTTTGTTCTACAGATATCGACTTACAGTTAGATTTTTAGTTCCATTGACAAACATTCACTGACAGATCAAGAAGCTAGAAAGGGGCCCACATTTCAAGTCAGAAAAACGCAGAAATGCCCAAAAATGCCCAAAATAATCCATTAATTGAAGCCCTACAAAATGTTTCGGGTCAAATTTTTTTAAATAAACACATGTTACATCTTTTAAAGTACAACATCCGGGCGCTTTGCGCCATCTTTAAAAAGATCTGTTGAACCGTACAGAACTAATCGAGCAATTTCACCAAAAGTGGTATTTGCAGTCCCTACCCCCATTTCTGTTGGTATAGGTTTATAGTCCTTGTGTTGTTTCCACTTTCGAAGAAACAGATGAATAGCATAGTTATTTGTCCAATCATATTTCTGGGCGAATATTTGTTCGGTGTGCTCCCAACCTGGAAGATTTAGGGAAGTCCTTTCTATATGAAGACTCTCGGGGAAGCGGAAAACCCCGATGTATGCCGGTTGTCGCCCACTGTTGAACGCCCATATGTCCGGGCGATAATCATCAATAAAACTATTAATCCATAATTTAATGAAAGTAGAACCGGGTTCTGCGATTATTATTCCTCCGCAGAGGTCATAGAAATATCTCCTGTTTTGAGAACCCATAGTGGCACTATATTTCCGTAGTGGGTCAAACGATCGAACTGCAATTACGTCTGTATCGAGTACCATTCCTCCTGTTGTGTTGAGAAAAAGCAGACGATCTAAATTACAGGCAGTTGTCTCATAAGGGAAATTAAGTCTCTTCCAGAAAAGTTTTTTCGTTGGCGTTCGTTTTACAATGGTGAGCCCTGGTATTGATACCGTTCGATTCCAGTAGTAACCATGAGGTGGATAATTTGTTTGGAATAATATCATAGATGGTTTAATGAACCTATGAACACTGAGAACGCTTAGATATTGTGTGAAGGTCCATTCCTTGGACATATTAGAATACCAGCAGTAATGTACGATGTTAGGCACTTTAAAATCATTTGGGGTTGCTTTAACTTCAACATTCTTGAATGTCTTACTTTTATTTACTCCATCATCGCAATCACATTTTGTTCGTTCATGAATCTGTTTATCGACCCCCGAATGATATGTGGATACATCTACGTATGTTTTGATGTGCCCGCTCCATAAAAACATAGCTAATACGAAAGCTCCCGTTGTACATGCCACCAAATATTTTAATCTATTATTTCCGTATAAGCATTTCATCTTTCTGTCGAGTATGAAAATTAGCAATATATGTACAGTCCATATATGAGATCTCTAACTGTAAAAACCCTTTGCACAATACTCTATTCACTGATTAGTCACGGGTGCATGAATCTACCTTGTACATTTACATGCTATAGCTGCTCTATATGATCAAAATAAATAATCGTTTGCCAACTCTTACTGCTTTTTAACCGTAACGGTAAATGGTTTTATTAATTGGTGACTACCATGGTCACTGTGATTATTAAATCTTTAGTCTACTTTGTACACATAGAGTATCGATATTCTTTGATCGTCAAGTGTTGCGATTCAAAAATCACAAGGAATAGCCTGACGATATCGAAGACGCTATATTGTGACGATTTATTGTGGCGATTCACGACCCAATTTGATCGAAATTGTGATTACATATGAAATATCATCACAAGAGCTTAATACATGCACGGAAATAGCGACGATAAAATCCCATGAAATGAGGACCACGCGATTAAACAGTTGAAGCGACGGTCTGCCATTTGTGACAACGGTATCTGACTTTACCGCTGTCAGGCTATTCCGGTGTGAAATAGCCCGGAATTCATAGCTGAATCTGCAAGTTGAACATAGACACCCTCTCCAAGTGATACTTTCCGTGGCACTCGGTTTGTTGGCATTAACCCCCCCCCCCCCCCTCACATATGAACGAATCCACTAAACGTAGTTTTGCGAATGGGGCTTGAGTAAAATTCGCTTCCATTAGCATTTGTACGTTGTACATCGCTGGGGTGTGTGTCTGTGGAAGAATTCCTTCGGAAAGCTTCGGAAACATGCCAAAGATGCGCTTCAGCTCGCATGTTTACGTTTCCAATCGCCAGAACTGATAATTTGCAAGATTGCGTTTGGGGGATTCGTTCATATGTGAGGGGGCCTTTACTACGGGATATAACTGATAATTTTAGTAAAAATTGTGACATTACCCACGGAAATGGAAATGATGTTTCATGGCTAGTTCGGCGCGTGTTGGAAGTGATGTTTGACTCACGGTATATTCTTATTACAACAATATGAACAAACAAAAAATCACATTATCTGTGTTGTTTACTGACAAAAATGTCTTGTTTTTTTTAATTAACAGGAAGGCAGTTTTTATCTTGGCTGACAGTCTGAATTATAATAGCAAAAATGTTACACTTTTTTGAGAATGAAAGTTCAATTTTAAGTATTTCTGTCCGTCTGACTTCAAGTACCCTCAACCCAAACATTAGATTCTGTCATAAAAAGATGAAACACACTTGATATAGAACTAACCAAGGGCGTTACAATACCCGGGAATTTATCGGTTCGTGCAGTACTTGTTTGTGATAGCGCCCTCTGTAGGTCACTGTGCTTATAGCCTACAGTAATACGGGGTAGGATATCGGGAATTCGGTCAGTTTCTATCTGTCGATTTCGCTATGAATTGAAGCAAGTGTGACTAGTAAATATGCATTCACTGTACTCAATTATACAATTACACAATTATATGTGTGAGCTCAAAATTAGAAAATGTCAGACTTCGAATTATCATCGGCTATTACAGCTCTACCGCTAACAATAAAGGCATCGCCGTAAAAGCTATTTAGTACATCATACAAATTATCAATTATGGCATGCAGATTTTTTTGTAAACCAAACATCAGATGTTTTAAGATAAATATGGCCATTGTCATACTCTTGGTAGCCTTGATTTTTGTTTCAAATTATGACTTTTTGCATCATGAATGGAAGACACGACAAACAGGAAAAAGAAAAATTACTGACACTATTACACCGTGTATTAGGAATATTACAGTACGTGGCTCACCACTAAAGAGAGGAAACTACATAAAGTATGTAATAGTGCACGTTTTAGTATTAATAACATGTTTTTATCCTGTTAATCAAAAGAAAACGAATAAGAGTGGGAGAGTTCAATACAAAACAATACAATATTCAAAACAACACGTTTAATGAACTGATGAGTATTACATCAAGATTAAAAACATATGATGTTGTGTTCACTATTCTTTATTATTTTCTTTTTTGTTCAAATCAGTCAGTGACAGACTATTTTCTTGAAATCCAAATTCCAATCCCAAAAATCAGATTTTATGCATTTGAATTTACTTTTTTATCACATTTCATTACTGTAACCTAATTGAATTGACGAATTAGCCAATTTGATTTTTGGTTAAATTTTCATTTGAAATATTCACCTAGTTATTACCCATATATACCAAGGATGCGATTTGAATTCAAGAATTATATCTACAATTGTCGTCTGTCACTCTTTAGGGCTGCCTTGGAAGTACTGAAACTCATTTTAGAAATGAAATAAAAATGTTCAAGATGGGTTGTCATTCCAAGGAAAAGATCAATGATTAGACTAATCAAAATCGATTAATAAATAGACTTAAAAAACTTATGATTTAAGCCTTTGTCACAATTGCTCTACGGCGGTCGTACGGCGGTCGACGTAGCTTCACAAAATCGATATCCAAAATCTACATCTGCTACTCATCATGATAAACTATGACATGTCATTTCTTCTCAGAAACAGAAAGATGCTATGAGTATCAGAATGCATCACATTCGACATATAATATATATACTATATATTATATATGCATCATTATTATCCCTATATTTTATGCTGCATATTCCTCTCGATTTTGGGAAGCTACAGTTGTCGTGCGGTTGCCGTAGATCAAATATGGCCGAGGTGTTACGAAGGATAGAAAATCACAGACTCATGATTCACTACTGTCATTATATTACCATGCTCTCTACACTGAACATGGAGAGTAACATTTATAGTGAGCCAGCTCATCAAAGAGTTCATTCATTAGTTTGCCATGCTCTCTACATTGAACATGGAGAGTAACATTTACAGTAAGGCAGCTCATCAAATAGTTCATTCATTAGTTTGCCATGCTCTCTACATTGAACATGGAGAGTAACATTTACAGTGTGCCAGCTCATCAAAAAGTTCATTCATTAGTTTGCCATGCTCTGTACATTGAACATGGAGAGTAACATTCACAGTGTGCCACCTCATCAAAAAGTTCATTCATTAGTTTGCCATGCTCTGTACATTGAACATGGAGAGTAACATTTACAGTGTGCCAGCTCATCAAAAAGTTCATTCATTAGTTTGCCATGCTCTCTACATTAAACACGGAGAGTAACATTTCAGTCAGCCAGCTCATCAAATAGTTCATTCATCAGTTTACCTCTCTGCATTGAATATGGAGAGTAACATTTACAGTGTGCAAGCTCATCAAATAGTTCATTCATCAGTTTACCTCTCTGCATTGAACATAGAGAGTAACATTTACAGTGTGCCAGCTCATCAAATAGTTCATTCATCAGTTTACCTCTCTGCATTGAATATGGAGAGTAAGATTTACAGTGAGCCAGCTCATCAAAAAGTTCATTCATTAGTTTGCCATGCTCTCTACATTGAAAATGGAGAGTAACATTTACAGTGTGCCAGCTCATCAAATAGTTCATTCATCAGTTTACCTCTCTGCATTGAATATGGAGAGAAACATTTACAGTGTGCAAGCTCATCAAATAGTTCATTCATCAGTTTACCTCTCTGCATTGAACATAGAGAGTAACATTTACAGTGTGCCAGCTCATCAAATAGTTCATTCATCAGTTTACCTCTCTGCATTGAATATGGAGAGTAACATTTACAGTGCGCAAGCTCATCAAATAGTTCATTCATCAGTTTACCTCTCTGCATTGAACATAGAGAGTATTATTACAGTGTGCAAGCTCATCAAATAGTTCATTCATCAGTTTACCTCTCTGCAATGAATATGGAGAGTAACATTTACAGTGCGCAAGCTCATCAAATAGTTCATTCATCAGTTTACCTCTCTGCATTGAACATAGAGAGTATTATTTACAGTGTGCAAGCTCATCAAATAGTTCATTCATCAGTTTACCTCTCTGCATTGAACATAGAGAGTATTATTTACAGTGTGCAAGCTCATCAAATAGTTCATTCATCAGTTTACCTCTCTGCATTGAATATGGAGAGTAACATTTACAGTGCGCAAGCTCATCAAATAGTTCATTCATCAGTTTACCTCTCTGCATTGAACATAGAGAGTATTATTTACAGTGTGCAAGCTCATCAAATAGTTCATTCATCAGTTTACCTCTCTGCATTGAATATGGAGAGTAACATTTACAGTGGGCAAACTCATCGAATAGTTCATTCATCAGTTTACCTCTCTGCATTGAATATGGAGAGTAACATTTACAGTGCGCAAGCTCATCAAATAGTTCATTCATCAGTTTACCTCTCTGCATTGAACATAGAGAGTATTATTTACAGTGTGCAAGCTCATCAAATAGTTCATTCATCAGTTTACCTCTCTGCATTGAATATGGAGAGTAACATTTACAGTGCGCAAGCTCATCAAATAGTTCATTCATCAGTTTACCTCTCTGCATTGAACATAGAGAGTATTATTTACAGTGTGCAAGCTCATCAAATAGTTCATTCATCAGTTTACCTCTCTGCATTGAATATGGAGAGTAACATTTACAGTGGGCAAACTCATCGAATAGTTCATTCATCAGTTTACCTCTCTGCATTGAACATAGAGAGTATTATTTACAGTGTGCAAGCTCATCAAATAGTTCATTCATCAGTTTACCTCTCTGCATTGAATATGGAGAGTAACATTTACAGTGGGCAAACTCATCGAATAGTTCATTCATCAGTTTACCTCTCTGCATTGAACATAGAGAGTATTATTTACAGTGAGCCAGCTCATCAAATAGTTCATTCATCAGTTTACCTCTCTGCATTGAATATGGAGAGTAACATTTACAGTGCGCAAGCTCATCAAATAGTTCATTCATCAGTTTACCTCTCTGCATTGAACATAGAGAGTATTATTTACAGTGTGCAAGCTCATCAAATAGTTCATTCATCAGTTTACCTCTCTGCATTGAATATGGAGAGTAACATTTACAGTGCGCAAGCTCATCAAATAGTTCATTCATCAGTTTACCTCTCTGCATTGAACATAGAGAGTATTATTTACAGTGTGCAAGCTCATCAAATAGTTCATTCATCAGTTTACCTCTCTGCATTGAATATGGAGAGTAACATTTACAGTGGGCAAACTCATCGAATAGTTCATTCATCAGTTTACCTCTCTGCATTGAACATAGAGAGTATTATTACAGTGTGCAAGCTCATCAAATAGTTCATTCATCAGTTTACCTCTCTGCAATGAATATGGAGAGTAACATTTACAGTGCGCAAGCTCATCAAATAGTTCATTCATCAGTTTACCTCTCTGCATTGAACATAGAGAGTATTATTTACAGTGTGCAAGCTCATCAAATAGTTCATTCATCAGTTTACCTCTCTGCATTGAACATAGAGAGTATTATTTACAGTGTGCAAGCTCATCAAATAGTTCATTCATCAGTTTACCTCTCTGCATTGAATATGGAGAGTAACATTTACAGTGCGCAAGCTCATCAAATAGTTCATTCATCAGTTTACCTCTCTGCATTGAACATAGAGAGTATTATTTACAGTGTGCAAGCTCATCAAATAGTTCATTCATCAGTTTACCTCTCTGCATTGAATATGGAGAGTAACATTTACAGTGGGCAAACTCATCGAATAGTTCATTCATCAGTTTACCTCTCTGCATTGAATATGGAGAGTAACATTTACAGTGCGCAAGCTCATCAAATAGTTCATTCATCAGTTTACCTCTCTGCATTGAACATAGAGAGTATTATTTACAGTGTGCAAGCTCATCAAATAGTTCATTCATCAGTTTACCTCTCTGCATTGAATATGGAGAGTAACATTTACAGTGCGCAAGCTCATCAAATAGTTCATTCATCAGTTTACCTCTCTGCATTGAACATAGAGAGTATTATTTACAGTGTGCAAGCTCATCAAATAGTTCATTCATCAGTTTACCTCTCTGCATTGAATATGGAGAGTAACATTTACAGTGGGCAAACTCATCGAATAGTTCATTCATCAGTTTACCTCTCTGCATTGAACATAGAGAGTATTATTACAGTGTGCAAGCTCATCAAATAGTTCATTCATCAGTTTACCTCTCTGCATTGAATATGGAGAGTAACATTTACAGTGGGCAAACTCATCGAATAGTTCATTCATCAGTTTACCTCTCTGCATTGAACATAGAGAGTATTATTTACAGTGAGCCAGCTCATCAAAAAGTTCATTCATTAGTTTGCCATGCTCTCTACATTGAACATGGAGAGTAACATTTACAGCTCATCAAAAGGTTCATTATTTCATGCTGTAGCAATGACACAAAAAGGCACTCTGAGGTAGCATTCGCGAATTCAACTGAACTTACTCTTATGACCAACGCATCTAAATATGAAAACGATGTGTCACTATTCGATTTTATATTTAAATGAGTTGGCCATAAAAATTGGTTAACTCGTCAGCCGTCAGTTGAATTCGCGCATGCTATCTTACTAAAGGTTTAAGATAAAGGGGGAAATAAAATCATTATCCCAGTTGACAGACTTCACTTAGCCTATACTATATATTATACTACTAATATAAAATGGAAATTGAAAATATTTAATTACCAATTATGTACTATTAAGGAACGGATATTGAGTCTGGCAGGCAGTGGTTGTTTTGTAGAATTGCACTTTTGCTATGGTAGCCATAATGGCCAGATTGGAGAAGAGGAACTAAGTCAAAGTTCACCTAATAATATATGGTTTCATCTTACTTACTTCATCATGATGTTGATGTAAAAAAATGTTATACATAAATGTATTCCTTTAGTTACCAATAATATACAAGCAATTGATTGATGTAAATAAAAGTCATAATGATATTACTGAACTTCACCAGACACTAAAGTGTATTACAAACGTTTAATCTTCCATTTTGTTCAAAGCATCTATTTGTATAGGTTACTAGCATCTATTTTGTTCCACGCCTCGTTGGTAATAAGTCATGTTAGTAAAAATATGTATACGACGCCAACTAATCATAATTAGGACGTGCATTTTCGGTTATAATGAAAACACGCGCTACGCGCTAACGCGCTAGCGCACTAACGCACTGTTCAGAATGATCGTTCCCACAGGCCCGGGAACATGTATAAAAATCGAGTGAGTGAAGAGATTAGGTGGCTCATCAGAAAGCAGAAGTATGAAGAAGCCCAATGTTTGATCGTTAACTGTGCAAAGATTATCGATTGTCAGTGTGTTTTATCTGATTTAAAAGGAAGATAGAAAGTAGCACCTTACAAGATGAATGGTCGCAGATATGCGAATATGCTCCCTATTTCATTGCATTATTTGGGTCCATCCATCGGCGAGAAAAATCCCGTTTCGAAATCTGACCCGGGGGCCCGACTACTTGACTAATGACTTAATGTAATGTTTATTTGTCGCATGTTACCTCTTAATATCAAGTCATGGATGTTTTATATATCTTTACTCTTTGTATTTGAAGTTATATCTCACATGACTTACCAAACGGTGGAATAATTCAGGCGTCGCAATTATATTTTTCCATTTTTCTTTTCGTGCCCGGTTACTCTCTTTCGCTTTCATGGGGGGGTGTATAGGGTTATCGTATAAGAGGAGGGTGAAAACCATATTGTGTATGGCCGCATAAGAGGGGGCAACATTTATCGTATATGGCATCGTATAAGTTAAATAAACATATGTTTTAAAAGAATTAAAGAAGCCTATTATGAAATTTAAAGGCAGTTTGAACGAATACTGCAGATCCAGCTTATCCCCATAAATTTGGGATTTCAATACACAAGTAGTTGTGGGGGCTTGCCCGTAGCCAGCTTTTTTCCAGGGGAAGCTTTTTCACAATTTTGGCTAATAATCATGAAAAAAATCTCAGAATGGTGAAAAACTGCATGATTTTGAAAGAATCTCTGGCCAGCTCCCCCTCTGGCTACGGGCCTGGTTGTGGGGGTGATTTGAAAAATCAGTCCCACGTTTATGGGGGTAATTCAGATCTCTATATAGTAGTCTCTATATGCCATATGCCAGGACAGTAACCAGGATTTCCCAGGGGGGGGGTCACTTTTTCAAAAATTCCAAAGTCACCCTCCGAACCCCCCTGGCTTCGGGGCTGTGTACTGCCTATTTGCCGTATGATTATACATTTGGTACTACGTGGATTCTTGCATTATGTTAATTCCTTCTGAATATTATCCAAACTTTTCTCAACGGTAATTTCAAAATTATCGTACAGATATATTATTTACCCGACCTTTTTGTAAAATATAGTACTATAGGGAGTAGGTGCATTCATGCACCCTCTGGGTCTCTGAGGATCGTGTTGGTTCACCGTCTATATAGGGAGATGTGAAAAATATTGCATACACTGTATGTTATACATGTAAAAGGGGTGAAAAATGCTGTAAATGGTATAAGACTGAGGGGCTTGTGAAAAATAGTGTATATGGATTTCCAAGACCCCTATGAACCCCCCTTTCATGTTTGCTTTCGTTTTTCTCAATTTGATTTTAGATTTAAAAAGTTTTGAATTACGTCAGTCCCAGTGAATTGTATTACCTATTTTACCAGGAATATTGTTGAAAACAGGATTGTATTTCATTTGGAATTAAAGTTTTAAATAAGAGACGATTTAAAAAGTAATGTAAACCCGACCAGCGTGTTTTATCATTGTCCGGTAATTGGCCGTAAATATTTATTTATTCTAAGTTACTCATGTTCTTTCAGGTCAAATACAGAGAAAACTACACGTTCATTTAGTTTTGGAATTATTTCCTAAATTGAAGTTGAATTCTGTTTTTTAACGGTGTGAAGAACATCTTAATTGGTCTTATATTTTTAGAGAAATCGTAACTTGAAAAGTGTAATTTTCGAGAGGCTTTGTTTATTTCCTGCGGCCGCAAAGTTCACATCGAAGTCTGATTGACAGGTTAGCGGTGATTTATACAGTCTTTGAAGTGTCAATGTTTTGACAAGTTCCCAGGGAGTCATAACCCTAATTATACATGTCCCTGGGCCAAGGGTATAGACCAATCATAAACATGTGCTTAAAACATGCGCACACATCGTGGGGGAAGGATCATTTTCTATTAGCGCATTGGCGCGTGGCGCGTTAGCGCGTAGCGCGTGTTTTCATTATAACCTGCATTTTCTTACAGGAGACTGCATTTTGATCCGAATGAAAACAAAGTCATCGTATTTTTACACATCCAAAAAACAGGAGGATCAACATTTGACTGGCGACTGGTGAGAACACTAAATGTGACGCCAAAGTGCAAATGTAAACTGAAAGCGAAGTCTTGTAGATGCCTGAACAATAAAGGAAATGTGTGGTTATACAGTGGCCGATTCTCTACAGGCTGGGTATGTGGGGTTCATGCTGATTGGACCGAACTAACGGAATGCATTGATGTATATTTTGACAAACGTGATAAACTACATAGGAATAGAAGGTAACTATTATTAAGTAAACCAAACCATTATATGTTCAAAGGACGATTCTCGCCGGTTTGGAGAACGAAGTTCATCAATCTAAATGAGCATTATCCCTGCTTCGGACAAATTTGATTTTTTTTACATAATATAGATTTGAATGTCTTCTTTTGAATAGTCATAATTTAATTTGGGTAATATTTCTTGATTTTTCGCAAAAAAATATCAGCGCAGTACACTGATGAACTTCTTTCCCCAAATCGAGACTTGTATTTTATTGAATCGGTCTAATTGAGCGTTATCCCTGCTTCAGACCAATTTGTTATTTTTACATCTTGTAGATTTAAATGCCCTCTTTTGAATATTCATAGTTTAATTTGGGTAATATTTCTATATTTTTCCTGAAAAAAAATATTAGCCCAGGCGACTGTTCTCCAAACCGGGAATCGTCCTTTACTAAATGAAATAAATGCTGTGAAATATAATAATATTATGATGATATACTTAATCAACCTTGTAACAGACAGATAGTCAAATAAACATCATCGTATATGTATATGGCTAATCTTTCCAATGATTTATCAAACACAAAGACAACGGCATATGGTAAATTATCCCAAATTCAGATTCCGTTGTCATTGACGATAATGAAGACGCTATATTGTGGCAATTCAAGACCCAATTGATCGAAGTTGGGATTCCATATGATACATCATTACAAAAGCTTAATACATGCACATAATTAGCGACGATAAAGTCCCATGAAACGAGGACCAAGTGTTTGAAGAGTTGAAGCGACGGTTATGTTCGCCATTTAAGACGGTATCTGACTTTCCCGTCGTCAGGCTATTCTGGTGTGACAGTGGCGTTGTTGAGTATTAAACTGATGTACTGTAAAGGTTACAGGAATATGCTCAAACAGGAAGGTGGTGCTGGGTTGAACGAAAGGTGCTGAACGTGATGGTTCAGGTCTGCACGAAAAAAGTTTCAAAATGACCAAATTATTAGAGAGTTCTCGCACCTAGTGAAAGTACAACTTATAACGTATACTTATACTTATAGGTAAACGTACAAGGTGTTTCATAATGTGGGCTTTTCGTTAGGAAAGATCTTCTCGGACTGTAATAAATACAGGTCAAAGGGATGCCATTTGTACTTTCTTGAATTGTAGCATGTTTAGTTGATCCAAATGTGTTTGTCTAGAATAAAATAGGCTCATATATAGTACATGTTATAGAACCATCTCTTCTCAAATTGACTTTTGGAGATGCTCGTTATGAAACACCCTGTATGTCATATGTTGAGCTACTGAATGGGTCGTTTTCAGGAATTGCTAGAACCTACTGGTTTGATTGGTGTTTCAAATTGATGGTTAAAGTATTTGATTGGATACTGTTCCCACTCAGCCAATTAATTTCAAAAAATGCTTGCGGTCAATTGTTCCACACACATGTAGGCAAATCTTTATACGGAGATCCAACTGTATACGTTATCATCTACGTAAATATACCATTTTGTAAGTTCACTGAACTTATACTGATCATGAAAACATTGAAATAATCAACTTGTTTATGTAATGACTCACTTTAAAGAATCATGATTCACTTTAAAGGATCGTGTTTATAATACTCTACAACAACAAGGACACAGAAGCAAGCATTTAATTATAATGTGCATAATCTACACGTGCAGATGACAGTGCATTCACAGTCTCTAGTTGATGGAGCTTTTCTATAACGGGAATAGTTATGTTCCATTAAAGGAATCCAACACCTTGCAAAACTTCTTAACGGAGAGGAATAAGGGAAAATGCTTGCCGGATTCTGAATCTGTGTATTTTTTAATGATTTTTCACCGTCTTAGAATTTCAATTTTTTTCCTTTGAAAAAATGAGATTTGCATTGTTTTCCAATTAGACAAATGAGTAAACATGAATAGCCCGAAATCTAACGGTGAGATTTTGTTTTAAAAAATCATGGATATCAAGGCTAAATATAGCTATACAATAAACATAAAAAAGCAATACTTGGACTCTTCATATTCACACAAAAAATTAATTAGTAAATGAGGTTTGATATTTGTGAGAATAAGTTGTACGAGTCGCAATGCTCTACAAACACCAGACTACAGGGTGGATTAGGATCAATGACACACATAAAAATTGATTTAAAAACATTTCATGATAATTATCTCAAACAAAAGCAGTTAGCGAAGGATACATTTCATTACACTCAATAAATAGTTATCACTTTTGACTATATACATATCTCATGGGAATGTATTTCCATCTGCTCAAGATATCATATTTTAGCTTCGAAAATCACAATCGTTGGATAATACATTTGTCTCAGAATGATAGGCCACCCTGTAGCAATGTAGCTTTCACTTGAAGTGTACCCTTGAGAATAATGAACTTACTTTCAAATTGGTCTTGCTTTTGTGGTGTATGTGGCATTTTAGCAAATCTGCCACGCTCATTTCTTTCCAGAACCATCTTGTTCACATGTAACACTAGGCTATACGCGCATGTATAGACAGATGACATAGATATACATATAAATTATATATTGCACCTGTATTTACTTACATGGGAATATTCCCTTTGGAAAAATGCAAATGCATGAACATATATTTTCATCTTATATATGACTTCAAGCTAACATATTATTTCATATTTATATTTTCATAGTTAGTCTAACATAAATAATAGATCCATGAGAACAATATTCTTTGTTTTCTTAAAAATTGATGGGTTTACTGTGAATTCAATAAATTACAATTTGCAAGGGGTAAGTATACTGTATGACCTTAGTTGCAAAGTACTGTTTATATATGCAGCTCAATAGCATAAAATATGTTGAATGAAGCATATGGTGGGGATTAGTCGTGTGACACACAAACTGACCAATACATGAGGGTATTAGCTACTTTTCACAGAAACCAAAGGAGGACAGTGATTTTATTTCAACTGGGAGCTTACCTCCACACGACTGATCATGTGACCATGGTGTTGGGTCCCTTTAAGTACAATTTAAAATTGATTTTAGTAAATATAATAGTTCGACATGACCCTTTAAACTATACGTATACGTATAAGTTGTACTTTCACTTATGTGCGAAATCTCTCTATTAATAACTTAATATTGCTCCTCAGTCAACTGTTTGCACACCAACTTGTCAAATATCAATGTCATTTCTAAATTATTATAACATGTTGAGTGCGACCAACCCTTGAATCAATCATGCCAAAGTACATGTATCTTCGTCTCAGTATTATATTTACAAGCTGTCAAAATTGTTCTAAAATAATATTATGTATGAAAATGTTCACATTTTAAGTAGGTCATTTTGATTTTTTGTGCAGACCTGAACCACCACGAACCACCTTAGGCTTAACCCAGTACCACCTTCCTGTTGGCGTACATTCCTGTAACTCCCACAGTATATTGGTACAATACACAACAATGTGCAGTAGAAAAAGTAGTCAGAAATATGAAAAATTAAAAAGTTTCAGCATTTTTATCAGTACTTATTGAACATACTTATTTAGCTAAACGGATAAAACCATTTATACTCCCGTCTTGGTAGTTAAACGCGGGGGCGGATCTGGGAACCAACAAGGGGGGGGGGGCAAAACTTCTGGTATGAGGAAAAAATTTTGGGCCCCTAAAACCAAAAAGTGGGCTCAAATTTTGAGGCCCATTTTCTTCAAAATTTGGCCTAAAATTAAAAAGTAAGGCCTTACAAGGCCCATTTATGACCAAAAAGGCCCACTTTTTGGGGCCTTGAGGCTTTTTTCGGGCCCAGTTTTTTTTTCTGGGCCCACCCAAGGGGGGAGGCCCGGGCCCCTGACCCCCCCCCCCCAGATCCGCCAGTGAAACGGATAAGATCATACAACTGTCACTTTATTTACGATGGTGTTCAGTGTTTCACATTTTAGGGTAATAAGCAATCTCCTGATACCTTTGTACCAAGAGATTCTACTGAAGTGTACTATATTTTTCCTTTCAGTTATTTATACATGACGATGCTAAGAGAGCCTATTCAGAGATATATGAGTGAATGGAAGCATGTCCAACGCGGTGCTACTTGGGAGAAACAACCCAAGTGTAATCATCGCAAAGTCACAGCTAAACAATTACCAATGTGTTTTAATACAAGCTGGAGACATGTACCTCTTGATGATTTCATAAATTGTCCACACAACCTTGCTATAAACAGACAGACTAGAATGCTAGCCAATCTATCATTGGTTGACTGCTATAATACTAGCACAATATCAAAACCAGAAAGAGAAAGAATAATGCTTGAAAGTGCAAAAAATAACTTGAAGGATATGGCATATTTTGGATTAACAGAGTTTCAGGAACAGAATCAACGTCTTTTTGAATTTAAGTTCGCAGTGAATTTTACAGATTATTTTTCTCAGAAAGAAACTAGTAATGCTCAAATGGCAACAAATAAAATATCACCTGCACAATTTGAGAGAATCAAACAACTAAATCACCTTGATATTGAGTTGTACAAATATGCGAAGAAGCTGTATTTCGAAAGAATAGAAAATATCACATAATTTGCTCAAAATGTCTCAATAAATTGGCAGTTATTTTAGTATTCAAAGGTACTAACATACACGGTATTAACATACAAAATGTCGTCACCTGCTATTTGTTGCAGTCACCGACCACCGACACCAACCACAGCCCATAAAAGTGTTGGAGACTATAACAATAGACTTATGTCCCCACCAAAGGTGGTGACATAAAATTATATCTTTAGTTAAAGAATAGTTTTTATGTCACCTTATGTATGATAGGCACAAACAGGATCTAGGTCAGTTTTTTTCTGGTGAGAGTTAAAGCAGGTTACATTTGAAGCCAAATAGCCTAGTGCGATCTTGCGAGTTAGTGAGAGATACAGCTCTTCACCAAGAAGTCATGCTTGGCCCAAGAGTAATTCATTGCATTACATGATCTGCTATGAAAGCAGTGAAGGACCGATCTTGAAGGATGAGGGGACGTGTACAAGTCATATTTATAGAGTATAAGAGGACCATAACATATTGTAAAATAAAAAAAATTCATATGGAATATTGTAAATAGTGTAAATAAACTGAAAGTGATATATACAAACATTGACAGTCTTCCGAATAAAAAAGATGAACTCGAATTGTTAGTCCATAATATGAAGCCAGATGTAATCGGAGTTGTTGAAGTTAATGTTAAAAGAAAAGACTATGAATTATCTGAAGCACAAATTTCTCTCCAAGGGTATACCCCCTTCACTAACAACCTGCAAGAAAATACTAGAGGTGTGATAGTTTATGTCAAGGAGAACTTAAAATGTCATCAACTTGAAACAGACCATAACGTCAAGGAATCAGTATGGCTGAATATGAGTTGTGGAAAGGACAATGCAATAATTGGCTGTATATATAGAAGCCCAACAAGCGAGGAAACAAACTCAGAAGCCCTATTTGACCAGATAAAAAACAATTGTGACAAAAAACCAACGCATTTACTTATTATGGGGGACTTCAATCTTCCAGGAATAAACTGGGAACTAAATTGTACAACTCCAGGATGCCCTGACAGAAGAATTGCTGATGTATTCACTGAACTTGTAGATGATACCTTCCTCTACCAGCATGTAAGTGAGCCAACGCGGGGTGATAATATCCTTGATCTAGTACTGTCAAATGAAATGGACATGGTTTCAGATCTGGAGATACAGGCAGGAATAGGGAAAAGTGATCATCAAGTAATAAGTTTTGTCCTTCATTACCAGGCTGAGTTTACAGTACAAGAACGATTAATCCCCCTACTGAACCAGGCCAATTATGAAAAGATGAAGGAAGAACTGAGCATCGACTGGGACAGTGAATTTAAAGACAAGGATATTGATGAATGCTGGGACATGTTCAAAAGAAGAATGGACGAAAGTTATAGTAAAAATGTCCCACAAGTCAAGGCTAGAAAAACAGCAAAAGCATGGATGGATAAGAGATGTTTAGCACAAATCAAACGAAAACATGGTGCATGGAAGAGGTACCAAAGAACGAAGAAGGGAGAGGAATACCAGCAATACGTTAAGGAGAGAAACCAGGCTAAAAATGAGGTAACTAGAGCTATCAAGGAATTTGAAAGGAATATTGCAAAATCAGCAAAATCCCAACCAAGGAAATTTTGGGGGTACAGCAACAGCAAAATGAAAACAAGGAGTGGAATACCCCAGCTCAACAGAGAGGATGGCACAACAACAACTAGTGACTTAGATAAAGCAGAAGAGCTGAATAGATTCTTCTCTAGTGTCTTTACCAAGGAGAACAAGGATAACATACCAACAGGTCACTATATCAGAATAACAAGTTACATCGAGGCCTGGACTTTCACAGAAGATGAAGTAATGAAAAAGCTGGAGCTTCTAAGAACAAACAAGTCACCCGGACCAGACAAGATAAAACCCCGCATATTAAAGGAACTCAGGTGTACCATATGCAGACCTCTATACCTCCTATTCAAGATGTCAACAAACTCTGGAACGCTGCCTCAAGATTGGAAACAAGCTAATATTTCACCGATATTTAAAAAAGGGAAGAAAAACCTATCTACCAACTACAGGCCAGTAAGTTTAACGTCCATAGTATGTAAGATACTCGAATCCATTATTAGAGAAAGGATCCTGTCACACTTATCAGAAAACAACCTTTTGACGCAATGCCAGCATGGCTTCCTACCGTGTCGATCATGTGTAACCAATCTCTTGACGACTCTTGAAAATGGACTGAAGTTCTCGATAGTGGTAGCAATATAGACGCAATTTACCTAGACTTTAAGAAAGCATTTGACAAAGTCCCCCACGAGCGTCTTATAAAGAAAATTGAAAATCTTGGAATTATGGGTAATGCCCTCCAGTGGTTGAAATCCTTCCTCGGAGCAAATACAGGAAATGACCAATTCGACCCCGCGAATCGAGCCTCAACAGACAATGCTGAGAGTGGAAATTCACAATTAAGGAAACAACGAGTAATAATCAATGGAGAAGCATCGTCATGGAAAGATGTCACTTCTGGAATCCCGCAGGGAACCGTTTTAGGACCGGTAATGTTTCTCGTATTTGTAAATGACATACCCCAGACTGTTAACAGCCCTCTGATAATGTTTGCAGACGATACAAAACTGTACCGGGAAGTGAACACCACGGATGACTGTGACGAGCTACAGGAAGACATCCAATCCCTAATGAATTGGACAAATGATTGGCAACTTCAATTTAACAGTGAAAAATGCAAGGTCCTAAGAATTGGTAAATCTTCTCCAGACTACAGTTACACTATGGGTAATACAGTTCTCCAGGAATCAGAATGTGAAAAAGACTTGGGAATGATGGTGGCGAATGACTTAAAGAACAAAACACACATACTGATGGTGGTAAAAAAGGCCAACCAAATTCTTGGTCTTATCCGAAGAACTTTCCAGTTTTTGGATCCTTCAAATATGATGATGTTATATAAGGCTATGGTCAGGCCACACTTGGAATATGCAAACACTGTATGGTCACCATACTTAATACAGGATATTGAAGCTATTGAAGCAGTCCAGAGGAGAGCTACGAGATGCATACCAGGATTCCAAGATAAAGAGTACTCCCAAAGACTTATGGACCTAAAGTTACCATCACTTGTGTTCAGGCGCTTAAGAGGGGATATGCTTGAAACTTGGAAAATCCTCAATGAAACATATGACATTCCAATTAGCAATATTCTACCTCTATCACACAACATAGGAAGGACCAGAGGCAACAATAAGAGAATCTTGAAAAAACAAAACAGATTGATTTTAAGACAAGGATTCTTTACCCAAAGGGTAGTAAACTCTTGGAATTCCCTCCCCCAAGAAGTAGTGGAAGCTGATGACCTGAATCACTTTAAGAGTAAGCTTGACAGACTATGGAGCGACCACCCAGCCAAATACAACTATAGAGCCTTGAAGTAGACACAAGTCAATTAATTGGGGTCAATGCTAAACAATTATGCTCATTTTATCTAAAGAACGGCCAAAGGTCAAGACGACCTAAGCAGTGAAAACTATAACTATAACTAACTAATAGTATAACAGCAACATGTTTCTTTCATTACTGGACTTCTAACAATGTCGGGCTCATTAAGATAATGTTATTCTACCAGGATGGGTTAAAAATAGGAAGTTCAAATATATGGCATTATCAATTCAGGGACCAATAGCACCTGCCTCTCCTAATTACATGCTAACATATGGATAAAATGCTAATAAAAACAAGTTTACATTTTCACACTGATATTATATTTTATTTCATTAGCTACAAATCAAATTCATCTTCATGTATTTACAAAATATCATACAAAAATATGTATTTACAATTACAACTATACTAAAACAAGACTTCATATTCTGTTGTGTTGTCCTGTGTCTGCATTAATTTGGATTGGATATATACATCTATCAAGTATGCATGCATTATGACACTTCCAAATTAAGTTGTTTCTCAGGTATAGGCTAATTATCATAGAGCAGCCGTTAGCTCAGCCATTAGGAAGAATTCATTCCTATTGTTATTCTGCTTATCACCAAATACTTCCTCCAAACACAGTTCCTCCTTTTTCCCATGTTTCTTAAAGAAAGAAGATATTCTGGATCTTGAAGCCCTGTGATTGGAGGATGCCAAATACATCTCTGCCATTAAAGACAAACGGTAAACTATCAGCTGTCATATAAGTGTGCCATAATAAATAAATTGAAAGAACCCCAGTCTTCAGATTTTAAATGAAGTGAATTCATATCTTACAAATCATTTTTTTCTTTTTCTATGGAGCTCATATTTTATAATGTAACACATCTATCAACAAACATGTGGTCAGGTGTGACACATGAAGAAGATAACAAAAACAATAGAGATGACATAATCCCATACTCCTCAGCCTTGAATATGAATGATTCAAAAATGGTGATTTGTTGTGCTTTGTAAATCGAACTTATAAATTCTATAAACAAGATGTAAGCATTTATACAAGCATTACCAAATATAATTATAATAATATTTAAGTTTCCCTGTCATTGTGATAAGATTAAGAGAGAACAAATACATACATGTACTTCGAAAATGGAAATGTACATGATTTGCTGATTGTTTGTACATTTCATGCACTTACAAACTACGCAAATATTCTTAAATACAATCAGTTAACAGATGCTGTCATTGATTACAATAACTAAATAAATAGATATTTACAATAATTACAATAACTATATAGATATTGTCCATGCCTCTAACAACATATGGCTGTTTTGTGGATAAAATTTTTTATTGCAAATTATAGCAAAAATGCTCATTCCTAATGCATAGACTTTAGATAGACATTTCCAATGGAATATTTAACAAGGCATCAAGCAGTCTTGTGATACAAAATTGTATTGGTACTTAAATTCATCGTGGCAGCCACAATATTGTGGCACCTTGACGTGAAACTCCATCTATTTTTATATCTAAAAGTATAGTAGACCCCACCCACAGTGATGAAGCAACATCAATTCATAGATCTACAACTGTAGCACCTTCAGATTACGCATTAATTATTCATATATCATCTAAGAGTTGACTTATCGTAGTCCCAAGGCTGAGTGTTTCCTATTCATATATCTACAAGTTGACCTATTGTAGCGCCTGGAGATGAAGGTAGAAGTATAGAGTCATCTTCCCCTGGAAAAAATCACAAATTATAATAATAAAAATAGCTTTCCTGTTACCTTCATGTGGCTTTTTGTATTCAAAAGCTCAGGCATTTACATGACAAAGTGTCACAACCTGGGAAAATTGATGCTATACACTGAAGTACAGAACCCACATTAACAAGGCATTAACATGCAAAATGTCACCACCTGCAACTTGTTACAGATGCCAAACACCAACCGCTGAACTCTGAACACCAACTGCCGCACACAATCCACATTAAAACTGAAGACTACAACAATATATCACTACTTGTGGTGGTGACATAAAACGTTGGAGACTATAACAAAATGACACCACTGGTGTTGGTGACATAAAAAGTTGAGACTATAACAAAATGACACCACTGGTGTTGGTGACATAAAAAGTTGGAGACTATATAAAACGCCAAAATTGGTGGTGGTGACATAACAGCTAACAAGTGAGTTGTTAATTAAATATATGAAGCTATGAGGATGATGTAATATTTATGATCAATTTACCTAGAATATCATCAAACTTCTGCCAGTCTGGCTGGGTGGGCCTGTTAACCCTTGATGGCTGTGTGTTGCTTGGGGAATACTGTTGGTTCACTGCAAACATAAATATTACTATAAATGTATCATCAAGGGTTTCATTAGCAGCAGGCAGTTTTTCATTTGTGTTTTTTTTACCGAAATTGAACTCTTTCTTATTAGGGTTTTGCCTGTTGTTATCATTCATTTTTGCCTGTTGTCACAAATAATGAAAGCACTGATGAATGATCAAATGTTAGAAACTTTAGAAACAGAGATGGTAAACTGGTAAATATAAACATTTAGAATTAAGCAGTCAATCAATATGCTCTTTCCATTCTCAAAAATAATCCATAAGAAAGACACAAGATATCATGACCAAGTTATGCCTCAGTCACATTTGACCTAGGGTGACCGGCTTCAATTTGTACTCACTTGCTGATCTTGGTGATATTTCTGATCTAAGTTGTTCAACTCTGGGAGAGATAGCTATCCTGGGTGATGCTCCTAACCTGGGTGATGCTACATAGTTGACCCCTCTCTCATTCACCTTTCTAGGGGTGAACTTTGCCCTGGGAGATGGCTGCACTATGGGGGATTGCTTCACTAATTGGGATTGTTGCACTATTGGGGATCCACCTAACAACGATGTATCCATGCCAAGTGGACTAAAGTGAATGTCATCCAGATTATAAGATGGGAAACTTGTTTTGGGTGTCTCATTGAATGTATCACGGGGGCTGTTATTGGAGCTCTTCACAAGTGGAGGAGATACTTCATAATCGTCTAAATTGAGAGAAAATCGTTTTTCAAGCTGTTGAGTTTCCCTTCTTGGACTCTTAAGCAGATATTTTTCATCTAATCCATTAGACTGCTGCGGGCTTTCAAACTGTATATGAATAGAGTCATTCAATGGAGAGCCCAAGCCATTTTTCTGTTCTTGGGATACTTTTAAATTGTTAAGTCTTTCAGCAAGACGTGTTGCTTCTCCAGTATTCCCTTCATCTACGACATGTTCAGTCTCTATAGAATTGTTAATTTGATTCGTCTTTTCCCGTAATCGCTTATACCTTGCTATGACATCATTACTCGACACTGACTCCTTCATAGCTGCGCTTGTTATGGAATCTAACTTCTCTGTTCTAAAAGCAGGGTTTGTTTTGCTATTTGGAGAGGGTTTCGGGGATCTCCATTGTTCACGAATGAAATTTTTCACTGTGCCAGTTTGACCAAATGTATCATCTCTTGATAGTGGGCTAGTGGTTGGAGTATGAGATGTAACAGATAAAGACCGAGAAACATGAGGGGACACCTCTGTAAATGTTGATAAATGAGAAAACTGATTTTGATTCAGATCATTTCTATCTTTTGGACTTAAGTTGAGAAAGTCAGTATTTCTATTCTGTTCAGGGGATATGGTATCACAGTCATCTAAGAATCCTTGGGGCATTTCAACACTAGTTAATAAGTCACTATTGTTAAGTGCTGAATTGTTCAATGTCACTGGGGAATATGCTTCATGTCCTAATGTTATTGGTCTCTCAGAGGAAATGTTATTGTTGCTGGTATTTGCAGTTCTTCTAAAAGGTAACTGTGGTGTGACACCATTCCCTAACTGTGGAGACAGACCAGACATTGTGGAACTAGTTCCTAGTGATTTTGGAGTAGTGCCATTTAGGAATAGATCTCCATATGTCTTCTGGAGACTTTCATTGACATTGATGTTTTCTGTATGTTCAGATTCAAGATGGCTACCAAGTATATTCAAATCTGTAGCAGGGGAACCACCATTGAGGATACTAAAATCAAGTGAAAATTTCTCATCGGGGGAACGAGATGTTCCAGGTTGTAAATGATGTACATTAGCTGCAGAATTCACAGCCTTTTCTGGAGAACTTTGCAGAGATTTCCTCAGCTCCTCCCTATATTCTGTAATACTTCGATCCAAACTTTCTGCAAAGTTTTTGATCATTTCAAATGAATCATCATCATGAGGCTCCGGCCCATGTTGTGAATTTGATACTGTGTTATTGTTAGTATTTTCATCCTTGAATCCTACTGGGATGCCTGTTTTCCCATATAGATAACCACTGTCCTTAGGAGGGCTATTATTGTTCCTATGTTCTAAGACATTGGCTGTGTGTCTTAAACCTGCACCAGAGTGCCTTAAATCTGTGTTTAAGTCTCTTAAAGCCCCTTCCTTGGATTCATTCTCTGGATGAGCAGATATCGAAGTGATAGGTAGGGTCTCCCGCAAATCAGACTCCAGAGGTTGCTTATTCTGTCTACGCTGTGGAGAATTGTATATGGTGTCAGCATCTAACAGACATGGCTCTCTTGATTGGGATTGAGGATGACCTATATTGGATGTAAAAAATAATGACTACAATTAACTAATGTAAAAGCTGCATTATTTATATTATTTTAATTCTCTCATTATTGCGGTTTCTTGGGTATAAAATGGAACATTCAATAAACAAGTAAAGTTAAATTGGTAATAATTTTGATGCATCCCACCCACCCTCAGCATGGTAGCATGGGCATACTCCCATAAATCTAGGGTTGATTTTTCTTTCAAGCTGGATTAATGGTTATTTAGATAAAATTCAGCTTTGTGTCAACTACTGACAACGTTTTCTCAACCCCAAGATTTTAATACACAAGTAGTTGTGGGGGTGATTTGAAAAATTACCCTCATATTTATGGGGGTATATGGGCACAATGCAATACAGTGTAAATTGCAAAGTAATGTAAGTATTGTTCTTACCTGAAATTGACGTCTGCTTGGGAGAAAGGGGAAAAGTTGCTCCTGGTTGCACATCTTTTTGAGTGACTTCTAATGTTACAATCCCTGCTTCAACTGAAAGAAGAATTATAGTGAGATGATTTATCAATTAATCTAGGTGATCAAAACAAATGAAAGCATGAAGTTTTAGCTTTAGATTCATTCAAATACAAGAAATCATAAGAAGTTGAAATAATTTCAATATAATCCTTTTTTAATTTCGAATATGAAAGATATAATTGAAGATACAACACACAACAATGGATATAGGGTGGATAGATATAAAACAACACTTCAAGACTAAATCTGCTTAATATCAAGATTCTGTTTAAGCTCAATAGTATTTCCTTACCATCTTCATCTGAAAACAGTGTTTTACTGACAGAATCCAGCTTGTCATGAGACTGGTCTTGCAGGAGTGTTTGGTGCCAAGTAGTAGCGCCCTCTGGTGTTCGCGACAGCTTGTTCTTGGTTTGAAATGCACCTTCATCTAAAAATACAAGTTAGATACAAGGTTAATATACCAATGTACATCCACATACTTCATTAGCAACTTTAGCAACTCCCAAGAGTAGGGAGTCCCACCAAGCAAAACATATTTCATCATATCACTATTGTGTCTGAAGGAATATGCCTCATGGCATCACTGATTTTATTATCTGCTGTGAGTAAGGAAGACTTTTTGGAAGTTGTAAGACAAAATCCCTTAGGTAAATCATTAATTGGCCGCTCCGCACCAAGAATTAGTATGTTCACAATATCCCCTGAACAAACATTGTAATTATTATTAAAATCATTTTCTGTAAAATAACAAATCAGCCATCATCATGAATTTTTACACTGACAATATTGTACCTAATGCTTGCATAGGGGACTGCAAGTTTATATCATAAGTACCTAATGCTTGCATCGGGGACTGCAAGTTTATATCATAAGTACCTAATGCTTGCATCGGGGACTGCAAGTTTATATCATAAGTACCTAATGCTTGCATCGGGGACTGCAAGTTTATATCATAAGTACCTAATGCTTGCATAGGGGACTGCAAGTTTATATCATAAGTACCTAATGCTTGCATAGGAGACTGCAAGTTTATATCATAAGGTGATAATGCTGGACTTGAATCATTGGACCTCATCTGCTGAGCAACATCAGGGGTCTCTGACATCATGGCATCAGCTATCTAAAACAACACAAATATATCTCTCTTTAATACCTCTAAATGGAATTGATAGAGCAATACTTCAGAGACTGTCTCATTTTGTTAATTGCTACATCGGTGAGACACCCTTGCGAACAAAGCACACCTTTTGGAGTGCTAATTAAATATACAGAAATAGGATTTTGCAATTATTATCATATTATTAGTTTATGATATTGTCTTTACCTTCTTACTATAATTTAGTGAAAAATATATATGGGTGTGCCTTACAATAATGGCTAGCACTCACCTAATATCTATTTAACTATGGACTTCCAATTTTCATGTTAGTCAGTGTTTTAATTTTACAAGACTTGAATTCATTGTTTTTGACACTACCTGCAACATGTACATGATGGTAAGACAATCAGCAATCGCTTGATTTCTTCATTTTCTTCAAAATCTTACCACCAAACTGTGCTGCCACCTATGATAGGACGCCACACATTACTAAATATATACGAATGTAAGTTCCCAGAGTCTCTGTTTATACACTTATTTTTCTCTCTGGAGACTCTGGAAACTATATGCTCAGTAATGTGTAGCTTCCAATCATACTTCATAGGTAGGAGCACAGTTTGGTGGTAACATTCTGAAGAAACTGAAGAAGTCTAAGTCTGATGAAACTGCTGAAGAAACGTCTATACATATTGCAGGTAGTGTCAAAAAAATGAATTCAAGTCTTTTAAAATTGTTCCACTGACTTACATGAAAATAGGGAGTCCATGGTTGTATCATGTACATGTTGCAGGTAGTGTAAAAAACAATGAATTATAATGTATCATTCCTATCTCACAAACTTGTTTACAAATTAACAAGACTTGGTTTCAATGCAAACATTACATTACCCTATCAACAAGCTTCTGGTGTGCAGGTGGGGTCTTAACAGGTGTCTGGTAGTCGGAGTTTCTAACCACAAGAGGGACTTTTGCTTCAGTACCAAGCTTCCTTACATCCTACAATTGGCCAAAGACTATATATTTTCATAGGTTAAAGGGCCCAAATACAGTTTAAACAACATTGGGTTATATTGTAGTCTTACCCAATGTTATCGAAATGTGGTAAGGGAAACAAAATTTTTTTCTAATTTCAAAATGTGGTTTTTGAAGAACTTTTTGTCGAAAAATCATGAATCATGAATTTATCTAAAACTAAATTTAGAGGTCAAAAGTATCCTTCAATAATTGGTTAAACACGTTGTGTTTATGTCATTTTGTTCCAATGAGGTTCGGATAGATGTTTCATTTCATTCCGAACATAAGATACCAAGAACAAAAGAAGTGTCCGATGTATTTTCTAGAACAATATAGAGAAAAGTATGTTACCATTCAAAAGATGACCATTAAGTAAAATTTTCAGAATTTTTTGATGACTGGTTTAAGAGAAACGTGTACTCAAAAAGTTCGCCATATTGATAGTATAATCCTTTATCAATAATGATTTGTAGAGTGTGGGGATTAATAAACTGGGAAAATGTCCTGCAAGAAATGATCTGAACTGTTTCAAAAAGTGTGGATAAATCATGTGTTCATTGCTGTTTTAATAACAAAAATTTGTCCTGACACAAAAAAATCATATCCTGTTTTGTAAGAAGTGGGGGAAATCGACAGACAAATGACGTCATTCATTGGGGGTTTCAACATTTTCAAAACACCCTTGGAATAATATTACATTCATATCTGGTGTGTTACAGTACCAACATCATAGCTTGTAATTTTACATCATGGTAAAGAAATATGTAAGGTATGTGCTAACAGAAAAACTAAAACATCACGACGTGTGGTATTCAAAAACTATATCTGTCGACTCCTAAGCTCTGGGGGTTTCTCTCCTCTTTTGAATAGGTTATTGAAGAGGAAGGCAAAAATATCATAGATGACAATACATTTGTTTTTTAATAATTTGCAATTTTGAATTAATATCATAATGGCAAGATGCTTAACTTTCCCATCGATGTACCATTAGTAAGTAGAACTGCTTCAAACTGTGGCATTCTGACAAAATGACAATTTGATTTGGAGAATACTTTACTATACCTTTTTGTTCGTTGGTTTCCTATTTGCTCTAACTGTCTGTGAAGTGAGATTTTCCCGAGCCTTTGATACGTCCTTATTTGGAGTTAATACAGGGATAGCTTCTTTCTGGGTTCTGGCACCAGATGGGGCTGATTGAATCCGAGTACGCTGTTTGTTGCCGACTCTTTCAACATCAACAAATTGGTAGACTGGTTTTGGAATTTGAGAATCTTTAGACAGTTTAGTGCCATCACTAAAATTAATGAAAATAAATTTTTTGAAGTCTCCTTTATTTTAAACATTCTTCTTAATGGGGTTAAATACAAAAGATGGGCCCTGAGTGATATCCCCTTCTCCCAGAGAATCTAAATAATCCCCATCCCCTGAACAGCAAGAGGTTCTCCAACATACATACCTAGCATTCGAGTAGACCTTAGTCCCCATCTTAGGTGCATATACTGGGGATCCTTGTACAAGAGAACTATGGCGAAGTTTTGAGGCCCGACTAATGGTGTCTGCTAGTTGGGAAACTGCTTCGGGAGTCATCACTGGAACAGATGTTTTTATTTTACCATGGACGGAAAAATGGCCTCATTTCTGGTCTGATCACCTGTCCGCCAGACAAATACATCTTTTTCAAAAAATGTAGTCTCCTGTTTTTACATGTTAAAATTAGAAAATCAGCAAGAGAAAAGATGCTTTACACTACTTAATTACAACAAATAAAATTCCAATTTGGGTCACTACCTTTGTCTTGTGTATTTCTTTTCAGCAAAGACTGTGTACTATTGCCCTGTGGTGTTGCGATGTTATCTGTAGAGAATGATATGGGAGGTGTGGTAGGAACAAGTCCAAGACGAACAGACTGAAAATATATCAAACACAATCAGTATTTCACTTGTGTATTATCAATTTAATGAGCAGTGTTACAAGTAGAGAGCTTTTCAGTTGTCATGTCAAACTGTCTTTGATTTTTGAGCTCTTTTCCACACATTGAGACAGCCTACCATATTCCCGCACCCTAATGAATATCAGAATAAAATCTCACACTTGAAATTCATGTTTTAATGGCTATGATTTTATTATTTCCTTGCAGCAAAATCTGTCAACAAAATTTAATAAAAAATGTACTTGTATGCAAATTAGTACTAATTAGTACTATATTAGTATCCAATTTCTGTCATTTAAATGTAAGAATAACATCATAACCAATGAAGCTGTGATATACTGAGCTGGTGCATACATACTGCTGATTTTGTCTGATGGGGCGTTCTGGAGCTTGTATTGGTTTTCAAACTTTTCCTTAGTTGTTCTATTGAGGTCTTCAGTTCAGGTACAAGTTGACTTGATAACTCATTCCTGGAAAATATAACATGTCTCAATTCCATAAGGTATTATTATTGCTCATGTGTCAATTTATTTTTTGTTGAGATTTGGATTTGATGATACATTAATAAATAATCTGGACTTCAGAATTGTGTAGATTTAAAAATGTAAAATTGCTTTGTAACCATATTGACTGAACATATTGGTGACTTAGTCCCATGGGTGTATTTACTCCACTGAAAGTTTGAAAGAAACAATATAAGTTATTGAATGATTTGAAGTGCAATACAGGATATATTCTGCTTGAGAAATTCCGTATTGGAATGAGACGAAGTCGATTGCCAATACAGAATATCGAGAGCAGAATATATCCTGTATTGCACTTCAAATCATTCAATAACATTTTTATCGTGTGATCCTCTGTATTGCTACTGATTGTCCCCTCCGTACCAATATTTTCTGTATTGCGACAGAGATGATTAATGGACCAATCAGAAGGCTTCATTTTACAGATCATACGATAAATAACCATATCAGACCTTACTAATATGCACTTTGTATACTACAAAAATACTTTCTTGGTTGAACTCTTACCTCAATGTTCTTGCATTAGTTAAGTGAGCGTGGTGAGTGTGGACCAGACCAGCCACTTTGCCTGCACATTCCTCAAATGATCTCAGGCCAACTTTATGCAGCTTCTCAATATAAAGGTGAAGAGATAGGTTCCATAAGTTGATCAGGCTTATAAGATTGAGCTTTCCATTCTCGTAAACATTCGACACACCTCTCTGTTGGAAGTATATGAAGACAAGTGAAATGTATACGGTATGTAAATAGCAAAACAGCAACTTCCGGGAGCAAATCCCAACAAACAAAACATATTTTGTGAAATCACTCGTCATTATGAACATTGCATGATAGAAATAAATACATGTAGGGAGTAGTATTGTCTCCTTTTGGAAAATCTAAATACTCTGAGAGATGTCATATTATAAATTTCTTCTTGAGATGAGGATGAAGACCATAAGGCTTTAGCTTATAAAATATGGACCAAACAGAATGACTGGTATTTGCATATTGAGAAAAAACTATATTTCTTCTGAAAAAATGATGACCATTTTGATTTCAGCAGCCATTATGGATTGTAAATTCTAAGATCTTATACTTATTTCTTAACTCTGAGTTAGATTTCAGAAAAAAAATACCCTTTGCAATTCTTCTTGGCATTCTCGTAATAATATATCCGGGACTTTCACATGTATATCTCCAGCATCAAGTCTATGCTGATCCAGCGAGCGCTGTAAGATGGATGATACTACATCACGTTCTGGAGTATTTGACGTATAGAAATCATCTAGAAGTTTCCAGAGGTCCCGTACCTACAACCATGAAGCAAGACAGAGAATCAGAATTGCAATAGTGAAAAAGAGGCAATATGATTGGTAAATTTTACCTGCGCCCATATCTGAAAATTGGTGATCTTAGTTGTGCATGTTATTGTAAGGAAGATTTCTGATTATTTTGAAAATCAAGAATGGATAGGGGATAGTGTGACAATAAATTCTTCAAATAATTCAAATACGGTAGGCCTAACCAGAACAACGGCAACGCCAAAGCGTAGCGAATCCCATCGAACAGAAATGGCTGGCATTTTTACAAACGAAATATATAGCAAATATCATAAAACAACACACCAGAAAGGCCACCATTTTCAAAATGGTTGCTCACAAGCCAAGTTGTCATCAGAAGAAATAATATGCTTTTAAGTAGCCACCTATAAAATTTTTGAAAAATTGCACACATGTACTTGTAAAATAACACACATAAAAATGGTGGCCATTTTTCAAAATGGCTGAGTACTCCCCAAAGTTTTATTAGACAATGTGCAATGCTTAGAGTATTCACATATCAAATATGAACAAAATCGCTCCACTATTTTTCGAGTTATAGTAAAAATGTAAAAATGACAGCCATTTTTTAAAATGGCCGCCTACTATCCCAAGTGTCATGAGACAGTGTGCATTAGGCTGATGAGTATTCACATATCAAATATGAACAAAATCGCTTCACTACTTTTCAAGTTATAGTAAAAAACGTAAAAACGGTGGTCATTTTTCAAAATGGCAGCCTACTACCAAAAGTGTCATTAGACAGTGTGCCATGCTTATAGTATTCACATATAAAATATGAAACATACCAAATATGAACAAAATCGCTGAAACACTTTTCAAGTTATAGTAAAATACGTTAAAATGGGGCCATTTTTCAAAATGGCCACCTTCTACCAAAAGTGTCATTAGACAATGTGCCATGCTTTTAGTATTCACATACCAAATTTAAACAAAATCACTCAAAGGAATTCCTCTATTTAAGAGTTTGTTTTTAATAGACTTGGCACCAAGGGTAAACCAGACTTCGAGTTGATCATACCGTTAGTTCTCTAATACATTATATATATATTAGCCCCTGCCCTTAACTTTGATACCACCAAGAATACTCTCAGTATGATTTCAGCAGATTCAGATTTCATATAGCCCGTGCCCTTAGCTTTGATACCACTGAGCATACTCTCTCTGTATAGTATACTTTTTTAATAAAAAAGTTCTAAAATCTAAATATACATATGATTGTTAATTGCATTGCATTGCAGACATCCACAAGTGATAATAAGTGATAATTTAAAGGTATTATTACTATTCTTCATGCACTTGCTATAGTTGGTTAACAATTAGAGTTAAACCTCCTGGCATTTATCCTGAATATACCTTTTAATGATATAACAAACATTTCTTAGAATCCAATGTGATTAACATGGAATTCTAAGAAAGACAACAGATTAATACTAAAAAGGTATTGCCCTCCACAAACAGTAATATTTATGTTTGCTGTTTGCAACAACCTTTCACTAAAAATACCCATTTGATGGAAGGTTCACTGTACCCCAAACAACATATTGCTATGTTCATGTATTGTATTGATATTTACCGAGATAATAACATCATAATATGTTATTTCCTCTATCAATAACCTACAACCTTCTACAGTAAATAAATAGAGGCCATACACAGAGACGGTCTGAATATGGGATATATCCTTCAGGATGATCTAATATCCAATCATTGACAAGAGTATTGACAAAACCCATATACAAGCCCAATCACAATATCACCATTTAACTATATACAGGGTGGCCTTTAATAACAACAGCGCTTCCTCTCTACAGTAAAATTACAAAATATCATTTTAAAAAGAATTAATTCTGGAGATTTAGCCATGTATTAGTACTTTTGAAATCATTTTTAACTTTGAAGTGTAGTATACCTTTTGTACTTTCTGTGCTCTCTTTACAGCTTGAGTGTCAAAGTCATAGTCATATAGTCCTGAAGACTTCCTCCTCCTTGGACTGAAAGTACATATAGCAGTTATATTATAAAGAACATTTCGAATGTTTTTCTGTTGAATTCTACTGGGAGTAAAAATGTGTGGTTTGTATAACTATAATATCTTTAATTAAAGTACCTCTATAAAGTGAACTCCTTACAAAGAGAACAGAGTGAGAACACCACTTTACAAAGTGAGCACCTCTTTAAAGTGAACACTTTCCAAAGAGAACAGAGTGAGAACACCACTTTACAAAGTGAGCACCTCTTTAAGTGAACACTCTACAGAGAGAACAGAGTGAGAACACAACTTTACAAAGTGAGCACCTCTTTAAAGTGAACACTTTCCAAAGAGAACAGAGTGAGAACACCACTTTACAAAGTGAGCACCTCTTTAAGTGAACACTTTACAGAGAGAACAGAGTGAGAAACCACTTTACAAAGTGAGCACCTCTTTATCTTTAAAGTGAACACTTTACAAAGAGAACAGAGTGAGAACACCACTTCACAAAGTGAGCACCTCTTTAAAGTGAACACTTTACAGAGAGAACAGAATGAGAACACCACTTTACAAAGTGAGTACCTCTTTAAAGTGAACACTTTACAGAGAGAACAGAGTGAGAACACCACTTTACAAAGTGAGCACCTCTTTAAAGTGAACACTTTCCAAAGAGAACAGAGTGAGAACACCACTTTACAAAGTGAGCACCTCTTTATCTTTAAAGTGAACACTTTACAAAGAGAACAGAGTGAGAACACCACTTTACAAAGTGAGCACCTCTTTAAGGTGAACACTTTACAAAGAGAACAGAGTGAGAACACCACTTTACAAAGTGAGCACCTCTTTAAAGTGAACACTTTACAAAGAGAATGCATACAGAGTGAGAATACCACTTTACAAAGTGAGCACCTCTATTAAGTGAACACTTCACAAAGGGAACTCAGACAGAGTAGGCACCCTGACAAAATGAACAGTTTACATAAGAAACTTTCTACACCATGAGCACCTCTACAGAGTGAATACTCTGCAAAAGGGAATAGTCTCAAGGTGAACACTTCACAAAGAGAACACTCTACAAAGTGAGCACCTTACAATGTGTACATATTTCAGAAATGTCACATGACCCTTCAGGACGAAATAAATTTTCAATAATCAAAAAATCAATATCTAATCAAATATCTATAAATTACTTATTTGTGGAATTTTCAAGATTTCAAACACAATATCACTTTTGCTACATTTTGAATGTTTATTAAGAGAAACCAAGATCTCTGCTGGCATCTAGTCAATTAATTTATATTAATAAAATACCACTTTTAATTCATTTATTTAATAAATTCAAAATTACAATTTTTATTAAATCAGAAATCAATCTATCCAAGGATTTGTTGATTGGTGACAAAATACAAAGCAAATATTGATGATTTTAGAAAATCAAAAAACAGAGTTCAAACGGTCAAACAAAATCTATCAACCATAGTACTCTGATGACATATGCCAAAAATTAATTATTTTCCATTGCAGTGACAGGTTGAATATAAATATGAGTTGACAAAAATTCAGTCATTAGTGAAAATGAAGATATCAAGTGCAGTTATACATGCTACAAGTTTCTTAATAGCATTAGCTATTATAGGTAAGAATATTTATTAAGTTATTTAACTTTAGAAAAGTGCCAATATTTAGACCAGGTAACTGATCTTTAAGTGGCATAATTTGTTTTTTTAACCATTTTTAACAGATTCCTTTGGGTGGGGAGGTTGTTTGGTTATTCAAGACACACAATTTTATGAGATTTACAGCAAGATTGAAATTTTAACGTTTCATTAAATTCAATTTCACCGAGAATTTTTTTTGTAAGTTTCCTATATGATGATTGAGACCCCAAAATAAGTGACATGTACATAAATGTGACATTTCTTATAGTTTAGTTTAGTTTAGTTTTATTGTTATTTACAGTGGTAGGTTCAATACAATGCAATACAATACAATACAATACAAAAGTAATAAAAAGCAACCCAGCCCACTTGGGCTTATCAACCACTAATGTTAAAAATTACAATTAGATTCATAACAAACAATTTTAAAAATACTAGCATGAATTTCTTAGACACATACATGCAGTTAAATTCAATTTACATTATAACATTTCTTATAATACTGAACACGGTGCTTTGTATGATTTTAGCTGAAACATTAAAATGTGGATTGGACATACCAATTGTTATAGATGTCAGTTGCAGTATAAGCAATGAAAACAAAACTGCAATGCAACAAACAATCCCAAATATAGCATTCCAACTAAATACTTTAACTGGGTGTGGTGACTATGCGTTAGAAAGTAGAATGACAGTTATCACATTTGCCCGAGAACTGAAACTCCAATGGAGCCTGAACGCAGTCGATAGTTGTAGCAGCTTAGAAAGACATCTCACTGGTGTGGATTTATTGAGACCGATGGGGTGTAATACTAAAACGAGTGAAGCCATAAAAATTGCATATCAGGAACTTGTCAGTAGCAAACGTCCAAACAATAAACAAGCAATCCTTGTTATAACTGATGGTGGTTCCTTCCCGGTTAAACCATACCATAAAGACCTCTTAAATATTGGGCAACTGTTTGCAAGTAAGTAGACCAATGGCTTAATGAACAATTTGTTTATATCTTTGTTATATGTTTAAACATTTAAGGCCTAAAAAAGGCCAAATATGCCCAAAAAAGCCCATTTTTAAGGCTCTACAAAATTTTCGGGCCTAACATTTTTTGGCCCCTAAAATTTTTTTCTGGGCCCACAAAAGGGGGGAGGGGGGGCATCTACCCCCCCCCCCCCTCGAATCCGCTGGACTAATATTTTTTCTTTTTGCTTGCACATTTATATTCCTGTGATAGGGTTTAACCCTTTGAGTGCCGGGGGTTTTTGGAATTGTTATGACGTCAAAATGCCACAGAATTACGACTAATATTGATGAAAAATGTCGATTTTTATGTTTTTGCCACTCCATGATATTTCTTCTACTGGTATCTATCTTGATGATATTGCAAGTGTTAAAATGCTTTATTTTCACTTTTAGTTACTATGGTAACATGTTGAACGTCACTTAATCAATACATATTTCAGTTCTTAGAGGGGTTTTATAGCTAAAATTAACATTGGAAATATCGCACGATTGAAAGAAAAAAACTTTGAAAACTAAACGTAATTACTTTTAATAATGGCAATTATTGTTTCTTGTGCAACACATTTGGCGTAGCTTATTAAATATTTTAAGACAATAATTCAAATTAAAATATGATACAAATATTTATCCTCTTTCTTTTATTATTCCTTCTTTCAAATTAAAGAAATTGAGCATATACGAACAATACACATGCTATGCACAAAAACAATGAATAAATATACAATATCAGGATAATTCAAATTCATACAAATTCAGGATAACTTTAATTGGCTGAACATTTGTGATGTGTATAATAAACCATGGTTTAATTATGAAAGCCTACTTGTACTTGTTTGTATAAATCGTAAACGTGAAGCTAGTACCATGCGAAACAAGTGACCAACAAAATAGTATGTATAAGCCACATCTTATACATTACGTTATATAAACGAATCATGTCAATATGCTAGTCTGTTAGTATTTTCAGCACACATGGTGTCTGCAACAGTCCAAGTGAAGACCCTTGGCACACTTGGCGAATGCATTACGGAATATACGCCTCCTGCCTGCATCTTTATCACTCCAAATACAAACGCACCAGTCCTTTTCCCGCGTTCCAGGAAGATTCCGGACCCTCACGATCGGCTGGTCAATGATGGATATCTACAACTAGAAAGGCGATGAAGGCCATGTGAAAGTCTAACCTTGAAAGCAGAGCTGCATTGTTTTCATTAGTAATTTTATTAGCATTGAGCAACATTCTCTGTATGATGTACACTTTCACTTTCTTCATGCTGGATATCTAGGGAGGCGATGACGGCCAGGTGAAAGTCTAACCTTACAAGCGGGGCTGGTTTTTTCCTTATAAATTTAAAAATAATCAATACTGCACTAATCCATTTTTATTTTCTGTTGAAAGTATACTGTGTGATATCTCAAACGTACTCAGACAACCAATTTTACTTTGGATAAACAATATTCCAAATCAGCCTATAGCATTAAGTGATTTAAATGACTGATATCTCAAACGTACTCAGTCAACCAATTATACTTTTGATAAATTATTTAAATGACTGATTTGTTAATTACGAAAATAGATCGAACATAGTCTGATTCCATCCATCACCTGGTATGAATGAAAAAGTCATTTTTATATCGTCCATGCTTCAACGTAGTGTAATACTTAAAATGATCAACACTACTTTGCGCTAAACGCCGATCTCAAACGTACTCAGACAACCAATTTTACTTTGGGTAAACAATATTCAAAATAACCCATAGCATTAAATGATTTAAATGACTGATTGTTTTAATTATGACAATAGGCCGAACATAATCTGATTCCATCGTTTATCAAGAAGATGTATCAATTATTAGTCAGTTAGTATGGCCAAAAGCATTGTCAACTATATTTCGAGATAATGTTTGCGATATGAAATCTGTGAAAGATTCAGTTAAAACAAAAGATTTTTCCTTGGGGGAGATAAGGGTAGTTACGGAAAATAGTAGAATGTTTGTCATTATCCACAAAAAAACTTTAATAGTATCGTCCTAAAAATGTTTTCTGCAATGAGGTACATGAAGGCATGCAGTTGATTATGCAAGTATTATAGAACCAAATACATGAAATAAAGTTTTCTTTGCGTGCAACTGCAACAGAAGTTTCAAGAATTTCTTGATAATATGAGTTTATTTCTCCATGTATTTGAATGAAGTTTGTTTGATGTACAAATCTTTCCTCGCCCAATGTTGAAGTACATTTGTACATTTTCAGATGGAAAAAGAATATCCCCGCTATTCTATAATACGAATTAAGGTGTAATAAATAGAAATGAACAAATATGTCAGCATTTTTCAATCTACGTGGATTCTGTAAAAGAACACGTAAGGTACGGTTTCAAAGTATGCTGAAAAGGATATCTGCTTATACATTGATACATGCGCGGCCTTGACAGAACAAACCTACTAACCCATATACGTGGGCTACTAACCTAGATACGTCTAGCTAATTTGCATAAAGTTGTAGCAGTCTGAATCCACTTTTTTGCTCTAAACTCGCTGTATAAAAAATGGAATTTATTAGTCTTTAACTCTGCTGTTGATTGACAGACTTCGAAAAAATAATACCATGGCTCGGAAGTATAGCTTTCCGATGGTTCCACTTTTGTAATGACCAAATTGCGAGAAAATGGAGGAAATGGAGAGTAAAGGTGATTTCTCGAATGCCAAGTTTCACTTAAGAAATGCTGCGTTCTGATTGGCCGACTTTCTTGCAGTCCCAATCCACTTTAGCTCTCCAAACTCACGTTTTACAGAAATGATACTTATCGGTCTTTTCTCCGCCATTTTTCGATCGATTTCTAAAAGCATAATGTCATAGTGAAGCTTACATTGCCAGTTTCCAGATGGTATCACTTTTGAAGCGATCCACGTGCGAAAAGAAGGTAAAATTTGAGCGGGAAAAAGTTTCTCGATAATCGAAGATTCACTTTAGAAATACTGAGGAATCTGGCATTCTGATTGGTCAGTTTTCCTGCATTCTCAAGCCACTTTTCCGACTCCAAACTGAGTTGTTAGAAATGGCACTTACATCTCTCGATTTTGTTTCACAAAATGACTAATATCTGAAATTGATATACCTGAAACGTCAGTGTAAAGGATGAATCAAATCCGAAATTATTCAAGAAGATGAGGTTATATATAAAAACGATGAAATAAAACTAAAAACCTCTTTGGTTTTATGTAATTCTCGTCTCTGGAATGTCTGAAGAATACCTAAACCGCAAAGACTTTTGCCAAAAATAAATGAAACTAAAAATATTATTAGTAACTAGAACCCACGGGAGTAATTGTATAGGTTCTAAATAGCTGAATAACGCTGATATAATAGTTATCACTTTTGTTTGTTTTTGACTTTACTTGGGCCAGACCTCCATTCACTTCAATGCTAGAAACGTGCAATAGTCACTTAATTTCATGATTTATCAAAAAGTGTTGGTTGAATCTGTCTGATACTCGAATGACATACTATTGGATGACCCTGTCAATGTACATATTGTGATTAAACATGAAATGTTGGTTGTCATACAAATTAGCCAAGGCTTGAATGAATTTTAGCATTGCTCCAATGGGGATTTGGCCCACGTTTTTTCAAATGTCATGGAAAATGATTTAAATGACACAACTGTGTAAATCAAAGCTATATTGGAGAAAATTTGTCACTGAATTCAAATATGCTATCAAAAATAGAGATAATAGAGATAAAAAGTGCAAATCTCTTAAAATCTCGACATGAAAAAACGAGAGTTAGCGAGATTTCAAAGCTAGATTTTCTATTGCACACGGTAGAATTTAAATGCACGCGAGTAAATTGTTATTTTATATATGTTCTTCTAATATGAATAAAAAAATTGATGCCATCTCTATATTTATCATTGCCGAAATTATGTACAAGGGAGGTACTGTATATTGTTGCAATTCACAATTTCAGGGAAAATAGGCTGTAATCGGCCCTTGTGCCCTGGAGTAGAAATAAGCGATATCTAGGACAAAATATTTTGTATCATTAAATTTAAACCCCTTATTTATGTAAAATTCTTTAAAATTGTACTTACTGCAATATGATACTGCGAGCCCATCGTCTTCACTGGTAGGGTAAAACAGGTTAATTGTATTAAATAAACACAAAACTAAATAGTGGATTCTTTATATTTATGATCATTCAAACACTTTTTATTACTAGTGCATTTAATCATCTCAGCGTTTGCATATTCTTTGACAATATTGTCTGTAAATCCAGATCCCCTAAACGTATACGTATATTGCTTGCTATACTCACGAATGAACAAATTATTTACCCAAAGAAATATACATAATGTATCGCCTTTTTTAATGTTCACGGACGTTAAAAAATCAGATAAACTAAGGAAATGGTTAACTCATTTCATATTTGATTTGTTTGATAAGGCATAATGTAGGCCTACTTGGCTACCGCAGCGTCCATCGTACAAACACGAAAACGGACGCTCTTAATCAATGATCAGTTCACATTTCCACATCCAAAAGTATTTCATTTTTATTTTCAGTTTATACATAATGTGTAATGTCATTTCTGTATATTCACATGGATTATAATGATGATAAATACATGTTTTACATTCTTACAGTTAATTTCATGTTTCAAAAATGTTAATAGTACGCAACAATTTCAAGACAACAGTAAGCGTTCTAAAATGCTGAAAATCATATGCGTTCAAAGTATAATAAATAATACACTCATTTACAAATAAGTGACTTTGGTATATTTGCAACGAGTTACTTACAAATCAACGTTTATAGGGACAACATTTTGGGCCAATATTAACGAAATCCTTGAATGCCAAGCTTGTTAATAAGCATTAATTTTTCGATATTGTAAGATGCCCAGCGTTTGTAAAATATAACTACATTGTATACTGTATATGAGGCATAGATCAGGTCGAATTATTTATAATGAAAAAAACAAACATTACGTTTCATTCATATTCATGCATATAACATCTTATTTCCAATACACGAATTTCAAGTATTTACTTCATTTGCACACTAAATTACGTTAACAGATACAATCTAACAAACATCAGCGTTTGCAAAAATACGAAAATCACGTGCGTTCATAGCATAATAAAAAGTTACCTCAGTTAGTTTGCAATACAATTTCTTTAATTACTTGACCAGTAACGTATTATTCACCATTCATAGGGACATTATTCAATCTACTATATTCGGGCCGATATGCAATTAAACCTTGTCAACTTTGTTGAAACGCGTTTACTATACGATGTTGTAAGATACCCAGCGTCTGTTAAATCAACTTAAATCAAACTGAGACCGGGTCGATTTATTAAGACCGACCTAAACAAACATAAATAAATAAGAATAGATTATTCGTTCTCAGTTGATGACATATTTCCCTGTGTATATAAACGCGTTATTTTGGGCCGATTTTGGGCCGTTCTTGGCACTTTAGCGACATACATTTTCCCATCGGCCGAATCGGCCCAATGGCACTCAAAGGGTTAAGGGCAAAGATTCTAAAAACAAACCTTTCCATTTCAGTGATCGAGTTTTGAGTGCAAGTGATTTAGCTAGAAAACAATAACATATTTTTTCAATATGTTACATACTACATGTATGTATTTTCATTTCAGTGATAGGATTAAACGTTTATGTGATTCGGCTTGAAAACACCTATTTCAAAGTTGGCAATGGTGACGCTGATAAAGAGAGGATGAATGCCGAAATTGAAGCTCTCTCTAATGGAATTCCTAATCGAGTATTTAGTTCCACCATTGACACATTTTCCAAAGTTTTATCAACAGCCATTGCAGAAATATTCAAAGATGTTGATAGAAGCTGCTCAGAAGAAGGTATAATTGTTAAAGTTTCATATTGTAAAAAAATTCTTTTGTTGCTTAAGTAATGTACTGTACCAAGAACTGATTATAAAGTTAGTTTGTTCAAAGTAACAACAGATTAAAAAGGCTTTACTTTCTAAAATGAAAGCAAGATGATGGAGTCTTGAATTATACTGAAAGTAATAAACTATATATGGCATTATGCTGGATTATAGAAAAATTGCATTTCAATAAAAAGTAATAACTCTGTGTATATAAATAGAAAATATTTGTTAATGAGAAACAATGAAAAAGAAATTAATGAAATATACAATATTAAAAGTTCAAGTAAAGTATTCTAATGCAATTGAGAATAAGCTATACACTTTGATCAATCTTTGTCTCTTAGATAAGCTATATATATTTTGATCAATCTTTGTCTCTCAGATAAGCTATATATATTTTGATCAATCTTTGTCTCTCAGATAAGCTATATATATTTTGATCAATCTTTGTCTCTCAGATAAGCTATATATATTTTGATCAATCTTTGTCTCTCAGATAAGCTATATATATTTTGATCAATCTTTGTCTCTCAGATAAGCTATATATATTTTGATCAATCTTAGTCTCTCAGATAAGCTATATATATTTTGATCAATCTTTGTCTCTCAGATAAGCTATAAATATTTTGATCAATCTTTGTCTCTTAGATAAACTATATATATTTTGATCAATCTTTGTCTCTCAAATAAACTATATATATCTGTTGATCAATCTTTGTCTCTCAGATAAGCTATATATATTTTGATCAATCTTTGTCTCTTAGAAAAGCTATATACACTTTGATCAATCTTTGTCTCTTAGATAAACTATATATATTTTGATCAATCTTTGTCTCTCAGATAAGCTATATATATTTTGATCAATCTTTGTCTCTCAGATAAGCTATATATATTTTGATCAATCTTTGTCTCTCAGTACCAACAAGACCCCCTGCTTCCATCAAAACAACGCTGTCAACCACGGTTGCCATGCCAACTACAACAACAACACAACCTCCTTGCTGCTCATGTAGTGAGTATATCAAAGTGTTAAACAACTTTATATAACAAGTAATGACAAGCTATCTACTTTGAATGTATATGTGCCAATTTTATTGATGCATCAAATATAGACATTTTAATTTTAGTATGAAATACTTTTGTTTGAAAGTTGATTAAATAGTTTGTATCTGTGAATATTATTTCACAGATCCCTCATTCCTTTGCCATGTATTTCTGTTCAATCATACATTCCTTTGCATTTTTGATGAGCAGATCAATGGTTATGCGGCTTTGATATAGCACTTGTGGTAGACCTAAGCTGTAGCATAAACCAAGATAACAAAACAATCATAGGTGAAAACCTCCCAAAGATAGCAGACCAGATCCAGGCATTGGGTGGCTGTGGGATTGATACACTCCACACATCTCTGACTGTCATAACATATGCCAAAGACACTATAACACATTGGGAGTTAGGATCCCCATCTGATTGTGTAGATCTCAAAGAGAAACTTGAACGTATTGATGTACATAGGGATGTAGACTGTAATACAAGGACAAGTGATGCATTGGAAGCAGCCAGACAACAATTTATTCAAAATGGACGATCAGACAACAATCAAGCAGTACTTATGATAACAGATGGCGCATCTTATCCAAAGCAATTTCATAAAAGTCTTTTGGCAATCACTACATTATATAAAGGTAATTATCTTGAACATTTGCAGTGAACTGAACCTGAATAAATAACTGTTCAAAATAGGTTTTAACAGTATACTATAGAAGTATAATACAGCTTGACTTTATAATATAATATTCTTGATAACATAAAATATGATTCAATGGATCACATACTGTACTTCTACTTAATTTGGCGGCCAAATCAAGTCGCCGCCAAATTCCCTGGTAATTCTAGTACCATTAAAATTGGTACCATTAGTGCATTACAATATTGAAAGTCCGCCAAATTGGTAGCCATCAAATGTTCAAAACTGCAAATCTGCCAAAACAAGAAGCCCCAATTAAAGTAGAAGAACAGTACCTGGAGATGTTTGATATATAGCTGCATATCAGTAAGAAGTTAATTGATAAATTATGTTTCATTCCACAGAAGAAGGACGACCAATATATGTTATAACACTGCCAAATGATATGGGGGATAGTGCCTCAACCGGAAAAGACACCATGGAGCTGGAGATCAAAGCGATGTCTAATTCATATCAAGACCGAGTATTTTCGACAGGATTCCGTAATTTTGGCAGTACTTTAGAGGAAGCCATCAATGCAATGTATGTGAAGATAGATAGGAGGTGTAAGCTGGGGAAATGCTGTCCATGTGGTAAGTTTGAAAATATTCTTTTCATTTAAATGTAACGAAGCATTAAATATGACTTCAGAATGTAAGTATCAATAGCGCAATTTTCATCTCTAATTAATTACAAATTTAAACCTAAACCTTGATAACTGTTCTGTTTACACTATATAAATAGAGACAAAAATAGACACATCCAAGTATGGGATATCATATTATATTTGTAGACCCTGTTCCGATGACAGTACCAACATTGACTAAAAGGTGTACTTGTGATTATGCTAATGGTTATCAACATATTTCTGACAACTGTTGGATGACAGAAAAACACCAGGTAGTATTTATTTATTTATTTCGATCTACACTTTTGAAACAGTGGCACGCTCTGCAACGCAAAGGTGCGTCGAATGTACATATTAAGATAAAACAATTATTACAACTTACTAAAAACATTCATTTTGAGTATTTAATATAAACTGATTTTAAAAACCTTTTAAAACACTTGTCAAACATTCTACCTTGTTCTTTCCCCCAAATTTCAAAGACATCATCCCCTAACATGTATTTTAGCTTCTCCTCAGGAGAGAGAGAGATGAATTCAGCTACTAAAAGAGCGTCACATTTTGAAGTTATATCATTTATAAATTGTAACCTTTCATTAATGAACTTAGGGCATACAATGAATCGGTGAATTAAATCTTCAATGTCATTACTTTTACAATGAGGGCAAATTCCATCACTTTTCTTCCATCGTTTATTATCCTCCTCCAAGTTAAAGCACCCAGTTCTTGCCATGAATTTTAACCTGGAGCAATAGAAATCGATGTCATCTTGGAGGTAGTTCTCTTTAAATGTATGTTTCTTAAGAACAGTGTAAGTTTTCAGTGATGTTCTCTTATCTATAGCTCCGAAAAAATCTGTATTCTTCATTTCATTAGAGATTTCTAGGAAGGACTTATACCAAGTTTGATCAGTTGACTTTAAACAACTATCTAGGCCATGTTTAATTAGGGTATCAGAAATTGATTTAATATAGGGCCAGGATGAAATCTTATTATCTTCGAAACGCTTAAACATTTCCATAAATATATTTCTAAAAAGTGTACTTTTTTCCATGCGCTTCTGTAGATGAAGGTAATAATCTATTATTCTTTTGTCAATGGTATTCAAAATCGGACGCCATCCTAAATCACCAATAACCGCTTCCCTGGCAGGCTTCATATAAAAACACGCTGAACAATGGAATAAAATGTGCTGCATGATTCAGAACCTTCATTGAAGTATTGTATCTCATTTGGAAACCAACTATGGCTCCAAAGCAATCCAAGCAATCAACATAACTGCTTTGTTATAATGTTGGCTGTGCAACCTAAGTAGCTTATTTTAACCCATTGATAGCTGTGCATAACATAGACAAATAATTTACCCATTTTTCTAATGTCTAGCAAATATCTAAAACAAGACACACAGTGATAAATATCGCACTTTGAAGAGCAAACTGGCCACCATGCAATTTACCCAGCATGGCCAAAACCTAATCAGACCTTGGCACTAGTCTGCTCTTGCATCTGTAAACATTTCAAGTTGACAAGATTAGCGGTTTTCCTGCAATTTTGATGACAAGAATTTATTTGTAGTCTTGAACTTTGGGAAAATTTAGATAACATTGTTTGTGACCTAATTTGATGACCTTCGACCTTGAAAATTTCACTTTTTCAGACCTCAGTAGGTGTTTAGTAATTAAGCTGACCTAAATTTAAATCCAAAATATCAATTTAGAAAATCAAATTTTTGACCTTTCAAGGTCACTGAAGGTCAACGAAAGGTCAAATCTGAAATCTAAGGTCAGATTTGAACTTCTGAGAACTTGTAGATGTTTTTAAAAAAAAAATTTGGTCAATTTGGAGCAAGTTGAAAAATTAAAAATGGCCGCCAAATTGAAAAATTCAAAATGGCCACCATGTAATTCAGCCAGCATACCCAAAACCTAATCAGATCTCGGCAATAGTCTGCTCTTGCATCTGCAAAAATTTCAAGTTGAACGGATAAGTGGTTTTCCTGGAATTTTGATGACAAGATTTGTTGAAAAATTCAAAATGGCCGTCAAGTAGCTTACCCAGCATGCCCTTAACCTAATCAGATCTTGGCACTAGTCTGCTATTGCATGTGTAAAAATTTCAAGTTGAACAGGTTAGCGGTTTCCTTGGAATTTTGATGACAAGAATTCAAGTTGAACAGGTTAGCGGTTTCCTTGGAATTTTGATGACAAGAATTGATTTGTAGTCTCAAACTTTGAGAAACTTGGATAACATCATTTGTGACCTAGTTTAATGACCTTGACCTTCGACCTTGAAAATGTCATATTTTCAGACCTCAGTAGGTGTTTAGTAATTAAGCTGACCTAAATTTAAATCCAAAATATCAATTTAGAAAATCAACTTTTTTGACCTTTTCAAGGTCACTGAAGGTGAATGAAAGGTCAAATCTGAAATCTAAGGTCAGATTTGAACTTCTGAGAACTTGTAGATGTTTTAAAAAAAAAAATTGGTCAATTTAGAGCAAGTTGAAAAATTCAAAATGGCCGCCAAATTGAAAAATTCAAAATGGCCACCATGTAATTCAGCCAGCATACCCAAAACCTAATCAGATCTCGGCAATAGTCTGCTCTTGCATCTGTAAAAATTTCAAGTTGAACGGATAAGTGGTTTTCCTGGAATTTTGATGACAAGATTTGTTGAAAATTTCAAAATGGCCGCCACATAGTTTACCCAGCATGCCCTTAACCTAATCAGATCTTGGCACTAGTCTGCTCTTGCATCTGTAAAAATTTCAAGTTGAACAGGTAAGCAGTTATACTGGAAATTTGATGACAAGATTTGGTTTATGTGCCGCCCGCACGCCCGCACATCCGCACGCCCGCACGCCCGCCCAACAGCACAAGACGACGACAATATAGCACTTTTTCAAAGTGCGATAAAAACACCATAATTCAACATGCACCCAAGTATAAAGAGACATGCAATAATGCAGTTGATGTTACAATGAAACAGGCAGAGGGTATGAACCTGATATGCATTCACCAAAATAAACCATCACTACATGACATCTATGGAGCTTATAAATGTATCTTCATTTTATTTCATGAAAAAGTTTGCATCATATGTTTCAAAGATGGCACTTAGTAGTAAAAAATTAATCATTTTTTCAATAGAAATCATTAAATTATGAGCTATGTTAATGTCAATAATTTGCAAAGGGCTAGAATATGCCTATTAAAGCTGATATATAATTCAAGTCACTGGTGGATACAGGGGGAGGGCATGCCCCAAAAATTATGATGATTGGTGTATTATCAGTGGCTTATGAGATCAGTGTCATTCTATGAATTCTATTGTGAAGAATACAGATTCACAGATATATTTGTTTCAATGGTTAGGAAATACCTACAACACAGCCTTCTGAAATCAGCTGCCATATCACATGTGCCTCTTTAATCTATCTAACAATATCTAAACAAACCACAACATATTCTGAGGTTTGAAACTGAGTGGGATTTTTCATTAATGGAAATATCATATTTAGCTTAATTAATCCGCGAACACTATTGATAACTTAATTAAATAACAAGTTCCATCTAAGCCACATTTGTTCAGATAAGGGTTTTTCAATAGAACCAATTTTTGTGAGCCAAAATTCTAAATACAGTGATAATGTACATATAACAGTTTAATACGTAATGTGCCAAAATATCTCATAACGTTCCAAAATAAATTATCTCAGGCAATCTTAACATATTATACCAAATGTTGACTAAGATTATCTGGCCTCCAGGCTGGCTGTTTCAAAGTCTATAAAGAAAAGGCAACATGGAAACAGGCAGAAGAAATCTGTAGACAAGATGGTGGACACTTGGCACGTTGGAATAATGAGGAATGCTTTCAAGATATCAGCTCCTACCTTACTGAAATAGGTATTAAAAAATAACTGATATTTCAATTAAAACTAATCATTATTTCAAATGTGAATGAAAGTTTAATAATCATAAAAAAAACTTTTCAACACCCTATGCAGATGGCGTTTGCAAAAAATGATTGGTGCAGATATCATGCAGGTGTGGGTGGATTGATCAGTCATTTTTGAATTGGAATTTTGGGTATTCTAAGCTGTGTTGGCCATACAGATATATTTATATATTTACAGATGATATTTAATAAAAGGAAATTGTGTAAATAGTTGTGTACATCATTCTATAGTGATAACTTCACTTTCACATTAAGCCCAAATAACAATTAGTACTTGTAACACTTCACCATGATCCAAGTTTATTCATGATACTAAATATCATGATATCATCAAAGTACAAAATTTCCAAATAATTACACTTATTCACATCAAGTGTTTAGGGGTAGTAAATGTCTGATAACCTTTCCCAATTCTTATAAAATCTAACATTAAAGCAACTACATTGTATGTCAAAATGTATGCATTGGAGTCAAGCTCATTTACTGCATCGCTATAGCATAAAGTACACAACTACACTTTTCTTTTTATTGGGAATCATCTTCACATAAGGTGTTCAAGCTACAATTTAATTGGTGATGTATTTCAGATGATGAAATTAAATCATACAAGCCAGGAGAAAAGGACAGCAAAACAGACAAATCAAGCGAAAATAATAGCCAAAAAGACAAGTCAAGTGAAAATGATAGTAAAAAAGAGAAGTCAAGTAAAAATGATAGCAAAGAAGAAGAGTCAAGTGGAAATTATAGCGAAAAAGAGAAGTCAAGTAAAAATGATAGTAAAAAAGAGAAGTCAAGTAAAAATGATAGCAAAGAGGAGGAATCAAGTGGAAATTATGGTGAAACAGACAAGTCAAGTGGAAATGATAACAAAAAAGACAAGTCAAGTAAAAATGATAGCAAAGAAGAGGAGTCAAGTGGAAATTATATCGAAAAAGACAAGTCAAGTAAAAATGATAGTAAAAAAGAGAAGTCAAGTAAAAATGATAGCAAAGAGGAGGAATCAAGTGGAAATTATGGTGAAACAGACAAGTCAAGTGGAAATGATAACAAAAAAGACAAGTCAAGTAAAAATGATAGCAAAGAGGAGGAATCAAGTGGAAATTATGGTGAAACAGACAAGTCAAGTGGAAATGATAACGAAAAAGACAAGTCAAGTAAAAATGATAGCAAAGAGGAAGAATCAAGTGGAAATTATGGTGAAACAGACAAGTCAAGTGGAAATGATAACCAAAAAGACAAGTCAAGTAAAAATGATAGCAAAGAAGAGGAATCAAGTGGAAATTACAGTGAAAATGGCAAGTCAAGTGAATATGATAGCAAAGAAGAGTCAAGTGGAAATTATAGTGAAAAAGACAAGTCAAGTAAAAATGAAAGCAAAAAAGACAAGTCAAGTAAAAATGATAGCAAAATTGACAAATCTAATGAAAAGAATCCTAAAGGTATGTACATTATATAAACCGCTCAAAAAAGTTAAGGATCAGTCTTTTTCCCCATAGGTTTTCATATTAAACCCCATATATTGCTTGAACTCTATTTTCTGAGTCTGAAAAGAAGGAAAAACTGATAATGTAAATGGAAATGTACCTTGACTCTATTCTCTATATTTCAGAACATTGTCAATTTATTCTCTTAGATACAATAATAGGTTAAAAATTGATGTCAAAGATGAATTTTAAAAAATGGTAGAAGCCATGTAAACCAATGGGAATGGTATGGTTAGTAAAAGATATATGAGAAAATATCCATCCATCCAATTGCTCTCAAAAAAGGAATTTAAATAGACAATTGAATTTGCTAACTTGTCTATAACAAGTTTACAAAGTTGTGAGTCTCCAAAGTTAAAATAATTTTTCAATAAACCTCTCATTGAAATAACACAGGAGGTAAAAAATGAATTCCCAAAATACTTTGAAGCTCTGTATCGTTAATTTTCACAAAGTAAGCACATGCAGAAAGTAAAATAATTCAATTATCTTCAGAACACATATCAAAAAATTTGATTTGCCTCTAACCCACAATTTCCCATTGCTTTACATGGGTTCTACCATTTTTTTAAAATTCATCAAAGGCATCATGGAGAAATTAAATAAAAAAATTTTGAAATATATAAAATAGAGTCAAGGTACATTATCAATTTTTCTTTTTTGTATTGTATTGTAAATTGTTTACCACCAATGAAGGTGAGCAATACCTCTTGGGTATATATCCCATATATATATACGGTCGTAATTAACGTAATTAGCCTGGAAGATAGACCCAGAAACTAGAGGTGTCAAGTATTAACCGGTTAACCGGTTAACCACCGATAATGCCTTGACCGGTCTGTGTTTTTATGGGTGGTTAGTTGACCGTGTATAATTCTGCTATTTCCCGCGCTTATATTGCATGCTAATCTGTTTAATTTTAAAGTGTCAGTTTCACGTAAGCTACTCATACATGTCATAAGTTCGATAATTCCTTACAAACATCCAATTAGCAACTTTAATCCCTGCCACATTGCTTTCCCGCGCTTACTTTGCATGTTAATCTGTTTGTTTTTTAAGCGTCAGTTTCATATGAGCTACTCATACATGTGATAGGTCCGATAATTCCTTACAAACATCCAAGCAGCAACTTTAATCCCTGCCACATTGCTTTCCCGCGCTTACTTTGCATGTTAATCTGTTTGTTTCTCAAGTGTCAGCCATGTGTACTCAACTTATAGACCAGAGAATTCCCAAACATGTAAACATCCAATCAGCATCTACATGTATAATCCCTAAGTTTTAGATATTTATTCTATTTAATAATTTTACATATGGCAAAACAATCTCATAAATAAATTATATGCATTTTTTAAGTTGTCCGTTTTGTTATTATTGTTGTCCATATTATTATATTATATTAAAATAAACACTCATCAGCTGCAATTCTCGTTGTTATGGTGCGTTCGTGGAGATTCCAAGGGTAAAGCAGTGTGATAAGTAATTTAGAGGTACCGGTAGTCAGGTAGTGTATGAATAGAATCGAGTAAAGCTTGACGAACGTAAAAAATAAACGCCAATATATCATTTTTCCAATTTTTTTCAACTTTCAAGATCGAAGATGAAGATTTCATTTGAAATTATCAGTTCAAATTTCCCGCCGGTTAACCGACTTTAACCAGTAAAAACACCCGGTTAACCGGTTAATGCTCAAGCAGTTAATTGACACCACTACCAGAAACCCCTCCTCAAAGGAGCCCTGTGTTCTTTTATGTGCACCGTTACATATAACAAGTACACACCACAGCCTTTTGTACGAGTTGTGGACCACTCAGTCAAACACCCTGAAGTACTTTACACAAACAAGCAAATTAAGTCTTGCCTGAACCAGGGATCGAATCTGGGACCTATTGCGTAAGAGGTACCTGTGCTACCGCTGAGCTATACGGGTGGGCTAAAAAAAAAGCCCGAAACAAAGAAAGAGTTCAAACATACATGGGGTTTGATATGTAAACCTATGGGGAGAAATACTGGTCCTAAACTTTATTGAGCAGTATATACAGTATAACAAGAATTTTGATTTCGGAACATTGAAATAATACTCTAGATATGCTATATGAATGTTTATCTCATTTAAATATATGGCTTCTTTTCAAGACAGTGCTGCTCCATCTATATAAGTAAAAAATAATGGTCTATCTATAATATACTTTGTTTCCACTTTGTTATTTTAGAGCCGGTGTTTTGGTCATGTGGCACAGACCCACCATTGACTTGGAGCTGCGACTGTAAGTTACTTGCCATTTTATGGTCACAAGTTGTTAATTGCTCCTCTTATCTTGTCTACAATGTCCTACTATTTCACACAATTCAAACCTCTCATTCCAATTATTAATTTATTATCAGGTGCTCAGTATGCAATATTTTTTTCTTCAACAAAACCTGGCTTCATATTTCTTCATTTACTAAACATAACATCATAAGCTCATTACAGGTATCTCATTTTTTTAAATATTCATATTTTAGCTGATTTGAAAGAAACATTCCATACTCATATATGCCCTGAAAACAATGGATGTTACGCCTACCACAATGAGGGAAGGAAAACCACCATGTGTAACAAGAAGTGTGAGGAAAAACATATGTTCATATGTCAGAAGCCATGCGATGATAGGTAAAATCTTATAGTCATATGTTTAATGATAGCTTTAGGGATTCTGCTTCTATTCAGTTAATCTACAAAAAAGTCTGAGCTTGTGGATTACATGATCACGGGGGTAAAGCAGACCCGATGATGCAGTGAGCTTGCTCGGCGGTATCATGACTGTGTAACGGGGCTGAATGTATAAGCATGCTTTCAACTAGTATAAGTGAGCTCAGCGGTAGGTTCAAACAACGCGGATCCTCAAAGCATGTGCTCATGGTGGCTTAATACCCATGATGATGTTTTTAAACAAAATGTTATGAAAAATGTCACACACTGCACTGAAACCATGAATTGATTCCTTTTGTGAAGCAAAATCCTTTCCACAATTATTTTTCAATTTTTTCAATATGGCTATGACTTCACTTGCTTAAAGAAACCATATTTTGCCATGTCACATTTTGATGTTATAAAGCAATAAATTTGGTTCAGTGTAAAATTACAAGTTTAACAGAGCTTGTTTTCAACTGATAGTATTTTATTTTATTAAAAATATTATTGCTTTACTGTCATGTTTACATGGTCAGTTCTTGGACTTGACATTTCATGATACATTGTTATTTGATTCCTCTGTGCCATTCAGGTTGTATGTATATATATATTTAACTGACAGGTACAGAGCTCTGAAATCATTATATTGTTTTGTGATATATGCATAGATAATAAAGAATTAATCAAGGGTGCAGCCAAGCATGAGGCAGATAAGGCACAATTTTACAAAAAAAATTATTCAGACATTTTTTTTACAATTGAAACTGAAATTCAAGTCCTACGACAGTATCATCTCGTATTAATTTTAACTCTATGATTTCCCTCACCTCTTTAAGTTCCTGGCTACACCCTCATAGCGACACACCAACTATTAGTTTGGTGTAAAACTGAACTATAATTTTGGCCAAACATAATTTTGAAATGCCTGTAACTTTTTCCGATTTGTGATTTGAACCATGATACTTGGCAAATCAATGTAACTTTGGATAAGCTTTAAAAAGATATATGACACATACTATCGAGATTTTTGTATATGTCTGCCTTGGGGGGTCCCATACTTTCGGGACACTCCGTACACCCTGTAGAGATTACCTTATTAACATGAATAGAGAGATGATGAAAATGGTTCTATATTCACTCAAGTTCCGTTTTATTTCTTTAAAAGTATTTTGAATTATTTATTTATTTACAAACAATTTCAGTGGCATATAGTGACATAAAATCCAATGCAATGACTGAAAGAAAATCTGCATAGTTTATGGTCAATGGTATATAATCTATTGCATACTTCAAGACCAGGAGACTGCCCCTGTCAATGAACACATCTAATTTTAAAAAACATTGGCTGTAACTACCTGTGACATAAAATCTTTCCAGAATGAAAATCAATGAAAGATTTATGAAATATCATCATGTAGATATAGGTACATGCACCATGATGTTTAGTCATGCAAAAATCCCATGGGTTGATAACCTTAGATGGAAAGCAAATCCTTGGATCTAAAATTAATATGATATCCTTGAAGCTGATACCAGAGTCGTTCTGAAATAATTTTTCACTTGAAATCCTACAGAGTCATTCATACAAATCATTTTGACTTCAGGCATTACAAGGACAACGTGTACCCAACCAATTAACTAACCATAGTTAGCAACAAGTCAACTGAGAACAACAAGCTACCTACTCAAGAACAAATTAACCAGCAACAAGAACAAATTAACCAGCAACAAGAACAAATTAACCAGCAACAAGAACATCTTTATTGACTTTGACTTGACCTGCATGTATAAAATATGGTGGCATTATTGCAAATACATACAATGGCATATTATGTACATCAATGCAATGTAAATATAAATATTAATAAATATTAATGGAATTTTATATTTGTTCTTATTTACATTTCATCAAATAAGAGTTAGTTTACTATCTTGAGGTAGGTTAAGTGACCTGATATCCAAGACACAAGGTCTATCATATTTTGTTAGAATTGATCATTTTTTAAAGAGACTTGATTTCAAAAATCAACAAATGCTCTTTTACATTTTTAGGCAAAAAAGAGATCAGGCCAATCTGAAATGAATATAGCTCTCTGTAAACTTTAAATAGAGACACTCTTTATCATTTTCTCAAACTTAAAAAATTGCAATGAGAAGACAAATAAGTTAATGAAAAACATGAAAAATGTGTACATGCACATGAAAATTCCCTGAAAATAGCTCTGCTACATTTTGTCAAAATCTATAAGGTAAAAACTAATGTTTTGTGTCAAAATCAGAAATTTCTCCTGGCCATGACAGTTGAAATAGATATGCATAGACATAAGATTAATGAAGGTATATACTTATACAAATAGCAGTTTTCAACAAACTTGATGGGCAGACTGACTGATGGACAGCCAGAAAGATGGACCGACTGATGAATAGATGCTTTACTTAAAACTTCCCATAATCTCTTTGGTTGAGCCAAAAACTATTACTATCCATTTCCCATATCTAAAACGTTATCAAACTTAATTTGCACTATTTGCATTTTAGTGTGTAGAACTGTATCTTCAGTTTGATATGTCATAGTAAACATGTTTACAATAATTGCAAGAGATTTAATACATGAAAAAGGCACATTCATGTCTATATTGAAATATCATATCTGGCATTTACTAACCTTCAGTCAAGTAATTAAAAATATTGAAAATCAGTCAAACCTTATACTTTAATAAGCAAAAAGATCCACGGACTAAATAGAGTGGGTCAATAAATATGGAACATGTTTACATTGGTCAGTGCTTGGTCAGTTGATTTTTCAACTAGAATAACAATAAGGCAAATATTATGCATTCAAAGGAAAAAAAGAAACTTTTCCAAAAATTATGTCTTATTCATTGTAATTTTTATTCAATTACCAAAATACAATAATTTTAAACCAATCTTTTTAATTGATCATTTCATGAAAATTCAAGAGAAATCATAGATTTCAACATTTTTGCACTCATGCATCCTAGTACGACTTGTTTAAATGCATTACAGTTCCCTTATAAAACTACTAAAAGTAACTAAAGTATTAATGCATGAGTGGTCAAGATAAGACCAACTTTAAAATGTCCCATTCTATGGACCACCCTGTATCATTTATTTGTTAATAAAAAGATCAACAATTCATAGACTCTGCATTATTCAGAAATATGCCTGGCACAATGGGAGGAGTACACACAGCTCTAATTGCATTTTTCATGTCATATATCCACAATGTAGGTAAGTATCTTTTAAATATACAGTACTAAAATATCAATTTATAAAAAACAAATGGAAAGGTTCAACCATTTATCTTATGGAACTAAAATCTGCTTTTCCAATATGCTTATACAACATCTTTCTGATCAATCTCAAAAATGTCAAAATCGTTGACAATAAACTGATTGTATTTTGATATCTGTTTGTATTTGAAATAAAATGATAACATGAAAAAATATACCAGGTTGTTCAATAAGTTCACGGAAAAATGCTCATTTCAAAGATTTTGATATTTTCTCATGAAATGTTCACACAATGTATAAAAATACTTTCTGATTGATTCTTAAAATATCAGCATCTGCTATTTGATTGGTCAAAAATAAGGGTTACTATGGTAACTTGACTTTTGGGTAGGTGGGGCACTTTTTATGTCACACAATTTACCATTACAGAAATCTATCAATATGTGCAAATGAAGGATCCCTATTTTTTATTTGTTCTTATTTAAATTACAAATGTTCTGAGGGAAAATTCATGTTCATTGTTTTCACAAACATTTCTGAAATCCTGCTAGTCAATGCTGTACCACTGGGCCAGAAAATCAACAAAGAGCTATGGAAAGTTGATTAAAACTTAACCATTCAGCCAAATTTTTCCATCAGGATAGTGCGCCCTTGTCACACTGCTAATATTGTGCAGGAAACCATCACAAATAACTGGCAAAATAGATTACAAAGCTGCCACAAGTTACATACTCTCCAGATGAGACAATCCTTGATTTTGCTGTTTTCACTAGGATGAAGGATCAACTAAGAGGTGCACTTTATGGAACAATGCAACAACTTTCGACTGCAGTCAAGATGGCTCTTCAAACAAGTTTTCCAGATGGCTTCAGAGTACTGTATTGTTAATGGGTTGAATGCAAGCGACTGTACATTGTACATTCTCAGGGAGAATATTTCATATTTCTAAAACCTTATTGGACAATAGTTGTAACTATTACATTAAGTCATGTACATCACGTCATTAAATCATGTACAGGTAAAATTTGTGAGTATATTAGGTGATATACTCATAAATTGCCTACTATTCTGTTGTTTTTCTAATGAATTATGTGATGTAAAAAGTACCCCGCCTACCAAAAGTCAAGTTACCATAGTAACCCTTATTTCTGACCATTCAAATAAGAGATGCTGATATTTCAAAAATCAATCAGACAGTATATTTTATATATTGTGTGAAAATTTTATGAAAAATTATCAAGATTCTTTGAAATGAGAGCATTTTTCCTTGAACTCATTGAACAACCTGGTATATTCAAGAAAGTGGTAACTGTGGGATTGACCTGCCTGTGATAATAGATGTCAGCTGTAGTATCTCTAATGCTAGTAAGACAGGAATGAAAGCCGACCTGACTACAATAGCAACAAAACTGAACACTATGACAGGCTGTGGCTCAGATCCTGTCCGAACAAGGGTCTCTGTCACATTATTTGCAAAAGAAGTAGAGATCGCTGTCCCGCTGAATATGGATGGGGACTGTACGTCTTTGGAAGGAAGGCTAGCAAATGTGAACATATTGAAAGATTTGGGATGTAATACACGTACTAGTGATGCTATAGTACAATCACTACAACAGGGGACTCGTTCAAGTACAACAGAATCTGGTAACCAATATATTAATAAACAAGCAACACTTCTTGTCACTGATGGAGCATCCTATCCATGTGATCCATATCATAACAACCTGTTGAACATAGCTCAGTATTTTAAAGGTAAGTAAAGTATTTTTTTAAAATATGTTTTATTTTATTGTTATCATTGCCAGGATAAAAAAATGGATTATTTTAATTTTTCCTCTTGAAAAGAACTTCACTATAATATCTCTATGATACTTCCAATTTAAATACATATAGGACTGTTAAATATTTCTACATAAGGTAAGAACCAATTGGCAGAAATCTTATAGTAGATTTTTTTAAAAGAACATCCCTACTAGTGAACAAGAGAAGTACAAAAATTTGCTCAGATGAAGCAAGTTATGAATGATGATAGGGAGAGTGCCTTTCAAAAATTTTTTAATATCACATACATATGCTATAATATGCTATAAACTGACTAGTCAAGCAACAATCAAAAGAAAAATATTGGCCATTATGCAAGATAACAAGGAGAGGCAGATCAGAATTCCCCTCAACTTACAAATAGTTTGAACTGTATTGAAATGATTCCATAATCACGTAATGATCTACATTGTATCTCATGTAATAATCAAAAGAGAAAAAAAGTGGACAGATTCAGTGTGAAAAGATTAGACAAATCTCTATTTTCTTTAAGTACATCTGTATCATTTCTTTCTTTTTCTAGTTCTAAATTGGCCGATTTATGTGTTAAAACTTCCTCAAGTTGATGGGGGAGATGTATGTACAGCACAAAATATTGATACAGAACTGGATGCCCTGACAGCAGAAAACACTAATCGGCTATTTGAGAGTGGTTTCGACAACTTTGCAGCAACAATATCTCAAGTAATCGATCAAATTTTTCTGGATACTGACACCACTTGTGATTTTGAAGGTAAAATATTCTCACCAAAACTTATTAAGCTCCTCAGTTTAAAATCCTAATCTGTGTTTTCAATAAAACTGTCCAAGCATTGCGTTTTTTTGGACGAAGTGCAAGCCATATGCACAAACCAACTTTGGATTGAATGATTTGATAAAGATCTAACCTCAGTCTCTTTATTTCGTAAGAATCCATGAAACAATTGAAGGAAATTCTATTTCTAATAGAAGTAAAATATAAGTTGATTTCTGATCGAAATAGTACGATAAGTGATAAGACAAATAGTTATCCAATACTCAATTTCCGACCTGATTTTAACAATTTTCTATTGGTCAAGCGCGATCACGTGATCATTATTTAAGAATTTGCATGCGAAGAAACTGAACCAAAAAATGGAACCTCGCGCAGATTGCCTCTAAAGCAAGATATTTCTGAGCCATCAAAATCAATAGCAAATGGCTTCGAAATACGCAAAGTGTGTTTAATTGTTGCTTAGTCATACCTCACAAGTGATGGTATCTGTATCATTCAATGACATACTAGACTCATTAGAACGCTGATTTAGACTGATAAATAGCAAAAGGGATACTAAATTTCTTCAATTTTATTTCGTCCAGTTTAAAACATGACTTTGAATTCACAGGAACATTTTTTAAGGGAAGCAGTTTTTTGGGGAGGCGCTTTTTGAAAATCAGTACATTCCAGAAATGCAATCTTGGACAAACCTACCAAAAACACTGCTAATACATAATCATACATTTATTTAAAAACAAATTGGCTTTTGGGCAGAACATTTATAGATCCATAGAGCATATAATGCCCATAAAGTAGGAATTGAAAGATGATGAGATGTAGGGAAGAGGTGTATGAAGTTGTTCGATACAATTGTTTGTGTATGGTTCGTTGACAATCTAATTGTGACATGATTTTAGTGCTTCAATGGCGACAATATTTGTACTTCACCTTCTTACTTTCAGACAGGGTGGTCTGTATCATTATTTGTTTATATGTTTGTCTGTCCATCTGTCCTGTCAGTTTTCTCCTCCTCGACACTAGGATCACAAAACGTGGTCCCCAAAGGGTAAAGGCAATATCACGGCGTATTTAGGCTTGGAGGGGAAAGGCATTATCATGTCATCAAAGGTCAAGGTCATCAAAATGTTAAAATGTCAATAAACAGGTACATATATTTCACTGTTTTTTGGTATTTTAATGTGCTTAGATGGTCTATGGATGTTATGTCAGTTCATATGTAATATGTAAGGTCACTTACAAGGAGGATTGGCTCCCAGAATCGAAGTCGATATTTTCCAACAATGAAAACGCCGAAATGTCGTTATTTTCTGAAATTATAACCGATTATAAATTCAAAATAAACAGTTCAAAATATTCGAACCAATATCTCGATCATTTCTTGTGAGTTTTGGAATTTTTCGTTAGGAAATAAGACCAAAATTCACAATTCAAATGTTGAAGTGAACAAAATGGCGGTCGTTGGAATTCAAATTTTGTAGCACAACATGCCCATATATGGGACAGAATATCGATGCTGCACTCTGGGAGCCAATCCTCCTTGGTCACTTAGGAGATTGAGGTTCAAGGTCAAAGGTCACCACAAACAATAAAATGTTCAAATTTGTATGAGATCACATCAATCATGCTTTAGATATACCTATAATAAAACAATTATTGCAATGACATAATTTGTGTACTTAACTAATACTTTACTTTGATTATTTAAGTTTTATTTGAGGATGCTTCAAAGATCATACATACAAGTCAATTCAGAACTGAATGTTTAATCTCCATATCAGGACAAACCAAACAACTTGATGCGAGAATATACCTTGTTGGAAAATACTTTTTTCTATTTGTCTATATCATTTCTACATGTCAAAGACATGTCTATCAACTAAATTATCTAAATACAATATATTTTTGTCTACATCCACATTTCCGAACATTTTGTCTACATCCTACATTTCCTAACAGCAAAGACATGTCTCACGTATATTAGGTCTATCAAGTATCAACTAAATTATATTTTTGTACCATCCTGTATGACATAATAGCACCTCTGCCAGTGACGGAACCACCACCAACAATATACCCACCTCCACCTCCCAGGCCAGAGAGATGCTGCACTTGTGGTAAGCAGAACTATGAAACAGCCATACATTAAGACCTTGCTCTCTATTTTTTAAGCGAGGAGAATATACTGAGACTGCATAATAGTTTGCAAAAGAATATAATGAATGAAGGATATCTGATGATGTATTGATGTTATAACTTTATTAAAGAAAGCAAGGGACAAACAACATAAATAATGATTGAATTTTCATTGTAATGCTTCAATGTAACATTCAGTCAAGTGTCATATTTACAAACTTTTCAATTTCTTCGGGTATTAGTTTTGGTATAATCCAAAGCAGCAATTCATAATCTCAAAACATAATAAAATCTAGTGCTCTCCCAGCACATTGATAGTCTGTGGCACAGCACCTCAGTCATCTAATTTAATCTATCTCCTAAAGTGTTACACAAAAAGAAACAGGAAAATCCCAAAATCTTAAACTAAAAGTAACAAAATCTTTGGGCACAAATTTTTTTTGTAATCCTTAAAAATACAGTAAAACCTGTCAAAGTAGAACACCTTTGGTATCTCTTAAAGGTTTTTGACTTGGGAGGTGCTCATTTAACATTAAGTCATTTGAAGTGTTCCACTTACAGAGGTGTTCTACTTCTAGAGGTGTTCCACTTTACAGGTTTCACAGTACATATCAACCAATATCAATAAAAACAAATGCTAAATTCATGATAAATGCAGCATTTTGTCTTCATAAAGATCACTGTGGTCTGGACCTTACAATAGCATTTGACATCAGCTGTAGTATTGCACCTGGAAACAAGAGTAGGATAGCTGCTGCAATTCCTGCTATTGCTGAGCACTTGAGCCAGAGAGGAGGCTGTGGCAGCGGTGTTATGGAAACTGACTTTACAGCAATCACATATGCTAAACTCACAGAAGTGCATTGGGAACTTGGAAGTGCAACAAGTTGTGCAAACCTGAAACAACGTTTACAAAATATTGATATACATCGGGATGCTGGATGTAACACAAGAACCAGCGACGCTATCAAGGCTTCTCATGAGGAATTAAAAAACTATGCAATACGACAGCAAGCATTGGAGGATGCCATACGAGAGGAACATCCTGAATATACAAGCAAAAAGAATAAGTGGGCGATAGGTTTAGTTACTGACGGAGCTTCATTCCCCCAAGATTACCATACAAAGCTGATTACAATAGCTGCAGAATTGAAAGGTATGTGATTCTTTTTTCAAACAAATGGAGAACATAAAACAGTATGAAATATGTGATTAAACTATCCAATATTATGTGTTTATTGAAACCTCTTATCAATGCCTCTTAGCCAGCCCAAACTCATAAGAAATATGTATTCACAAGTGCAAAAGGAAATGGACCAAAAAAGTGTTACAGAACAAAGCAAGAAAGAGAAAACACATAGGTATACACTAGTCATAAAGAAAACAAACTCTAACTATGCAAGACCATAATCCAAAGTGAAAGGAAACAATGTCTGATACCTTTCTCCCCCAACATCAACTAAGCTTAAGTTGTATAATATGTAACTCATAAATAATATGTTATTATGCTTCCTTATTCAGCTTTGGATATTCCTATATATATGCTCGTTCTGCCTCAAAATATTGGAGATGATTCGGATGAAGAAAACATGAGAGAAGAAATAGAAGCATTGTCAGACAATTATGACAATCGAGTATTCCATTCTACATTTGAGGAGCTTGATGAAGCATTATACAAAATGATTGACAAAATCTACTCTACAGCTAATAGAAGGTGTCCTCTTTTAACATGCTGTCAATGCAGTAAGCTGTAACATTATAAATGAGTTGAAAATTCCTCAAAACAATGCGTGCCTATTAACTGCTGCGTGCGTGCCTATTAACTGCTGCATTTATTTCATCTAAATATTGTGCTATCCTTTCAGTTTGGATTATAAATTTACGTGTCCTTTATTTTAGCTGATGATTGTGGTCCCATAACTCCTCCAGTGAATGGAGGTGTGAACTATTTAGATGGCGGCACAACATACAGAAGCCGGGCAAAGATGACATGTGACTGCAGCCATAGATTAAGTGAAGACAGAACTTACACATGCCAAATTGATGGTACATGGGATAACTTGTGTAATCCTGTTACATGTGTACCTATATGTGAGTTAATTTTTCACATTTTAACTTTTACAGACTTGAACAATACTGTAACCAAAATATAGAATTTTTTAAAAAAGAGAATTTTTAGAATGACCATTTTATCCGACCATTTTGACCTGATACATGTAGTATGCACACTGCCTCATATATTTTAGATGCAAATCCCCAAAAAATTACTTAGCATGCCTAAAATCTAATCAGTTCTTGATTTTTTTATATCAAGAGAGCATCTACCTAAAATACCATATATTGTCAAAAAAGCTAGACATGATTTCAGATTGCCTACCCACCTCAAAATGAACTGAATCTAGCACCTAATGATGTGATGTTTGCTGTTACAGCAAAATGGGAAGATACTGTTCAGGACGCTTGTCTTGATATTGTACCATCTAAAGAGTTTGCAAGTATCAACAATATTGATATATGTAAGTCACTGTGCGAGGCTGAAGAGACATTCAGTTGTGAAGCTATCCAGTATTATCCTGATTCTAAAGACTGTGCTCTATATAATGGGAATGAAGTACTACAAAATCCATGTACTACCGAAACTCAAACTGTCATCTATGCTGGGCGTAAATCTCCAGGTAACCCTTAAATGTACTCAAGGTAAAATAACAACTGCAACTTGATGTGATAATAATAACAGGATTTTATTATAGATTTTTGAAATCATTTCAATGTGGTATTACGGCCTAATCTTGATACGACCCCACTCTGTCTTGGTCTATGTTGAAATCATTTCAATGTGATATTACGGCCTAATCTTGATATGACCCCACTTTGTCTTGGTCTATGTTGAAACCATTTCAATGTGATATTACGGCCTAATCTTGATACGACCCCACTCTGTCTTGGTCTATGTTGAAATCATTTCAATGTGATATTACGGCCTAATCTTGATTTGACCCCACTTTGTCTTGGTCTATGTTGAAACCATTTCAATGTGATATTACGGCCTAATCTTCATACAACACCACTCTGTCTTGGTCTATGTTGAAATCATTTCAATGTGATATTACGGCCTAATCTTCATACAACCCCACTCTGTCTTGGTCTATGTTGAAATCATTTCAATGTGATATTACGGCCTAATCTTGATTTGACCCCACTTTGTCTTGGTCTATGTTGAAATCATTTCAATGTGATATTACGGCCTAATCTTCATACAACCCCACTCTGTCTTGGTCTATGTTGAAATCATTTCAATGTGATATTACGGCCTAATCTTCATACAACACCACTCTGTCTTGGTCTATGTTGAAATCATTTCAATGTGATATTACGGCCTAATCTTCATACAACCCCACTCTGTCTTGGTCTATGTTGAAATCATTTCAATGTGATATTACGGCCTAATCTTGATTTGACCCCACTTTGTCTTGGTCTATGTTGAAATCATTTCAATGTGATATTACGGCCTAATCTTCATACAACCCCACTCTGTCTTGGTCTATGTTGAAATCATTTCAATGTGATATTACGGCCTAATCTTGATACGACCTCACTCTGTCTTGGTCTATGTTGAAATCATTTCAATGTGATATAAGGCCTAATCTTGATACGATCCCACTCTGTCTTGGTCTATGTTGAAATCATTTCAATGTGATATTACGGCCTAATCTTGATACAACCCCACTCTGTCTTGGTCTATGTTGAAATCATTTCAATGTGATATTACGGCCTAATCTTGATACGACCCCACTCTGTCTTGGTCTATGTTGAAATCATTTCAATGTGATATTACGGCCTAATCTTGATACGACCCCACTCTGTCTTGGTCTATGTTGAAATCATTTCAATGTGATATTACGGCCTAATCTTGATACGACCCCACCCTGTCTTGGTCTATGTTGAAATCATTTCAATGTGATATTACGGCCTAATCTTGATACGACCCCACTCTGTCTTGGTCTATGTTGAAATCATTTCAATGTGATATTACGGCCTAATCTTGATACGACCTCACTCTGTCTTGGTCTATGTTGAAATCATTTCAATGTGATATAAGGCCTAATCTTGATACGATCCCACTCTGTCTTGGTCTATGTTGAAATCATTTCAATGTGATATTACGGCCTAATCTTGATACAACCCCACTCTGTCTTGGTCTATGTTGAAATCATTTCAATGTGATATTACGGCCTAATCTTGATACGACCCCACTCTGTCTTGGTCTATGTTGAAATCATTTCAATGTGATATTACGGCCTAATCTTGATACGACCCCACTCTGTCTTGGTCTATGTTGAAATCATTTCAATGTGATATTACGGCCTAATCTTGATACGACCCCACCCTGTCTTGGTCTATGTTGAAATCATTTCAATGTGATATTACGGCCTAATCTTGATACGACCCCACTCTGTCTTGGTCTTAAATGTTGAAATCATTTCAATGTGATATTACGGCCTAATCTTGATACGACCCCACCCTGTCTTGGTCTATGTTGAAATCATTTCAATGTGATATTACGGCCTAATCTTGATACAACCCCACTTTGTCTTGGTCTATGTTGAAATCATTTCAATGTGATATTACAGCCTAATGTAATACAACCCCACTCTGTCTTAGTCTATGTTGTTTTCAATGAGAATGTAACATTCATAAACTGATAACTTCTCGGTATCAGAACAAGCTGTAATGTACTTTTCTTTTTGTCTTAGTGAATTGATATTCTGTGTTCAACTAAAATCAACTTGCAGAAATAACAACAAAAATTGACTTGTTGAACATTTAACCTCTCTTGACTACCCAGGTTCACCATAAAAATGACCTTGAAACCTAAGTTGATGAGATAATCTGGTGCAAATTTTTCACTATGATTGTTCTAATTTGGACAATTTTCATCCAATTTTTTTAAAATGTGTAGAAATGATCTCTGCCGACTTGATTCACCTGTTGCATATGTATGTAAAATGTCAAAAGCTGGCAAAAATTTTAAATTGGGCTTCAACCTATTTTAGAGTCTACAATTCTATATTTTTGAAAATGTAAATCTGCAAATGTTTTAATTCAGCTCCAATACCAAACCAGTGGCAACCCGATACACCAGGCTTCAGTTTTGCTAATAATGACTTCAAAGATGTGTCTCCTATCTCTGATCTTGAAACATGTAAGTCACAATGTGAAGAAGAGACAGATTTTGTGTGCTGGTCTATTCAATTTGAGCCACCAACTGGATGTAAAGTATCTAGGATGAGATCTGTAAATGGTGAGCCATTGCAACTTATACCATCTTGGCCAGATGTGATTATTTCTGAGCGTACACCATGCCCAGGTGTAGATGCAGCATCTCCACTAGAGTAACAAACTATGCACAAAGTACCAAAAAAAAAATTTGTTTACTGTGCATCTGTTTTCTGATAACATACAGGTACCTCAATGATTAGATAATTTGAAATTAAAGTTTGATCATCTGTAGTTTTAATAAATTTTTCAAGGAATTTGCATGGAGTTTTGTTTGGAATATTAATCTGCAAGCATATCGAAGGGAAAAATATAGCAGTCCACATATGTGTTTATTACCTTGTAATTACTATAGGGGGTAATGGTTAATGGGTGCAAAATGCCTAAAAAGCCTTTTGCTTATATCAGAATTACCTTTAGCTTCTGAGATAAATTGGGAGCACAAAATGGTACAATGTGATACCAAAAAGCAAACATACTTGCTACAAAATATACAGAAAATTTGCAATAAATTACCTATAAAAGTACAAATGACTCACCTTCCTGTTCCTCTATCGACAGCTCTTTGTATTTCTGTCCTTACAAGGCGTTCCTTTTCCCTAATGGCCTTGCTTAATGCCCTGTATGACTTAACCAACTCACTGAAATACATAAACAGCCTATAGTCCTGAGAAAGGAGAAACAATGCTTTATTTACATTTTATACTGTGTGAAAGGAAGAGAAATAATGAGACATAAGACAAATAATGTGACATTATAGAAATGTGACAGAATAAAAATGATGTGACATTACAGAAACTTGACAGAATAAAAATGAAGTGACATCAGGGAAATGATGTGACATCGGAAAAGATAGTTGGACATCAAATAAGCATGAAAAAAATTGTGTAATATTGACCAACCAATCAAAGTCCATTGATGTTGCATTATTTACAGGTATATTAGGATCAGAGTCAATTAATAAAATATTAAGAAAAAAACACAAAAAAAATTACCCAGCATAAGCTTTCCATTGTTCTTGTATGCTTGTAATGTCCTGCACACGATGAATAAATTCTTTTCTGCGTTGAATGGTGCCACATTGAATTGTTGATGTCATGACATCAGCATGGCCTGACGTCTGATGTGTCAACTTGGGGTGCAGTAGATGATCACGATCTTTTACACCTTGAAAAAGCATTGTGAATGTAATCGTATAAATTATCATTTAAATCTTTATTTTAAAATTATTTGTTACAACTATTTTTTCACTTGTAATTTACTCATACTCCCTTGAAATAAGTCCATGCACTAATAGTCTCATAAAAAAGAAATAATTTTAAAGATCGAAAGTCTAGATAAGAATCTACAGGTTGACCTCAAAATGCAGCCCATGGGTGACCCTAGTGTATATTACAAATCTTACCATTTTCAATGTGCAGGACCACCCTCAGAACATAAGTGGAGAATGCAAACATTAATTGGTAGAACCTATCTCCCCCAGGAGACATAAACACAGAGGGAGTTATCCTTGGGAGATGGGCATCAACCTCATCCTAAAATACATAAAAAGCAATGAATCATAAACTAAGGATACTGTATTTTGTAGTAGTGCAGTAACAGTCATTAAAATTATGTTAATAGATCATGTCAACTCAAGAGATAATGGATAATGGCCACTTTTAGAGGTAGTGCATTTGAGCAGCTATGCCCAACATAAGAACAACTAATTATATGTTTACAGAAGAAAGGGACAGGCCAACAAATGGATGGATAGATGGACGCCTAGACAATTCCATAGGCTCACTGTATATATGTTTAACCTCATTAAATGGAGATTTAGAAACCTCACCTTTGCTATGTTAGTGAGCCAGTTATTGCAACCTCTCCTAAACAACTGCTCTTGTTTCTTATCTCTTACTGGCCAACAATCTCTGAAGGTAAAACATAAACTCACATTGATTTCATTCATATTCTTAACTTAAGAAACTAAAATGTGGGACTGAACATTCAACACAACATAGTCAAGCAGGTGTGAATTTCTTATAATTTATTACAATTGTGAATCATCTCATTTTTATGTCACTGCTAAGAATTACCATTGTAATAGATCCTTATAAGGGGATTGAGATATGGTGAATCCTAGAGGTGTTAAGAGTATAACATCATTTTTAGGAACTACAATAGAGATCTTTTAGATTAAACATCAATATACCTGAATGTTTCCCTGCTGAGTGTAGGGTTGAGCCTATTGAAGAGAAAATGCAGGACAACTTCAAAGCCAGTTTTGTTGGGAAGAGCAAACATATCTCTGTAAAAGACAAGCATATATATAATATATATAATATTGTACATGTGTTTCAATATCATTTTTGCCTAGTGAAACCAGAACAACGGCAACGCCAAAGCGTAGCAAATCACATCGAACAGAAATGGCTGGCATTTTTACAAACGAAATACACAGCAAATATCATAAAATAACACACATAAGAAAGGCCACCATTTTCAAAATGGTTGCTCACGAGCCAAGTTGTCATCAGAAGAAACATCGCACACATGTAAATGGTGGCCATTCTTTAAAATGGCCGCCTACTACCCAAAATGAAGACAGTATGCAATGCACATGCAAAATACAATACTTTTTAATTTGAGTTATAATAAAAAATGTAAAATAACACACATAAAAATGATGGCCATTTTTCAAAATAATAATCCACCCTCAGTACAATATTTCACTATATTGCCCGCAGAAATGACGTTATTAGTATTATTACCACGGTTAATGACCAGGGCTGAAGTAGCAAGAAAATCTTACGCACTGAACGATATCTCCTGGGGAAAATTGAAGGTCATTAATTGCATTATTGTCCCCATTATGGACTGCCACTATGACATCATATATTGCTCAGGTCGATATAGTAAAATGAATGCCTTCTAAACAAGCACTAAACCCCCTAGAACTGGCCCGGCAAGGTGGTAATAATATACAGTATTCTCATCAAGAGATAGAACAAATGTCAGTGTTTTCTACAGGATTCTCATTTTCATAATACAGACCAAAATTGGTCAAAAATGCGCATTTTTCATGATTTCTCTCATATTTAATTGAGTACATATGAGTTTTAAGTGGGTACGCGCCTGTTTTCAAAATCTCAGGTGGGCATCTTGCTTTAATACTGGGGAGATAACTGAATGTAATATACATTTGTAAAACAAACTCTGTAAATTGGCACATCTCTAGAAAAGGAGCACATCTGTTAGTGGAACACTTTTCTGAGTCCAAAGACCAACTGTATAAAAGTTAAATGAACCTCTAAGTGGACCACCTCCCCTGTAGAACACTATTAAGAGGTACCAAATGTGTTTCACTTAGACAGGTTTTACTGTATTTTTGTTTTATTTATAACCATCAGGCCATTGACTCAATAGCGTGCCAACATTATTATATAACATGACATCAGTTATTATGTCTATTATTCATCCACCATAGTTACATGCATTTGTCATGATAAACATTTTGATACAATGTGTAAGTTTATACGGACAAGTTTATAAAATAAACAAGGTATTAACATGCAAAATGTACTATTGTACTATTTTGGTCACCTGCCATTTGTCACAGACACTGAAACCAAACACCAACCAAGGTCCACAAAAAAAGTTTGTGACTATAACAATATGTCATCATGGTGACGGAAGAGGATTACATGTTATTCATAAAATACAAGATATTAAGATGCATAAAATGTGTCCTTTTATTTTATGTTTTCGAGTTAATCAGTTTCGCTTCATCATTCATTACATCCAAATACAAATTGGCAGTAAATTCATTTTACATAGAAAACCTCTGAAGATCGTTTTAAAGTGAATTTAAAAGTATTCCATATGTTTTATTATGCTAGGGCATACAATATTCTCCCGAGTATTTCGGGATGTTTGAATGGCAATTTTTCATGATTTTCCAGGTGAATGGAAGTCAACTTTCGAAAACTCAATTAAATGCAGTTCTCTCTAATGCTTCATAGGATATCAGAACATGAATTGTCTTGGGATGAGATACCTTGGAAGTTGGGATGAGTTGTCTTGGAATGAGTTGTTCTAGGGATGAGTTGTATTGGGATGAGTTGTCTTAGGATGAGTTGTCTACTAGAAACCCTTCAAAGCTTGGAAAATATCTAGCATATGCAAAAACAATTACAAACCTGTTAAAAAGCAATTTGTATTTGGCTTCTGCAGCATCAGGATCAAAGCCTAAGAGCAGGAGGTTGGTGAAGAACACCTGCCTAACATCAGTTGGGTCAGACATCACACCGATTGGCTTGGAGTAGGACATTGCTACTGTGCACTTATTCTATAAAACAAATTTTGTGAATTGAATGAAAGTACATGTAATTATGAACACCTGCCTAACATCAGTTGGGTCAGACATCACACCGATTGGCTTGGAGTAGGACATAGCTACTGTGCACTTATTCTATAAAATAAATTTTGTGAATTGAATGAAAGTACATGAAAGTACATGTAATTATGAACACCTGCCTAACATCAGTTGGGTCAGACATCACACTGATTGGCTTGGAGTAGGACATTGCTACTGTGTATTTATTCTATAAAACAAATTTTGTGAATTGAATGAAAGTACATGAAAGTACATGTAATTATGAACACCTGCCTAACATCAGTTGGGTCAGACATCACACCGATTGGCTTGGAGTAGGACATTGCTACTGTGCACTTATTCTATAAAACAAATTTTGTGAATTGAATGAAAGCACATGTAATTATACTATGGTACCTACTTTAACAATAATTAAGCAATCAGATGTATAAGATATCTCAATTAATGAAAATGCTGAGTCAGCAAGAAATCCAAGTGAGATCCATTGCTGTTTAATGTCTAGCAGACAAACTTTTTAGAGAGTATATTGAACGGCCGTGCACTATACATTTACATCAATAATCTGTAAAAGGCTAGCCCATTTAGACCAGATTTTTAGTTTAACAGTGATAGAATTTGAATAGAATATAATTTGAACCTTAACATTTAAAAAATAGATCTATGGTATACAACTTTCAAATTTTTCGTTGACTCTAGAAAACTTTCAACCATGGTCACTTTAAATATCATCAAAAAATATTTTTGAGAAATAAGTAATAGTAAATGAAAATGAAACAGATAAACAGTTGAGATTGATACTAAACATTGATGCCAATAGCGCCCCCCATTTTTTCAAAATCAGGGGGCGCTAACCGCTATCTAAACCATGGCAGTAAGATCTTAGACGAGCCATTATGTATATTGATCAAGTCAAATAGAATACGTTTGTGACAAATTAATACTGGACCTGGAATACTGCACATTTGGAATCCCAGATATCAATTTGACTTTAACAAGATAGAGAAAATACAAAGGTTTGCCATCAAACTCATCACTGGCATGACTGATCTATCTTATGAAGGACAATTAAAGCAGCTACATCTATTACCGAAACATATAAGAGAAAAAGAGGAGATTTAATTCAAGTATATAAAATATAATGAATGACATAGAAAAGATAGAACCATCCCACTTCTTTACCCCAAGTCACACCAACACAAGAGGCCACAGCCAGATATTCTACAAATCCAGATTTAACCTTGCCCTAAGACAAGGGTTCTTCAGTCATTGACCATAGACGATTGGAACAACTTTTCAGAGAATGTAGTTACAGCCCTGAAATTAGACTTTTTCAAAGCAAAGGTCGATGCCTACTACTACCCAGACATGTAGAAGATCACAAGAGACCTAGGATGACCAGTTCACACTTTTTAGTGCAACTGTCAGGTCACATTAAATTGCATACACTGACGTATTTGGGAAATAAAATACCTAAGAAATTGAAAACTGCGCATAAGAATACATGTAAATAACAAAACCTGAAGGGAGGAAAACACAGGACTAACCCTACCCTCCTAAACATGATGATGATGATAACTTCATCAATTTATACACATCATGAATTTTTGGGGATTTATATGTATATTGTATTTGAGCTTGTAAGGAATAGATTGGTAGGTCAATTGTACATGTGACTTGTAATTTTGTCACCCCTATAGATCTGATTCTGCCTTTAATAGAGGCCCCCCATTTGAAACCCCTAAAGGACCACATTGCAAGATTATAAGGAAAATAGAAACATGCGTTGTCTCCATCTTTCAGTTTTTGCTGCAATGTTATTTTTCAAAAAGGAATCACTTATCCACATTTTCTACATCTTTCAGTTTTGCCTGAATTTAAATGGATGATCTAAATTTCAAAAAATTTAGCTAAGATCAAATATCGATATGTTGTTGCCTTCATTGTCGTGTTCCACAATGCAACCTAGTCAGATATGTAGATGACAATACATACTGGTAAGTAGATATGTGGTTACTGGTTACATTAGTCTATATCCAATAGACTGAATTTCCTGAGAATTCAGACTGGAGGATATAGTCTACTGGTTACATCACATCATTTCATTATTTTTTCAGATTCTTCTACAACAGAAATTCTGGAATATGTGCTTTTTCTCAAAGCATGGACATATATCATTATATAGACATAGACAATCTGAGCAAAGGCAGACCCGTCTACCGTAGATTTGCTGCTTACTGGAGACCCTATCTGTTGCAAGACTAATGCCTGGCGTAACCATCACCGTGTTACTCAGTGTTTTTAAGAAGCGCAAGGATCCTGCTATGACCGTGGTAATGTTATCATGAAAGCCTGGTATAACCGTGACAATGCTGTATTATATTGCAATGCCTGCCATGACCGTGACAATGTAATATAGTTCTGCAAGGCTTGGCATGACCTTGACAATGTAATATAGTACTGCAAGGCCTGGCATGACCGTGGCAATGTTATATAGTTCTGTAAGCCCTGGCATGACCGTGACAATGTAATATAGTATTGCAAGTTCAGGTATGAGAGTGGTAATGTAGAAATTTACGATAAGGACTGCTATAACCATGACAATGTGTATTTCAAAACCTGGCATGACCATGACAATGTATTATGGGATCGCAAAGCCTGATATGACCGTGACAATGTAATACAGTATTGCAAGGCCAGGTATGAGGGTGTTAATGTAGAAATTTAGGCTTAGTCCTACCATGACCGTTATAATGTATTGCAAATGACTAGTAAATATGTATGACATTAATGCCAGGAATATCCTTAACAATTTTAAGTGATCGTCATTACAATTAAACAGTTTAATACTATGATCATGGTGTTTAACTACCTTAATCATGTCAAAATCAAAATTACTACTATACATTAATATTCACATTCGCTTATAAACAACAATAAAGGCTACGGTCGCACCAGGCTTCCACGATAACACTTCCAGGGTCATGACAGGCCTTGCAATATAATACAGCATTGTCACCGTTATACCAGCCTGTCACGGTTATACCAGGCTTACACGATAACACTACCAGTCATTGCAGGATCCTTGCAGTACTTAAAAACACTGATTAACATGGCGACGGTTGTGGCAGGCGTAAGTCTTGCAATAGATAGCATGTGGCTTACTGACGAATCAGTGACTTGGTCCTGTTCTCTGACCAGTGATGCACAGGAACCCCTGATGAATACTGATGTCAAAACTTGGAAAAATAAGCGTATATTCTTCACGTTCAGTCTCCAATCGATGTCAGGTGTTGATGCAAGTTCATGTGGAGTAACAACGTCACACAGATTAAAAAGGCTCGACCTCGGAAATCACAAACGTAAAACGAGACAAAATAACATGGTCTATCAAAGGTATACAACTTACCAATCATTCCCGGATGAGTAAATATTTATGAAAATTGAGGAAATTTATAATCAAAGAAGAGATTATACACGTATGATGAGAAAACGTTCAAAATAGTAATGTTTTCAAAATATTTTAAAATTTTCGACCGCCATTCAAATTGCCCGGATAATCATCACAATATACTGCCACACTAATATAGGCGGTGATATAATCTAATTACAATTAAATTATAAACATTTGACACAAAAAAATATTTTTATTATAATTAATGTAAATTTATAATATAATTTATATTGTATGATACTCTGCCGGGAATATTATATCTGAAAAGATAGATTAGTAATTTCTTGTCAGAGATTTCTCATTTTACAAAACAGAAAATTTTTAGGAAGGCAGTGTAAAACACCTATAAGATGTCCTGTGCGGTACGTAGGGCCGTGAAAGATGGTTGTCTTTTCAGAAGAATATTCAAACGTACGTTGAATTTTTTGTTACTTTTTGTAATTTCACATTTGCACATTGATTCTATTCAATGAATTGAATGTCACTCAACAGTAAGTTTTGTCATGTGGTCATGTCACTCACATCTCAGCTCACAGTTAACTTTGGGAAATAAAATACCAAAGTACAGTGCTGGTATATATTAATTGATCAGTCGTTTAATTGGCATATTTTCTTGAATTTTAACATTTAATGTCCCAAACTCCCACAAACTGCAGAAAAGTATACACCATAAATCATATTTATGTTTCCCATTATGGTGTCTAACAACCTCTAGAACTACCTTTATGCGCCATAGAGGAGTCGCTCTTTCACTTCTAGGACTCTAGGGAGGCAAACAGCTCTGAATATCTTAATTAACCACAGATGGCAGAATCTTTCCCCAGAAATACTTTTCTTTAGGATGTATCCTAAGAAAAACTCCGCCATCTGTGTCATGAACCCACCTAGGATTTTACCTTTCCTGCTTTTTAAGTTTGTTTCATGTAGTCTGACACAAAGAGCTGTTAGACCTACTCAAAACTGAATACCTCCCCCTAACCTATGTTGGATTAGTATCATTCTCTTGAACGGACTTGTTCTATTTGTGGGAGGCAAATGATGCCCCCTCCCTAAACCCTAATAATAACCAATGGATGGCGGTGGGGGTGGTGGTGGTAATTTTTCATCTAATTCCAAACTAAAACAACCCAAAACAATTAACATCAGGTCCAACTGACCCTTAACTTAACTAATCGCTTACCTTCTTGTTGTTTGTATCTAATAAAACAACATAAAAACCTAAACTCTGCTGATAAAATATGGATAACCACTCTTAGATTTGGCGGGCTGTCAGAAAGGAAGTCCAACATCAAGCGCCATCTGGTGTCACTACGTCACTTCCGTAATGGAACCAAACACTGCAACGAATCTAAGAAAATCGCTTATTAACAAAGTCTTCAGACCCCCACAGCATATGTTTCTACTTTCAGGTGAGCTCAGCTTCTCTACGTTTCTCAACGTGATCAGAACGACCCCATCAATGACACATAAAGCATTCTATTACATAGAATTAATTTATGTTTCCCATTATGGTGTCTAACAACCTCTAGAACTACCTTTATGCGCCATAGAGGAGTCGCTCTTTCACTTCTAGGACTCTAGGGAGGCAAACAGCTCTGAATATCTTCATTAACCACAGATGGCAGAATCTTTCCCCAGAAATACTTTTCTTTAGGATGTATCCTAAGAAAAACTCCGCCATCTGTGTCATGAACCCACCTAGGATTTTACCTTTCCTGCTTTTTAAGTTTGTTTCATGTAGTCTGACACAAAGAGCTGTTAGACCTACTCAAAACTGAATACCTCCCCCTAACCTATGTTGGATTAGTATCATTCTCTTGAACGGACTTGTTCTATTTGTGGGAGGCAAATGATGCCACTACTTTGACCTTCTTATGATGGTTCAAAGTGCCCCCCACCAATATAACATATGTTGGCCTAACCAAAAATACATAATACAGTTTAAGCTTAAAGACTTTCTTTATTGAAGTAGATCCACTTTGTATTACAAGAAAAAACCTTGAGCAAACATTGAAACATACCCTTTACAGAGAAGGTGTCTCCATCCTCTGAACACATTTTACCAATGCTCATACTGTACAATTCCTAAATGAAGTATAGTTTTTAACTGATTTGCTATATTTGGCATACCAAAAACAAAGCTGGAAAAACAGGTATCCCCTTGCTTATCCTACTACTCTTCTTGTACCTTTATTTCAAGTTAACCATTAATTTCTACTTAACGCTGAGGCAACCCTTAAGGAGGTGTCTCCTTCCCTAAAACATTACCTATCGCGGCATTCTGCACCTTCCTTAATTTTTTACCTTCGCCCTATTTGACTAGTGTACATGTATAAAACCCTCGCTCATCTTAAATATTTCAAAAAGGCTGGGATTGAGCGCCACCTTCCAATTTTCATAATTTTAACCATGGACATCCCTTCTTTACATAACTGGGTGGCTCCCCCTATGCGGAAACTATGAGCGCGGATCTTTTCTTTTGTTCTCCCTGCTTTTTCCAAAGCTTGATTCAATACCGTTCGAAACAAGAAAATTGGTACCGCTTCACCATCTATATGAAATAGAGGGCCATCCCCCCAACCCCTTACTTTCAGATAATCTTTCATCGCTTGAATGGGACAATTCACAACCTCTTTCTTGTTGATCTGAATTGTACAGGGTTGCATGCTATGTTTAAATGAATTGAACCGAATGTTAATATTCTTGTCAGTAAACTGAGTGACATTATTTATTTTCAAATTATGTGGACCTTCCCCGCAAAACTCCCCAATACGTAACATTGCATGGAAAGCCAGTAAAAACATTGCTTTAAACAATTTCAATCTGTATTCCCCTTTCATGACCTCTCTAACACTATTTAAAGACCCTATCAAATGGTCCAACAATTCTAAAGTCACTGGAGATCTGGAATCATGAGATGCTTTCTGTTTTCCAAGCCCTTTCAAACCCTGCTGTATGTCGAAGGTGTGAGTCGTATCATTCAAACCATGTAACTTATACATATAACTTATAGCGGATATGAACGTACGGATTGAAGATGGCGCGTACCCTTCTTCATCTAATTTGCAAATAAACAATTTTAAGTTTTCTTTAGATACAGGCCAGATATCAACCTCAAATTCCTTCCCAAAGTCTACTAATTTCTTCCAGGATCTGTCATACACTTCCCTAGTGCCAGGTGCCTGAGCATGGTCTATTAATTTTTTAAATTTATGTTTATATTCTCTGGCCAAATATCCTGAGGAACAGTTTGTGGCTCTTTCAAAGCCGTCGGATGCATCTGCCAAAACCTCTGAAATAGATTTCGAGATAGTGCATCAGCAAGTTCATTGTTTACGCCTGGTACATGTAACCCTTTAATGAGAATGTTTCTTTTTAAACATTGTAAAACCAATATTCTCACTAGCACCATTATTTTTGCATCTTTCGATACCCCTTTATTTAAAATGGCACAAACGGCTTCATTGTCAGATCTTATGGTTATAGCTTTATTGGCGAACCTGTCCTCCCACACAAACATAGCTGCTAAAATTGGATATAGCTCTAATAAGGTGATATTTTCTGACCTCCATTTTATGGGCCAATTTCCTTGTACCCATTCATTGTCAAATACCACCCCATACCCCAACTTCTGAGCTGAATCTGTAAATATTGTATGGCTTTCCCTATCTTGCCATTCTTCGTCAAGGAAGAAAGATTTGCCATTAAAAGTCTCTAAAAAGGACTCCCATATTGAAAGATCTAACTTTACCTCTGGTGTGAGCCGTGTGTGCCAATGCAACTCCTTAACTCTCATACTCAAGTTAATCATTCTTCTAATGAATGTTCTACCAAACGGTATAATAATCGTACAATATTGCAGGTAGCCAACCATACTTAAGATCTCCCGTTTCGTGCACTTTTTCCGCCCTCGGTTTTTTCTAATTATTTCTCTTGCTTTTAACAATTTGTCTTCAGGAAGCCTTAACACCTGATTAAGCGTATCGATTTCAATACCAGCAAACGTTAGGACCTGACTAGGACCTTCCGTTTTTTCCTGAGCCAAAGGAATACCGCACTCCTGACAAAATTCTTCAAAAAGCTTGAGACTTTTTTGACACTGTGTGTGAGACTCTTCCATTAGCAAGAAATCGTCTAATATGTGTAAAACGTGTGCAATTTGTAACTTGTGTATTGCTACCCAATTCATGGCAGTACTAAGCAATTCAAAGTATTTGCACGAAACGGAAAGTCCCATCGGTAAGGTACGAGAAATATAATATTTTCCGTCAAACTTGAAACCCAAGAGTAACTGATGTTCCGGGCATATTGGCACAATGTCAAATGCGGACTTAATGTCTGTCTTGGCTAGAAAAAGCGGTTTCCCCGACCTTTTGATAATATCGACAGCATTTTGAATAGAATGGTACTGTACTGTTGCCAATTCTTTCTCAATGCCCTCATTGATTGACTTTCCTTCAGGGGCGGATAAATGAATTATCTTCCTAAATTTTCCAGGGGTCTTTTTTGGGACCAATCCTATAGGGGAAATATGTAAACCCTCGGGCTTTTTCAAAAATGGCCCCGCGATCGTTCCCTCTTTTAAGTCTTTCTGAATTTTCTCCCAAAGTTGGTTTTTTAATGTGTCTGCTGATTTTAAATTTCTTGGTTCTGTGTCGGAAACTACACCCTCAAATGGAATTTTGAACCCTTCTGTGAAGCCCTGATGAATTTGATAAACTAAGTCTTCTTCGTACCCTTCCAAATATTCTGTCAACTTCCCTACTTTGACCGGGGTAGGAATTAAATCGTTTCTGATCACAACAGTCTCCATTTCCCATTCTTTTATTTGCCCCTCCCCTTCGGTTAAACAGGTATCCCTCTCACCAGGTGGTTCTAAAATATTTGGTTCACTACCTAAGTCTTTCCCCTGATAGGATAGGCCCTTCGATTTGATATCCCCTTTTTTGTCTAAGTAGGGCGATAGAGGTGACAGACCTTGGCTGACAGGATCTATCTCTGATTGAAAATGTTCGACCTCCCTTTTGTCGTCAATGGGCTTTTTAACATACAACCTAGTGCCCTCATCCCCATGTTTGATGTCACTCCCGGGTTTCAGTTCCAATCATTTTTTCTGTTGCCTTGGCTTAAAAGGTGTTTTAAGGGCCTCCGAGCAATGAATTGCTGGGTGAGTAGCAGATTTGTGCGAAGGACAAGAATGGCTACCCACGCAACTTTCACCCCCATCACACCTTTCTCCCTTATGGTATTTCCAACATAAGCCTCTTGGAATGAATGGCATAGATTTGCCTTTTGATTTTTCTGCGGAAGCGAACTCTGACTTGGCCGAATAACTATCGTCTCTCTTACTTTTGTCTCCAAATTTCTTTCCTTTAGAACCCTCAGATTTCTTGAAATCACCCTGGGGAAGATTTAAACAATCGTAAAAAAGCACTTGGTCCCAACAGGCCCAGGATTTTTCCCTTTTCCCTTTGCTTTTTCTGAAGAGTCTGTCATATTTTCCCCAATTTCGAGATTTTAGTTTTAGTTCGTGTATCTGAGACATGTATTGTGCCAAGTCGCTCGCTTCTTTAGGGTGTTTATAGGTATACACCTTAACAAATATCAGAAACGCTTTCTGCCATTCCTGATAATTCAAATATTTCCGAGTCTTAGCTTTCCCATAAACATGCACTCTCTGACCCCCTTTATATACCACCTCTGTCACCCTACTTGACACCTCGTCATCACTATTATCCTCTTCTATCAATTTAGACAATTCTATGAATTGGTTGTCCCAAATTTTCTCCTTTATGGAATCTTCTATATAGTCTAACTGAGCATTTGAGGTGTCAACCAGGGGGACTGTATCAGTAACACTACCAGTACCTTGATTAACCTTTGTTTTATTCATGTCCTGTTCTACTTGAGTTTGTCCCAATGTTGCACTTCTATTATCATCGATTTCATTCTGATGACTGTGCAGGAAGGGTGTTGTAGACACGTTCCCTTGCCCTGGTATCCCCTGGGGCAGGAAATGTATCCCACCTTCACTTTGCTGTGTATTACTGTTCTTTGATTGGCAATTACCACATGCTGTGCATCTTGGAATGTCTTGCCCTATTCTGCCCTGAACTAAGGGGTTAGCCCTGTTATTTTCCTGTGTTGCAGCTGCAGTAGTTGCAGCTGGTTGCCAAGGCCCATTTGTTGCATTGTAAGGAGGAATCCCATACCACCCTGGCATCCCTTGGGTATGGTAGGGGTAATACTGTTGCGGAGGCATGGTAGGAGGCCAAGGACTATACCACCCAGAATTCCAACCTGGTATCCCCTGGGATGTCATTGCTGGGTGACCATAACCCCCCTCCCACCAACTACTAGCTTGGGGCATAACCGGGTGTTCTTTTTGTTGCCTCTGAGGTTCCCCTTCTATATCCATTTCTGAAGGACCCCTTCTTGTACTTTCCCTCTCTGGACTGTCCCCCCTATTGAAATCGGCATTACTATTTACTGTTTCATTTGACCAGACTCTTGCGTTTTCCCTTATGATTTGATCTTCCCTGTCTGTATCCCCATAAGGCAATGTACTTTTTGAAGAGTTACTATTTTTACTTGATCTTGTAGAAGACTTTGAGGTACTTAATCTTTTCTTCTTTACATTCAACCTTTTGTCCTGGCTTTTCCTTTTCAAAGGTACCCCTCCTGGCATGTTCTGCAAGAATCAAGACCAATGCAGTGCAATCATAAATAAACGCGACTCCTCAGAGCAAGGACCCCTTGGCATCCCTACCGTTATACACTGCCCCAGTCCTGACCCATTGCAAAACAGACAATGCCCCCCCCCCCACCCCCTTCCCGATGATTCCTATATGATAACTATTATTGGGTGATGTCACACCTTATTTTATTTACCTTAATGTATTGTACATTATTGTAATTGTTAATCGTTGTAATTTTTTATTTCTTTCTTTCTTTCTTTTAAACCTATTATCACTTCATGATAGTATGTAGTTAAACTGTGTATGTACTGAAAACTTTTATCATTTGACCTATTTATTTATTTTTATGTATTAATTTATTATTATTATTTTACTTATTTATTGATTTTATTTTATTTTATTTTTACCGCTAACCTTTAATGCTGTAATACAAAGAATTGGTAACTAAATACCCAGTAATAACTGATTACATAAGCATACCTTCTTACTTCGCTACCAATCTACCTCAAAACCAGCCGTCTTATGGGTATTTACCCGTGACTTAGGCACGTCTACTTCCCTTCCTTGCTTTGCTTGATACACCATATTGTTATAGGTGAAATAAAATGATGTTATTAATATTTATTACTTACTTGTCTAACTATGCATGGCCCGTCCTATGCCTAGAAACAGGCCATCCATGACACTGTCTCTGTAAACTCTCATGAAAGAGTGTTTGAAATGCACCCCATCCGCGAGTTTCTCGGCAATGGACTGCTCCACTCCTCTTGTTCGATAATATATTATGTTGTCAGTTGATTTTGAATTCAATAAAACGTTTACCCTATCAGTAACTAAATTATGTCTTCTGGCGTGTTGTTCTGTTTGGATCCCTTTCGGGTATTTCATAGAGGGTGTGCGGTGAATGAGTTTTCCTACTAGCACCTTACCATTTGGTCCCATATGTTTGGCGCATTCTGTAGCAAGGGACCATAGCCTCTCCGCTATCTCCTGGCTGATATCTTCCAGGTTGCCCTGCATATCAGCGGTTTTATTGCTAATGTCATTTCCGCCACCCTGGATGAAACAACTTACAAATCCTTGACCTACTACTGGTTCCCTGGCTTTAACCTTTGATTTTAAATGTTCTATGGTCCCTCCGCTGCGCTCAGTGTAAACTTCATCAAATCCCGGGGAATTTTTAAAATCCCAAGGGTTGTCATCCACGTAGCTCCTCAATCTTGTGATGTGGGAGGTACCCACAATCCACACACGCACAGCCATACAACTGAAAGGAGAATATCCTTGATCAGTATATTCTCACCAGGACTAAATGGGTCTTACTAACCTTATCAATAAACTTTCCCAGTTGCCAAGTGCTTTTTCGTTCATTGACTGCCGATTAATCCAAAAATTCTTACCTACTAATGTTGTTTGCAATAATCTCCATCTACCTCTGTACAAAATCCTTTATTTATTTATTCTCATAATATATTTTTATTTTAATTTGATACCTATTTGTTTATTTCAATTTTATTTATGTACTTTCATGTATTTAAGCATTTTTACTTTATTTTTATTTTATTTATTTTTTATTTTTAGGTTTTCTGCTTCTACTTACTTCTGGGGCCACTATGCCCAGGCCTTGTTGACCCTTTTTTGGCGCCTTAACACCATCATATTGAAGTGGCTACTGCCAACTTCCCTACCTAACTTCCTATTATCAATAACCGTTTCCATACTGGCCCCCTTAAACTGTGCCCTACCTACTACCTAGAGCCGGCATGGGAACGTCATTGAATATCTTAAAGTTACATGAATATCACATTGAATCTCCATGACTTACTTCCTAGCTTCCTATTAACAATGACACCAACCAAACTGGCCCCTTTATGTTTTTTCAGTTGTCAGTATGTTGATGTCACTGAATTTTTTATTGTTTTTTCCATGAATGTCACTTTGAATCTTCATGAATTTTCCTACCTAGCCTCCTTTTTAAAATGGCATCACCCCTACTGGTCGCCTGTATGATGCTGAAGAAGGGAAAGCCTAAACACTACCCACGTGTAAATTTCTAATTCCTGCAGGTCTAGGCCAAAATGCCTGATGATGCCACTGGATTTTTTTTCCATGAATATTTCTCCATGAATTTTTCATCTAATTCCAAACTAAAACAACCCAAAACAATTAACATCAGGTCCAACTGACCCTTAACTTAACTAATCGCTTACCTTCTTGTTGTTTGTATCTAATAAAACAACATAAAAACCTAAACTCTGCTGATAAAATATGGATAACCACTCTTAGATTTGGCGGGCTGTCAGAAAGGAAGTCCAACATCAAGCGCCATCTGGTGTCACTACGTCACTTCCGTAATGGAACCAAACACTGCAACGAATCTAAGAAAATCGCTTATTAACAAAGTCTTCAGACCCCCACAGCATATGTTTCTACTTTCAGGTGAGCTCAGCTTCTCTACGTTTCTCAACGTGATCAGAACGACCCCATCAATGACACATAAAGCATTCTATTACATAGAATTAATTTACCAAAATTAGTGTCTCCAAGGCTTCACACCAGCGTATGCATTATGCATTTGTCACGAGTTTGAGCTGAAATTTCCCCAAAATGAAGTAGGCTAAGGGTAGTCTCTGCCAGGTTTGTTTATTGTGGTAAGCTTGTAAGTGCTCAGAAGCAAACAATTCACGTGCGCAAAAAAATCAAATAATATGATTGGTTTAAACTTTGTTGCACATGCGCACAATGTGTGCCATATTTTTTCTAGTGATTTCGTTTCGTTTCATGGAGTTTCTGTTTCAGTGTAACTTCCGCAAAAATGGCTGACCATGGACAGAATTAACAGGTAAAATCACTTCGAAATTTCAAGAGAACTTTTTACCTATAATAGCAAAACTTTTGTTTTATTTGTGCATTCTATCTATCAGATAAGAGTCTCAGGGGTATGTAGGCAAATTCATTTTGGTAGGAGCACTCTGTTTAGTTTGAAAACGCACCCTTAATTATTATATATCAGCACTGTATCAAGATTAATTGATCTATATTAGGAAGGGAGGAACACATAGGCACCCAGCCTTATACTCCTAAAACCGATGATGATGATGGTGATGAAGAGAGATGTATGACATGTAATTACAGAGTGATGAGCCATCGGTTTCCCTTACAGTGCTGATATATAATAATTAAGGGTGCGTTTTCAAACTAAACAGAGTGCTCCTATCAAAATGAATTTGCCTACATACCCCTGAGACTCTTATCTGATAGATAGAATGCACAAATAAAACAAAAGTTTTGCTATTATAGGTAAAAAGTTCTCTTGAAATTTCGGAGTGATTTTACCTTTTAATTCTGTCCATGGTCCGCCATTTTTGCGGAAGTTACACTGAAACGCAAACTCCATGAAACGAAACGAAATCACTAGAAAAAACATGGCACACATTGTGCGCATGTGCAGCAAAGTTTAGACCAATCAGATTATTTGATTATTTTGCGCACATGAATTATTTGCTTCTGAGCACTTACAAGCTTACCACAATAAACAAACCTGGCAGAGACTACCCTTAGCCTACTCCATTTTGGCGAAATTTCAGCTCAAACTCGTGACAAATGCATTATACATACGCTGGTGTGAAGCCTTGGAGACACTCATTTTGGTAAATATGATTTATGGGGTATACTTTTCTGCAGTTTGTGGGAGTTTGGAACATTAAATGTTAAAACTCAAGAAAATATGCCAATTAAGCGACTGATCAATTAATATATACCAGCACTGTACCTTCTTCTAAGGCCACTATATCGTGGCCTTTGTCCAAACATAAATTCCTGCATGTTTTTACTGCTGTATACGGGCATGGGTTTTAATTGAAAGCTATGATACGGGTCATGTCAATCGTAAAATTTGAAATCAAATGTTCGCCATTTTTCCACATCACAATTTGAAAAGTGATCAATGTATTAGTTTACATCTTCTGGATCGCTAACTTAGAATTTACAGCCAGTTACTAATATCAGACAATAGCAACATTTCGTTCAGTTTTCGAATATCACCATTTTTCTGGGAGCCGTTTATTTTAATTTTAGACTAAATCCTGACGAAATCATGCATAGAGACTCGAGTAAGGTTTCCCTATTTCTTCTGGCATGGATTATCCCCTTTCATTGTAATTGATGTAACTTCTTATCACAGATACTAATATTCCGTGATTCCACATCGCCGCAGAAAAAACACTGAATTTTAGTTTTAAATTTTTTTTCAGAATATTTGATTTTTTCGCGCAGAATTTCGCGGAAAATGTGATTTTTCAAGTCAACCACCTCATCTCATATTTGTCACTCACCTTGACACCTTAGACACTCATTTGTCACCAGAAATGTGTGTTATGAGGATTTTGAAGGGGAAATTTGAAATTTGTTTAAGGTGCCGTGGTACTTAATAGGAAATGACAAAACAGGAAGTGACAAAACCATGCTGGAATTCAAAAATTTTTTGAACCAAAATAACAGAGTTCTGTTTTGACCTCCAATCGCACATATCATTAAGATGACCAGGGGGTCATTAACAGAACTTTCGCAGCTCAGGAACATATTTGCTTAATCATGTAAGAACGTTCGTAACTTTACGAAAGTTCTGTTAATGCACATTTACCAAATTCGTAAAATTAACAATTGACTTGCGAATTCGTAACTTTGAGAAAGCTCTGTTAATGACCCCCAGGATCACAATGTACATGGTCAGAATGAGCCTAAACATGATGAAATAACTTTTTCAGCCCTCTGAAAATGTGACTGAATAATAGCTGAAAGTAGGCGCTTGGGAAAGGTCACTGAACAGAATCTTTTGAATTTTTCAGAAAATGTGCCCAATTAATTGCTCTAAATGATACAATCTTTGAAATTTAAAACATTGTCTGAAACAAAAATGGTGGTCATAAAAAGGAAAAAAGATCACTTTCCAATTCAGTTTTTTTCATTTTTTTCTTTCTTCGATGAATGATATCAAATTTTCAAAGATTGTATCATTTAGAGCAATATATTGGGCACATTTTCTGAAAAATTCAAAAGTCCCCCGTTCTGACCTTTACCATCTCTAACCCAAGAAGTGACCATTATTTGCCCTGTAATCTCTTCACATTCTAGTTTGAATTGTTACATGATATCATTTATTGATGCTGTAAAAAGGGGTTTTCCAGGATAATTATTTTAAAAATTTTAGAGAGGAAAGATAATGTTCAGATTTGGTAGTTTCTTGTGATATTGTTCATCTGTCAGTTTAAGTCACATCACAACAAACAGTTAATCAATGCAAATCTGGTGTGACATCATCCGGTGTGGCGTCATATTCTCGTAAATTGATGAAACTGAACATTATCTTTCCACTCAGCTATTTTGTCCTTTTATCAAGAGATGCAGCTTACATATATGTATGCATTACGTGATTGGAAAGACAAATCGGACAACCGTTCATTATGACATGTTATATTTATTGATAAACTGAATCCAGAATCAAGAAAATAAAATTTTCTGAAGATTTTGTGTCTGATCCTTGATCTGGAGTAAATTCATTGAGCTTTGAGACCAATGGGAATAATCTGACCGAGGTCCGTGGTTTGGATTGACAGTTGACTAGTTGTTGGTACTTTTGGTTGTGTTGCATTTCAAGGTTTTTAACATGGAAGTCTAAAGATTAAAAAATTTGGAAATGAAAGAGTGTGAGAGTTGTTCAGATCAGAGAGCTGTGGTTGGCTGGTTAGTTGTCCTGTGATACATTAATAATTATCCCATCGAACGAAGTTCGGAGGGATATAGGGAACGCCTCCGTCCGTCCGTACGTACGTACGTACGTCCGTACGTACGTCCGTCCATCCGTCCGTCCGGGCAATATCTCAAATACCATTGGCCCGATTTTATTTATATTTTGTACACATATACCCTATGGGGGTAGAAGTTCTGCTCGAAAGCCGATTTTCAAAAAGGCCGCTCATTTAAAAATGGCAGCCATTTTAGTGCCGATTTTACAGTAATTTAGGTGCAATATGTAAAACTGTAATAGCAATATGTTTTAAATGTAAAAAAATTATATAGGACATTAATAAAGCTAGAAATGTAGATATTAAAAAAGCACATGGCAGCCATCTTGAAAAATGGCGGCCTTTACTCGTTATTTTACGATTTTTGCTGTAACTCAAAAAGTAGTGGAGCGATTTTGTTCATATTTGGTATGTGAATACTATAGGCATGGCACACTGTCTAATGACACTTTTGGTAGAAGGCGGATTTGAAAAATGGCGGACATTTTGAAAAATGGCTGCCATTTTAACTTATTTTACTAAAACTCGAAAAGTAGTGGAGCGATTTTGTTCATATTTGGTATGTGAATACGTATAAGCATGGCACACTGTCTAATGACACTTTTGGTAGAGGGCGGTCATTTTTCAAAATGGCCGCCATTTTAACGTATTTTACTATAACTCGAAAAGTAGTGGAGCAATTTTGTTCATATTCGGTATGTCAATACTGTAAGCATGGCACACTGTCTAATGACACTTTTGGTAGAAGGCGGCCATTTTGAAAAATGGCGGACATTTTGAAAAATGGCTGCCATTTTAACTTATTTTACTATAATTCGAAAAGTAGTGGAGCGATTTTGTTCATATTTGGTACGTGAATACGTATCAGCATGGCACACTGTCTAATGACACTTTTGGTAGAAGGCGGCCATTTTTCAAAATGGCCGCCATTTTAACGTTTTTTACTATAACTCGAAAAGTAGTGGAGCGATTTTGTTCATATTTGGTATGTGAATATTATAAGCATTGCACACTGTCTAATGACACTTTTGGTAGAATGTGCCCGTTTTGAAAAATGTTTGATGGGATTCGCTATGCTTTAGCGTTGCCGTTGTTCTGGTTTATAGAACAGATGGAAGACATTTGGGCTAGAAAGCCTATAATTCCTCTAAACTTGATGATGATATATGTTTTACTTTACTCTCAGCTTTTAGAGAAAAATTAATACTGGTGGCACACTCTGGTTAAATGACCTAAAAATGCAGGTGAATATTACAGTAATAGCAATATATCAGTGACTTGTGAATGTGGTTTAGGGGATACCAATCAATTTTCACTTACCTAATACCTATTGTGTTAATAATAGTAGATAACCATGGGCCAGGCTATATCATTCTGGTGTTATTTTGTTCCAAGACTTCTTCATCTGTAGGTTTTTTCATGTTTGTCTGATCTTGAAGGTCATAACCATTCCAACAAAATCTAGCAATCAAAGCTCTGTCTTTAAGCTTGTCAGTCCAGGGTGATGGTTTTTTGTTGTTGTTTTTCAGGATGTTCGGCATCTCAATACTCCTACAGTCCTCTTAGTCAACACAGTACAGACGCAAAGAAAGGAAAACTCAAGAAAGCCACAACACCAACAGGAAAACTTGATGACCCATTTGAAAATGACAAAGAAAAACAAGCTCCTCAAACTATGACAACTCCAGCATTTGAGCCTTTTCCTGAAAACAGGAACCCTGAGACTGGTGAGATCGATGGACCAAAAGGCCCTGAGCCTACTCGTTACGGTGATTGGGAGCGGAAAGGACGTGTTACTGACTTTTAGCCCCAGGAAATGTATTTATAAAATAAGTTCGTTGAATCCGCCACTTGGAGACAAAAAATGTCATTGATGACAATGGGAAATCTGAGTGTTGACATTTTAGACATTTTCTCCATTCAATTGCAGTGAAAAAGGACTAGATATTGCATGAATTATCAACATTCTTGTGGATACAAATGTAAAGATTGAGAAAGGATTTAGGGATGTATTTCCTCTCAAATTTCAAATTTTGTTGTTCGTATCATCAGATGTGATGAGACCCATTTTCTTGGGACACAGCTCAGCTTTCAATATTTTCAGTGTGGACAATTTAATTAGAAAAATGAACATACAAAATATCTTCATATCCGTCACACCTGATTTGATTAGCAGTCAACCCCCCCCCCTCCCCCATTATGTTCATACACCTCTGCACAGGTGAATGGAATTGGAAGTAAATAGCTGAATTGAGGGAGGGGGTGTTCTAGAGACTTGATGCAAGAATCATAGATTACAGTAATAATTTGTTGGTATTTACTTTATTTTGATTTGGTGTATATTCCTTTTGACTTCAGTTGATTTTCTTCACTCATCGAAATAAATATTTCGATATTTGAATTGTGACCTAAATCACTTGCAAACTGTAAAAATTGTGTGTATTTCTTGCTATTTTGGTAAATCACAAAACAAAAAATGTTATCACATAGCCAAAGCTGATGTGAGAAAAAATAATCTATTTTTATTTTCTAAATTACAAGAATTTACTAGTATCAGGTGCCAGATTAAAGCAATTTACAGTTATTTTTTTATGGTTTATGATTTGTTGCATGACTTTTTTGAATTTGAATTTATTTGTGATAAAAAATTTTTGTTTACAAGTCGAATACTGTATTCTATACTGTGGAGTTGTCACTGTTTAGTTAGACATCGGAATGTTATGACCGATATTGATATTTAGAATAATAATATGTTTAGAGCAATGATGATGTGTACATATATATTCAAAGGTTTGCATGAGATCCCAAGTAGGAAGTGGTGGAGGGCCGTCAGATTCACTACACTTGATGTATACCTAGTGAGTCAATTTCAAAATTCCCTACTCCCGGGACTTATACGTGTATTATGTCAAGATCACTCCGGATATAGTCCTGAGTAAGGACACTAGCGGTTACCGTTAGTGATTTGGTTTTCTGTATAAAAAGTCAGTTTTCTCCTTTCCTACCCCATTGGAGCGCCATCTGGCGTTTGGGAAGTGAATTGGGACTAAATATTTATAAGGTAGGTCCTGATTTATCTGAAAACATGTCAAAGTTCAGTGGGAAATCTCATTTTAATCTGGCGGCGGAGTGATTTTGACCTTGGTGATTTTACCAGAATTCTCTGAGAAATCTGACGATAGAGGGGGTTAGTGTCTTCAAGTTTATTTATCTCAAAAATTCGGTGGACAACCCATGGTAAGATTGTTATAGCAGGCTAGGCCAGTCTCTCCCGAACACTGTGGTATGTTGCACTAGGCTTGGATACTAGTCGTTAATAAGATACAGGGTAAAATGTTATAATGGCCATAACATAACATGGGATGAATGTGGAATCTACCCAACCTAGAAGTCACATTTTCAAAGAAAATTGAATTTTCACAGTTTATAAATAACTTTTTAAAGAACACTTCTATAAGTGATATTACATGTAGATTTCAAATATGATATTATTTTGAATAAATTTTGAATATTTAATGACGTAAATCAATATATTTCTATTTGGATCTAGTCTATTGACAATGAAGTTAAAAAATGAAAACAAACTTTGAAATTGCTGATTATTCCGCCTTTTGCTATTGGTTATTGAAAGAAAAATTGTAAATATTTAAACTGATGAATAAAAAAAGTGATTCATATATTATATAAAGCAATATATGCATTTGTTACTTTGATTTCATTGTATCTTCAGACATTCAGAAAAAGATGTTGCCCTATAATGTTTGGAATAAATTCCCATGCCATAGTCATTCTCCACAACAAAATATTTTACCAACATTAAGCCCATTTGAAGAATTGTGTTCTGAATTTTTCAAGGAAAACCGCAAATAGAAGATGATAAACATCTTGTCCCCCATTATTTATAGCTCCAAAATAACAAAAATATCGGGACTCCACTTCCACAACCTATAAGCTTATCTGAATCACTCTGTTTGATAAGTTTTCGTGCAGTCTTTATTGACATATAGAATGTAAGTTAAAATAACACACGAAACAAACGAAGCACAAAAGGTTTGACATACAAGAGAACTAAATAAATATTTTTTGAAGTACTTCATTTTGAAAACCAAAAGAGAAAAATATTTGATTTACTCAGATCAGAAGATTAGACTAAGAAGTTGAATACGGTGCTTTATACAACATGAATATGAACATTGTTCTGTTGAATCATATAAGAGAGAAGTGAATGAATTTGAAATTGATATTTGTAAAGTCTGTGTTCTTGACTCAAAGCCAACAGGCCCCATAGCATGGACAAAAAATAACATTGTTTTGTAAAAAATAGTAACTCAAGATCTCTTCTTTACAAAAAGATAACTTGTATCCCCTAGGCCTATAGCAGACAAATCTTACGACAAGAATTACATTGACTTAAATTTATTGTGCAGTTCCAAGTTTGAGTAATAAGACTGTTAAATCAATGTTGATATTCATTTAAGGAGGAATTGGCTTTAAGGAGAGAGCATTTATATCAGTATTTATTGGACAACCCTCATATTTTAAGAAGATGACAAAGGAGATTCATATACTTTTACAATATTTTATATTTTAGAAGATTTGACATCATTTATTTATGATAACATGTATATTTCATCTTAGAACAGTTATTCAAATACAATGATACATGTATTGCATACAGTACATTACCATACATTTACTCTGATCAACAAAGACAAGTAAAGCAATGTAAAAATATAATTTTCAATTGGAACACTTTGGCAGTTTAGTTAGTAATAGTATACAAAGTGAAAGAGAAATTCCTGAGTGATTAGAATCTATAGATATGAATGTACAGGGTGTCCCGAAAGTATGGGGGGCCTCCTATGATACCATGATACTTGGCAAATCAATGTAAGTTTGGATAAGCTTTAAAATGATATATGACACATACTATGAAAACACTGGTATATGTCCACCTAGGGGGGTCCCCATACTTCCGGGACACCCTGTACATACTTGAGTATTTTCTGCACCATGAGTGAGATCATATCAAGTAAAACTAGTTTCCGAATATCGAAGTGTGTATACAGCAATGTATAGTAGACACTAGACAACTACCATTACATCTATCACCAGAACAGAATCAGCAGAAACCCCTCTTAAAAGGAGCCCTATGCACTGATAGACCGACATACAAGCACATACCACATCCTTTTGTGTAAGTTGTGGACCAATCAAACACCCTGAGTGGGTTTTTAAGTCTTTCAACCAAACAGATTTGTCATTTAGATTTTACTATCTATTCAAACATGGTGGGAGTACACTATATAGAGAATGCCTCAGTCTGTACATATACTAGCCTAACATGTTACCCAGGGGTGTATTAAATTACATTGCCTGTGCCGTCTTGTGTTCTAGTATGTAAGAGTGCGGCTACAAGGTGAGTATGGTTTTCTGTATGACTCCATGACACTACTGTGTCTACTAACTTATTACCCAGTACAGGGTGTGCTCACAATTTTGGCTACAATGTGTTCACAGTCCATACACCTGTATCTATGCTTCACATTGTTAATTCACAAATACCCAGTGATACCTTTTGTGCATCACATCTTTCCATATGTTGAATTGAAGCTAAAAAAATGGGTATGGATTTCTGTGCAGTCAACCGTTTGTCATCTCTGTATCTACTAGCTCCACAGCTACGGGTGTGTTACTAGAGACACCTATCTGTGACTTAAACTTGAGGCTCGTCTTTGTAATATCACATGACTCTTAACCTGTGTAAGTACACTGCCCAATGTTCATCACATCTTCTCATATGTCAGAGTATGGCTACAAGATGTGCAAGATTTACTATACATGTCCTCTTCCTCATCATACGTCTCTTCACCATATGAGTGTTCATGTGTACTAATGTCCTTGGTCCACAGGCTGGACCTCACTGCATTACGTAAATCTGAAAAAGCAAGAGTTTGGGTATAACTAGTGCTGCCACAGAATGGAAACAGACTGAACTTCAGAATTTTGACTTGAATTTTCAGAATTCCGGAATTTAATGTTGGGAGAATATTTTTAAAGGTTTGGAATATATAAAATTGAGTATTTATAATTCATTGATTTTATCCTAGTCAAAGATTCTTAAAATTTTTGGCAAAACAATGAATGCCAAAAGGGCAGTTCTGGAGGTCTGTATCTCTAGCTAAAATCAATTGAAATTGAATTTCAAAGTGAAGCCAAAAATGGACCTAGAAATTGCCAAAATCACTTCTAATATTGGCCATCTATTGATATTCCTGAAGGCCATTAAAAATAGGACCATATTTGTAAGGTAGTGAGTCCTGATTTTAAAAATGAGGTTCAAATAAGTCCCTTTTTATCCTTCAAAACTATGGGATGCATTTTTATATTTCAATATCAATCTAGAATTTTCATTTCTCACCTTTAACTTTTTTATCAAACTTTTTCTGCTTAAGTTTCTGTTGGTTTTCCATTCTAGTTTCTCTAGCTTCTTCTATTTTTTCTTCAGAACCCCACACCTCAAGTGCCCGCTTCCTCACCTGTTAATGCATAATTCAATAAAGTAAACGTGACCTTAAGGTTCCATCTCCTATAATTGTTATTTTTGAATTTCTATTTTTAAAATCAAATAATTGGGTTGGTACTGTATTTTCAGAATTAGATTTCCAAATACTTTTTGCTTCCCATTGGCTGCATGAAATCCATGTGTCTTAAATGAACAACTCCATTAAACAGACCAGTGTTAATCAATTTTTGACTGATGTAAAATTCCCTGACACATTTTTGATTCCAAAATTCCCTGGCATTTTAGGCCCTTTTGGCCTTCCTTCAACATCTCCCTGATATTTCCAGATATTTCAAGGTTTCAATTTCCCCTGACATTTTGAAGTCTACATACTTCCAGGTATGCAGGAGCCCCTTGCAAGCTTACATTAATCATAATCTTAAAAAATATTAATTATATTTGTTTATTCATTGATATACAAGGCATTAACATGCAAAATGTTACAACCTGCCATTTGTTACAGACACTGAATGCCAATACAAAACACCAAATGCTGAACACAAAAAGTTGGAGACTATAACAATACATTACCACTTCTGTTGGTGACATAAAACACATCGTCCATTGACGAGTTGTGTTTCTTTGACTTGAACATTGTAACATGTGTTATGGTAAAGGATATTTCAATCAACATGACATAAAATTATCTCTACATGTACCTCAGATTCCAAATATAGTTTCATCTCCCCCCATCTAGGATTGTGTGGGTTTTTACGTATGATGAACTTGAGTGGTGGTTCCCTTTTGTCAAAGTCTTCATCTTTCAGGAGGTATGTGTTTCTCCCATCGGTTTTGGTTATCAACTTATGTTTATCATCTCGATCCCTAAAAATCCAAAAAGTTCATGTGAATGTTTGTACAAGTATTTCTTTTTAAGCTTTGAGTTTCATTTATTTGCATACATTGTACAGGGTGTCAAATAAATATGTTTTCCCCCTCTATCTTTAACATTCTTATAATGCTGCATAACATTTTTGTCTGTGTGATCTCTGAATTGTTCTTGAGCACATCATTCAAAACCTAAGCTTCATGGAGCAACTCCACAAGTAGTTTCAGATGACTAGCTCAACTAGATGCACTTTTATGCACAAAAGTTCAATACTTTGGAAATTCAGGGGAGAACATATTTATTTGACACCCTGTACTTGTGCATACTTAGACATGAAAAACATATACATTGTAAACACATATTTAAAAAACATTTACCTTAACTTCATAATTATAAACCCATTGATATATAGATTGACTTTGATGACAAAAAACAAAGCATAAACATGCATAATGTTACCACTTGTCAATCGTTACAGGCGCTGAACTAATGCCAAACACCATCTGCCATCCACAAAAAAGTTGGACACTATTAACAAGATGACACCACTTGTGATAGTGATATAAGAATAAACAGTGAACATACATACTCATTTTCACATTTCAGCCCAGAATTGGATAGAATCTGCCCATTTCATAATTTGTCTCATTTTCTCGAAGATTTTTAGGTGAGCGTTAGTCTAACAAGTGGCAACAGAGCTCATTTGTTTTGATACTGGTACCCCTTCAATGTATGTAAACTACAGCTTGAGAACATGTATAACATGTATAAGGTAAAATGCTCATTTGTTTTGATACTGGTGAGTCCCCTTCAATGTATGTAAACTACAGCTTGAGAACATGTATAACATGTATAAGGTAAAATGATCATTTGTTTTTATACTGGTGAGTCCCCTTCAATGTATGTAAACTACAGCTTGAGAACATGTATAAAGTAAAATGCTCATTTGTTTTGATACTGGTGAGTCCCCTTCAACGTATGTAAACTACAGCTTGAGAACATGTATAAAGTAAAATGCTCATTTGTTTTGATACTGGTGAGTCCCCTTCAATGTATGTAAACTACAGCTTGAGAACATGTATAACATGTATAAGGTAAAATGCTCATTTGTTTTGATACTGGTGAGTCCCCTTCAATGTATGTAAACTACAGCTTGAGAACATGTATAAAGTAAAATGCTCATTTGTTTTGATACTGGTGAGTCCCCTTCAATGTATGTAAACTACAGCTTGAGAACATGTATAACATGTATAAGGTAAAATGCTCATTTGTTTTGATACTGGTGAGTCCCCTTCAATGTATGTAAACTACAGCTTGAGAACATGTATAACATGTATAAGGTAAAATGCTCATTTGTTTTGATACTGGTGAGTCCCCTTCAATGTATGTAAACTACAGCTTGAGAACGATGTATAAGGTAAAATGCTCATTTGTTTTGATACTGGTGAGTCCCCTTCAACGTATGTAAACTACAGCTTGAGAACATGTATAAGGTAAAATGCTCATTTGTTTTGATACTGGTGAGTCCCCTTCAATGTATGTAAACTACAGCTTGAGAACGATGTATAAGGTAAAATGCTCATTTGTTTTGATACTGGTGAGTCCCCTTCAACGTATGTAAACTACAGCTTGAGAACATGTATAAGGTAAAATGCTCATTTGTTTTGATACTGGTGAGTCCCCTTCAATGTATGTAAACTACAGCTTTGAGAACATGTATAAAGTAAAATGCTCATTTGTTTTGATACTGGTGAGTCCCCTTCAACGTATGTAAACTACAGCTTGAGAACATGTATAAGGTAAAATGCTCACCTACAACCATCACACACATTGACACTGAAATGTGTGTACATGTAGGACTCAATATACTGCTTATGACACTCATCACAAAGCATGACATCACCAAGCCCTGCTGGAGCTGAAAATAAGAAGAAGTATATTATTGTGCATCACAAAATAATTTTGTGTAAAACTGAGTTAAGTAAATGATGCCTCGGATCAGATAATTTTGGCTAATTTAAATGGGATTTCTTTTAATTTGTGCTTTCCTGGGATTTTCCATGTTATCATCAATGTATCATGAAGGGCAGGGTCAAAAAATATAATCAATTACGTTAGTGGGGGAGGGCTGGAGGAGATTAAATGCTGTTTAATTAGGTGACGGACATCAATTTTCAGTTTCTCAGTTTTTAGAATCTTCATTCAAAACTATTCAGTATGACATTTTATGTTATTTTTTTTATAACTTTTTTTTTTTTCATGTCTATGGCCTGATATGATCTTTAAATATACTCAATAGTAAAGAGAATTTGTATTGTGTTGTTTAAAGCAATAGCAGATATTGTATGCTGGGGTTGTAGTGGTACAGTGCAGGAAATCATCATTTCGACTTGTGTTAGAAGGGGGGTGGTCAAGACCTAACTAAATTAATAACGTTTTTTTGACGGACATTGAAATAAATGTATTAGCCCGGCCCCTAAGTCAAGCCATCTAGCTTCATCAAGCTTAAAATATCCTAAGCAAGTTCAAAGCTTGATGAAATTTAGTGATTGAGCATGAAAACACATTTGTCGAAATCCCAATATTGTCAGAATCCCATTTTATTTTAAATTCCCATCATATATGCCAACACTTGCGAATATTTACCTGAAGGCTTCACCACCTTGAAGATTTCTTGCTCTAACTCCTCATCTAACATGAACCCACCATGTGTGTCCACAGTGATGTTTGATGCTTTGAAACTCCTACAAAACATAACCAATCACATGCATATAGCTATATAGCTATTATATTATTTATACATTATATTACTTATATAATACTGTGAATAAATAATATGTGTGTATAAGTCTTTTGCTGTAGTGGATTGTATCATACTGCACTGTATTGCAAAGTCTATAAGATACTGGATTAGAGGTGTCACGGATACCCGATTTTGTTCCGACCCATGGAATTATGCTCTCAGAATGGAACAGGCAGTCACTCTACTCCAAACTATTACGAAATTGTTCCGTTCCGAAACAAAATGTTCCAAACCGAACTGCTCCGTTTTATTTTATTCCATAACATCTCTATACTGGAATGTGTTGTACATTTACTTACTGTTTAGTACCTCTTGATGCTCCAGTGCTTTTTGGCACATTGTAAGGTTGTGTTGTAACTCTAGATTGCCTCAGAGACAGCGCTTTCTGCTTGTTCCTCTCAATCCTTGCCTTCTGAGCTTCAGTTAGTTTGCCACCATCATTACTCTCATCTGCCATTGTTGTGCCCACTTGTTTTAATTCCTGTATTTAGTAAAGGACATAATAAAAAATTGAGTTATCAAGTCAGTGTTCTCTACAGGTGCAATATTTTCGAAACAAATGCATGATATATACAGAAATCGCGTGCAAATTCCGAATGGAATGCATTCGCTTTTTTTCGGTGTTCATTCTTTTACCGTATCTGCAATTTGTAAAAAAAACATTTTTAAAAATATCAACATAATGCGTGATTTGTGTTACATTTTATCAAACACACTAAATTGATGTATGAATTCTATTTTTCCACCAAATGCGTGACGACAATCATGTCTAATGCGTGAGGGTTGACAGGGCTGTTTAGCCTAATTACTTCCCAGAAGTTAAACCATTCAACCTACAATGAATATACAGAGCACTTAATTGTTAGCAGGGTTTCACAGAGACTTAAAGCCAGACCTAAACAAACGGATAAAGACTAGCTTCATAAAGTTTTATTAAGAACACTGGAAGATTTTAAGAATAATTAAGTTTTATTGAACTTTATTTATCTAGTGGATTTTAGGAACTTAAATTAAACTAGCATTTACAACAAGTGACAGCACAAAGAGCTACATGTATAGCAACCTTACTCGAGTCTCTAGCCAATTCTTGGCTAGAAGTAATTCCATCTGGATCACCGTGAACTATTGTAAAATCTGTTCAATAAATTTAAGTAATATTCGTAAAACAGTCCTGTTAATATTTCAAGAATTGAAATGGTAACGGCTTGTCTTGTTGATGAGATATTGAACGTTTTCATTTAAAATAGATGTCGTCCCGTTCTCCATTTTGAAAGCATGCCTTATTTCCGCTATAGCGAAAAGACAAGATGGCTGCACTTGTTATAAAATATTTTAATTTTTGTGAGTAAGTATCCTGCGAACTAGACGAATGTACCATAGGAACTAGGACTGCGTGTAAAGATCAATGAAGATGAGTTTATTATATTTACATCAATTCTATGGCCACACTCAGTGGCCATAGCATATGGTAATAGCAACCTAGTGATAAACCAGTACAGAGAGACTAATATATGTAGGTGACATAAAAGCACCAGGATACCAACAACAACTGTAATCATATGCTACGACCCCCACGACGTACGTTGTCCTGGAATTTGATAAGATATCCTGATGTACTTGAACATAATTTGAGTAAATATATTTGATAATTAGTGTGATTACTCACCAATATGCTGATAAAGATGATTTTAGTCGAAAAAGTGAAATGTATGAAAATTTTGTAACTTTATGCTCGAAGAACGTTAAACAGGATAAAGTGACGCTTGAGAAAATAAATTCAAAAACTTCGCAGGAAAGCTTACTATGGTCAATGATATATCTTTCTTGCAAATGAAATAGTTCATTATTATGCTTATGTATATACTTTTGCAATTTTTAATGCATATGATTCTTATTTTGATGTATATTGGTCATATTGGAACTATTTTAAGCCGTCAAATCACTCCGCAGTAAGCGCAAAATTTAAATATAAAAAGTTTGCCATTTTCCGATTCAAATTGCTTTTTGCTTCTATCTTGATCGACCAATTGAAATTAGAACTCCCTCTCGCTGTCAGTAAGTATATGTTCGTATTTTTGAACATCATTTGGTACCCTTTGCCTTCTAGAATAACCCATAATATTGCCATAAAGAAAAACAATATTTTCCGTGGGCGATAATAGATCTGTGCCAGAACTTTCTAAGGCCTCTTCTATGATTTTGCTAAGTTGTATCGATTTTTATATCATTTTATTTTTGATCTAATGATAATTTTCTCCTCCGTTCGACGTATGGGGTCACTTCGTCCTGGGGCTACTTCATCCCACGGACTTCTGCCAGATTACCTCCTCTGGGTCTAGGCTCAATAAATATACTTTACTCTACCGAGCTGACAGAAGTCAGCTCTGGGAAGTTGGATGTATGTGAACTTGAAAAGAATGAATCGAGCCCATTTTGACTAAACGCTGTACTGAGTAGCGTTTATAATACGCTATATATTTGAATCAATACATAATTTATTTGTTGTTACCTTATTTTGTTCCTTCAACAGTCTGTTGTTGTAGTAAATCAATGTTCTTGTAGACAACAAAATTTTTGAATTTAGATTCCAGCCATTTTAGGTCACGCGAGATCTCGTGACTTTCGAAAGTAAAAATTTGCTACAAAATAACTCGCGCTAGCTAAATATGATATAGTCACGTGATCTCTCAGCGGTAATACCCATGCGCATAAAAGTACAATGCGCATGTGCACGCATGCGTAATAGTTAAAAAATGGTGCGCGCCAGATTTGGAATTTCTCCATTTTAACTGCAATTACACAAGAAGTAGGACTTATTGTCACCACGCGTGATGAAAAGGGCAAGTTACATTCAATTATCTTCTTAAATACCGTTTCTTATTCCAGCGCGTCTGCTGGAAGTTGGAGAAAACCGCTTCACAGGACGGTATATTCTAACGGTGCTTCAGCTGGCTTTTGAGCCAGCTGTGTTCAGTAAAATATACTCTAGGACAAGACACGCGATCTTCGAAAAATTTATTTTTCCTTGATTTTGGAGTCAGTTTATCAATAAATACCACATTTCATACCTCAAACGATGTGTACTGTTGTTAGCTTCAACTCCAATCACTAAAGCCACACATCCAAGAAAGTGTCTGTTGATAAAAGCATAAAATAAGTGAGCGTATATTTAATGGAGTGTTTGGCTATATCCGTTGTTCTAATGTTTATTCCCGAAGTCAAATACCTCTTCTGAGAATGTGACGCCACTCCGGATGACGTCACATCAGAGATTACCGAGAAATCCCATGACGTTTCTTTCAACTCCTGTAGAAACAATAACAACGGTTTGCTAGGCTACGGGATCTTTTACTTTTGTTGGCTGTTTTTTGCGATGTGATGTAATTTGAGTGATGAACAACATCAGACACTGCTTGAAATTACCGAAGCACTCCATTATCTTTACGCTCTGAAAATTTGAAATAAATGTCCCGGGAAAATTCGAATTACAGCGTGGGTATCATGCAACCATTCAAACTAATACATAAAGAAGAGATAACAGGGTAAATATTGATCAATTAATGCCTGACAGGTGGAAAAATAAAGGTCAGTACGAGGGTCATATTTTTGGGTGGTCATTTTTTTGATGTGGCATTTTTGGCACGTGTCTCATCTTCACATATATCCTTTGAGCCTACTCCCAATAGAATAGGGGCTGGATCTGGCTCCAGCTCTGTGCTTCGTCCAGGGCCTACTTCGACCATGGGGTTACAGGGATCTCACCAGGAATTATTTAGGGTGTGGTGCAAACATCTTCAGCATTACCGTTCAATCGTGATAAATCATATTTATGTTATATTTTATCCTTTTTACGTGCTATTATTGTATATTCAGTCAAGTTAAGACTGTGGAAACAATCATGATTTGTCAGTAGAGACACTGTAGAGTGTGGTAGGAGCTAAATAGAGTGGGTTGCTGCGCCACAGTCTAAAAGCCTGGCGAGAGCCCTGGGTTATTTCGACCATGTCCATTGTCCAATGATTCAAATTTCGGGAAATTTCATAAAATGGGTTATCTGCACTAGGTTCCATTTCTTTTTAGAGATCAATTATGTAATATTCCCCAATCTTTTTGTACAATGAACGATAAAATTTGGAAACTAATACTGTAGATTTGCTTAAGTAAACTAGTATTTACAACAAGTGGCAGCACAAAGAGCTATAGCAACCTAGTGATAAACAAGTACAGAGAGACTAATAGTAGATTTGCTTTCCGACACCGAACTGATTGACCTAAATGATAGTGACATGTCTTTGGTCAACTGCTCAGTTGTTTGTGGGTTTTCAATGTAACTCTATAATGCAATTTGATTTGAAGTACTTTTATTCTGTTGTTGCATCGATGTTGCAGTTTGTAGTGCGGTAAGATTGGAACTTAGTGTTGAAAGTTGAATGAAACTATTATTTCCAATATGGCAACTAGTCAACAAATCACTTAATGTTTTCTTCTGAAATATATTCTCACTTTTCAATCATCGTTTTCACCATGCTACGAATCAAAAGAATGAAAAAAATATCTGTAATATTAAGATTGATAGGAGATCAATCGTTTCTGATTATTTTTTCTGTAGTACGGTATGGGAATATGAACAAATGTATCGATTGAAAAAAAGGTGTGAAAATCCCCATGTGTGAAAATCCCTCTATGGGGAAAATAAGGAAGTATGACTTTGTTCCTCTGCGAATTGCAAGATGGGAAATATTTTAGGAAAATCGTTCACATCTCCTCTTTTGAAGAGGGAACAACGAATCAGACAACTGGAATAAAATGCTGGATTTTTGGTGAAATTGGTCCATAATTGCGGAAATTGGTGATGATGGGTAGATTAATGACAGCTAAGAGATAATTGGTCCAACTTTACTTTCATTAGATATTCCCCCTTATTGAAGATGACATATTGGCCAAACAAATGCATTTGATTTTGTGGTCTAATATTCAAAATGTATAGCACACACAGGGCCAATGTAGTGATCTCTAAGCCAAGCTTACAGGCTGGGGACTCAGTACCCAGCTTTATTTTTATTAAATAAATAAATAAAGGGTACTTTAGAGAAACACTTAAAAAATTATAGATTTCCTCTTTTGCCTTAGAAAATAAAAAATCCTTTTGAGAGATTTCACCTTATTTACATCACTTCAAAAATGCTTTATTTTTCAAGTATAAATACAAAAATATTGCAAATAGAACAGTTTATTTATTTGCATCTTGAAGTACAAAATAGCTGATTGGCATTCAGGCATAGTGGGTAATTTATATATAGCATTTCGCTCTGCAAGTGCAATCTTTATTACTGTTTGTCTTGAAAATAGTTAGCAGTCATAACCATTTCACATTCAGTTATCACTGTGCTGTGTCATAGACCTTCCAAACAATTTGCAACATCAAACTCCAAAAATACAGCATTAGAGTGTTCACACTCCTGAGACTTTTAAGGGCTAGCATTAAATTCTGCCCACTGAAGATTTTCAGTGAAATTAGTTTTGATTCAATGTTTGTTGGAGTTTAGGCAATGGATAGAAGCTATGAATATGGTAAATTGAAATGTAGTGATCTCCCCAATTTTCTGTTTTGGTTTTATTCTAACATACAAATCAGATATTTCTCTCTACTCATATATGATCTTAAAGTCCCAGTCTTTGTTGACTCTCTCCTGTATAATTTTATCAAACTGTTCATTTGTTGCAACTGTGAAGTGATTCTTCCAGTCACCCACTTGACCTGAAACAATAAAAACTCAAAAAATAAATTGTTGGTGCCTCAAACCTGCCCCGAAGAATGGCTATGACCTGAACTTACTTTTGTCAAAATACCTAAACTGTTTTTGTTGGTCGTACAATTGACTTCTTTTATCTATACCATCTGGCGAATGAATCATTGTTTTCGTGTCATATGATTCGTTGCTCTGTGTCACGTGACCTATCTTTAGACCTTTTGCTGCCTATCGTAAGTTAATCGAATTAAAATGAAATTTTCGATCCAAGAAGAAAATTTGCTCAAAAATTATAAACTCCGTTTGACATAATCCTTGTCACTCTATTGTCTTCTTGATGAGACACATCGGAACCTGGGATTCTAAGCCATTCAACCAAGCCACAAAAAGTATGTACATTAATAGTTGTTCAACATGTTCAATTGTGTTAATATTTCCGGGCACTCCACCTTTAATGATATGGCAATGATAATCTAATATGTTTTAAAAGAGAAATATTAGTAGCATGCTCTAACTCAAGGGACTAGCACTACATGTCAGTGTTGTCCAAAAATTAAATTAGTAAGATAGTACAGTGATATCCCCTGGATTTTTTCTGATGTGGGTGCAAAATTTTCATTTTCACAATTCAGACCGAAATTGGTTAAAACAGTGACCTCCCCAGCATTAAAGCAAGTGGCCGCAGCACCCATCTGAGATTTTTAAAATAGGCTTGCACCCACCTGAAAATCTGTTGGCACCCACTTGAAAATGAGAAAAACCTGTAAAATTGGCTTATTTTGACCAATGTCTGAATTGTGAAAAATGAGAAGTTTGCACCCATCTGAAAAAAAATCCGAGATCACTGTAAAATATGTCAATTTTTCTCATTTTCAGGTGGGTGCAAATTGATTTTCAGGTAGGTGCAAGCCTATTTTCAAAATCTCAGGTGGGGGCTGGGCCCACTTGCTTTAATGCTGGAGAAATCACTGAAGTAGATTAACCCCCTCCCCATAAAACTGATTTTATCAAATTAAGAGTAGGCAGCTATGATTTTAAATAATTTCTTTTTACTATCTTTTTAATTGTATACCTTTTCTATACATTGTGCCTTTTTGATCTTTCCATATTCCTGGTGAATCAAGAATTTCTTTGTTCTTTTGCATGTTTTCTATGGAACAAACATGTGCCATCTTCTCCAGGAAATCGTCTGTCTGTGGTTTACCCAAGAACTCACTTATATCTCTGACTGTTTTGATAAACTCCTAAAAATTAAGATTACTGGCTGAACTTTGGAAATTACAACATAAAACAAGGTTTCAAAATCATAGGTCATCACAGATACTATCCTCGTTCATTTTGTTTAATGTTATTAATGATTTCTAAACTAAGACATAATCTTAGAAATGTGTCTCATTTAAGACTCAGTCATATTTGCAACAGTAACCAAACTTGACCGTAGGTTCACAAATTGATATAGAAAATCTACATCATACTGCGTATCTCTATATCTTATGTTGCATATTTCTCTTGATTTTGGGAAGCTACAGCCCCTGTACCATTGCTATATACCCCCAATCCGCAACATCACCGGTGCAGTTTGAGTGATGTATAATGCTATTCTCGCATCACCTGTTTTAATTGTACAGTTTAGTTTAGTACAGTTTTTACAGCGCTGTACAGTACTGTTTTTGAAAACAGCGATGCACAGTACTGCTAGCACTGTTTCATAAAAGCGCTGTTTGATGCTGTTTGAGATTGGCAGTGCAGATCAAATGTTACTGAGGCATTACCAGTTTCCACAGCATGTTCTCTATTACCTTCTTCAGCTGTTCATATGTAACAAGCTTTACATGGTCACATGTTTTTGACTTCTTCCACCAAAGATCATAGAAATCAAAGAAGTCTCCATAACCCACTGGAACATTAGAAAAAATATATTCTTTTTCAATTGGACTCAGAAATGTTCATTCTGAAACTCAGAATATTGTTCCTAATCGTAACACTGAATGTGCAAGTTGCTTGAGATTAACCCAAAGAGGATTGGAAGCCAGGGACTCTAAATTATTTATTCTCCAATGTGATGCAATAAATACTATTGTGCCGGTATATTTCTACAGCTGCAAGGAGAATGGCTGATATTCGTGATTTTGACATTTGTATTTCATATTATCACATGGTTACGAGTTTCTAAGCATTTTGATTGGTCAATTGTGACAACGTATATTCTGTATCACATGACACCTGACAAATTTTCATGTGACACGGTGGGCTGTATTACTAAGGAGTCAATAGTAAGGATATGACATCTCTGATTATATCACTTCGTAGCTAAAGAAAACAGTATGACGTCATATTATTTCACTAACAAGTATGAATTCAACAGTATGACATCATATTATTTCAAAGCAAACTTTCAAAACACACAAAATTATAATAGTTACCAGGAGTACAGAGTACTAAACACAATTATAATGACCAAATCAAAATGCTTCAATTCAACATTCCAAGACATGTGATAAAATCGTCATCACACGTTTCAGCTTATGTGATACAGGAAATAATATTCCATTTGGGTAAAAATATATCGCCACTCAAGCTTCGCTTTCGTGGATGACACAATATTACCTTTCATGGAATATTTCCTGTATCACATGCTGAAACGTGTGACAACTGATAATAATTGACTAAATGATACCCAAATATGGAATATTGAGTTACCTCCTTGGAAGCCAATTCTCCTTGAAATCAATTCAGTTTAATGTGATTTTCATGTTAAAATTCACACCATCATTTACTTTAATCTTATAGTTGACAGAACGCACTACAAACCCAGGTCAGTGTAACCCAATAATGACATCATCTAGGGTGATACTTACATTTTTTATCTGCAAAGCGTTGATAGAATCTATTGATGCCTTCATCTCCCGCTTGCATTCTTTCTGAAGATCTTATATGATGGTAAAAAGATACAAGTTGATCTTTCGGATTTCGCAAAATCACCAAAATCTTGCTTTTCTTGCTCCATACATCTTTTGGCATGTAGTTTATTGGCATGTGTGTTTGTATGAGCCTAGGTGAGCTCTGGGCAGTGGTCTCTGCTGGGGTGTTCATATCGAAGAAATGTGTTTCAGCATTTCTTACTTCTGTATCTCCGGTCATTAACATGTGCAGTATCTGGCTACTCCAATGAAGACCTGTAGCGTATATATTATAGAATAATTTTCAAAGAAAACTGTTCTGCAAAAAATATCATGTCAAAATATAATAGTGAAAATTCAAAAATAGAACTTTAAAGCATAGTTGTACTGATTCAGGGAACATGTCACCCTCCTCCACACCCCTTGCAGGAAGGGCCCTGAAAATCAAGATGGGAGTTAAAAATGTTCGGCCCCAATTTTGAAATTTTAGGCCAAAGGAGGATGGAAAGTATCCCAACAGATTTTGGATAGTCATGTTGGATTTTGGCTATTTTGTTAGGATTTAAGCATGTGCATATGTTAGTCCAATGCACTGACTCCAGAAAAAGCACTCATAGAGATGAAGTTGCATTGTGCAGTTAGCCCCTTTAATATAAAGGAATAAGTAATTCCTTCAGGGATTTTAAAGATATCCATTATGGGTAACCAAAGTTAAGCTGAAAGCAATGGATCACACTAGTTTTCTGTATGGGAAAATAACATTAGAAATATTGTTTTCCACTTTACTTTTAACTAAATGTATCCAAAAAATACTTATTCCTTTAAAAGGATTTGTTAACTGTGTCTCAAAACGCAACATATTGATGCAACAATACATGTAGTTAAAAAACCAGGGGTGGAAGGGGTTGAAAATCTGAGGACAACATTTAAGAAAAACAGGTGTGTGGGTTGTTAAAGTTCCCTGTCTCAAAGTCCAAATTATCTTATCATCTTTATGAGTTACCTGTAGGTATTGCATTGACCTAACATATGTACCTGTTTAAATCCTCAGAAAACATACAAAATTCAACATACATGACATATGACTGTTTGAAATATGTTGCTACTTTCTGTTCTCCTTTCATAAGAAATAGGCTCAAAATTAAAAGAATAGTTACCAGCTTGCAATTTAATAATATTCATGTGGGGAGGAACAAGTTTTGGCTCAAAAATTATTTTTAGGCCCAATTTTATACTCACCTGCTTTGGGAAAGGTAACAGTCCATACATCATCCTCTCTGCATGGCATTTTCTGCACCTCTCTATGCCATTCTTCCCAGTTCATGTTGCTTTTAGGAGGTCTGCTCCGAGGCCAGAATCGGGGCCAGTATATGCCATCATATTCCGCCATCATAATACCATCAACATCTACAGAATCTTTAGCCATTTTGAGCAAACTCACTCACAAATGTGTGTCAGTGTGTCACCTTTATATGTGACTGTAAATGTACTCGGTCAAATTATATCCCTACAAAGGGACTTTTATCTAAATAGTGAACTGCAATATGATTAGTTTTAAACACATGGTACAATACTATAATAGACTGTATTCTATGTTATGCTGTATGGCCTTATTTGTAGATTAAGGTCAGGGCCCGGTCAGGGTGCACTTTGATGAAATTTTCTGACCATGTGCAATTTTCAGATAAACATACTCATTCTATACTTCATCTTCTTCTTTTATTCTTGCACAAAAGATCCATTAGTGTACCCAGACTATTAATTGAGGGTTGATAATTGTTCAGAATGTTTAAATAACTAGAATATTCAGTGGTTTACCTTTCAAAAATTCAAAGAAATTCCCAAGTGCACTCTGACCTTTGAATATGATGAGTGTAAGCCACTTGTTTTGTTAAAAATGCAATTCAACTTGAATAAAAGCAATGATTAAAGTTTTGAATATAATTTTATACACAGCACTACAGATATGTCTTGTTATTTGTTCACATCCCTAATTTACAAATAACATGCAATTTTAGGTAGATATGATTGCTTGAGATCCCTGGTGAATGGGGTAAACACTGATAAAAGACTTTATTGATAAAGTTTTCACCTGCATTCCTTGCCTCCAGTTAGGCTTATTAATGTTTGAACATTTGATTACATTAAAGCATGCATATACTGTACTTCTACTTAATTTGGCAGCCATATGATTTAAAGAGAGAATCAGATATATAGTGAGCAGGCTTAACAAAAAATTGTTTCAATTTTAGAATGTCATTCCTTGTCATGTCTATTTTCCAGGAAAACTAAAGATTTTTACAATAATGTATTTTTTTTCGATAAGAATGGTTACCATTCTTATTATTTGGGAGAATTTAAACATTTTTCACTCATTTTTGAATCATTAATAACTTCACTAGCCTTGCCCAAGTCGGTATTTTTTTACTAATCTGATCTTGAATTATTACCGCCTTGTACAATCCAATACATCTCTGCTGATATTATGCTGAGATATTCAACGGTTTCGAGATTTCCATAATACCTACGCTTTCAGGGGTATCGCGAAACCTTATTGATTGACAGATCGCGTGGACGACACGACATGTGACTTCAGGCTGATTGACCAATCAAAACGTTATCAGGTTGAGCTGCATAAACAAAGCAAACTTCCCGTCTATGACTTGAAATTCAATGATCTGATCGAGTGTTTCTCTAGAGTTGCAATATCATTCATGAATATATTATGTAATTGAATGTACATTGGAATGTAAGAGTCATTTAAAACTGATTTCGCGATGAAAATGTATAGCGGGTCATTCGTCGATCAGTGATTCAATCTCAGCCTACATGTTCGATCATTTGAATTCAGCGATCGTTTCAACGTTTATTGTTGAAATCTTATCACCTCCGGTTATCCAATCGATGCTCCGGCATCCACTAAACTCTGATTGATACATGTTGCTTGTAATTTTGTCACCCCCTATAGATCAGAATCTGCCTTTAATCTAGCAATACTTCAGATTGTCAAAGTCCACCAAATTAAGTAGCCACCAAAAGTTTTAATAATCATAATTGTAATTTTATTACCATGGAAATTAGTACCATTAGTACATTGTAATATTGCAAGTCGGCCAAATTAAGTTGTCATCAAATGTTCAAAAAAGCAAATCTGCCAAAATAAGTAGCGCAAAATTAAGTAGAAGCACAGTTCTGATTATTTTGAGAATGTTACTCTAGTCCATTATAAAAAATTAAAATTAAATAAAACATTCATCACCATTCTTGATATTTCCCCAAATGTAAATCAGAAACATTGATTTCCTTTACAATTGATACATGCCAGTGATCTCCCCAAGATTTTTTTGGGGTTGGTGCAAAATTCTCATTTTCACAATTCAGACCAAAATTATTCAAAATATACCAAATATTCAGGATTTTTTTCTCATTAGCTCACATGGTGAAATACTCACAATAATATGAATTGCATAATTGTTATATTTTATAACAAATATCTTTACACCGGTGCTATACTGTCAATAGCCTGGGTTTATTCATATATGATCTTAAAGTCCCAGTCTTTGTTGACTCTCTCCTGTATAATTTTGTCAAACTGTTCATTTGTTGCAACTGTGAAGTGATTCTTCCAGTCACCCACTTGACCTGAAACAATAAAAACTCAAATTTATTTATTATCCCACTGAACGAAGTTCGAGAGGGATATAGGAAAGCCGTCCGTCCGTCTGTTTGTCCGGGCGATAACTCAAATACCATTTCACGGATTTGATTCGAATTTTATGGGCTTATGCCTTATGGGTGTATAGTAGGACCTCTGCTCGAGAAGGAATTTTCAATATGGCCACTGAATTCAAAATGGCCGACATTTTTCATAAAAATGTAATCTTTAATAACTCAAATACTAGTTTGCGGATTTGGTTCAAATTTTATATGCTGATGCCTAGGGACAAAGGAGTTTCGCACAAAAAGAGATTTTCAAGATGGCTGCTTAATTTCAAAATGGCGGCCATTTTTCGTAAGAATATGTAATCTTTGATAACTCAAATACCAGTGAATGGATTTGGTTCAAATTTTATATGGTGATGTTTAGGGACACAGTAGCTATGTTCGACAAAACATTTTCAAGATGGCCACTTAATTTCAAAATGTCGGCAATTTTTTGTAAAAAACGTAATCTTTGATAACTCAAATACCAGTGAACAGATTTGGTTGAAATTTTATATGAATGATTATGCCTAGGGACACAGTCGCTCTGTTCAAGAAATAATTTTCAAGATGACGGCTGAATTTCAAGATGGCGGCCCGTATTAGTAAAAAACGTAATCTTTGATAACTCCTATACTAGTGAACGGATTTGGTTCAAATTTTATATGCTGATGCCTAGGGACAAAGGAGTATCGCACAAAAAGAGATATTCAAGATGGCCACTTAATTTCAAAATGGCAGCCATTTTTCGTAAAAATATGTAATCTTTGATAACTCAAATACCAGTGAACAGATTTGGTTCAAATTTTATATGATGATGCTTAGGGACACAGTAGCTATGTTCGACAAAACATTTTCAAGATTTCTGCTTAATTTCAAAATGGCAGCAATTTTTCGTAAAAAACCTAATCTTTGATAACTCAAATACCAGTGAACAGATTTGTTTGAAATTTTATATGATTATGCCTAGGGACACAGTAGCTCTGTTCAAGAAATAATTTTCAAGATGGCAGCTGAATTTCAAGATGGCGGCCCATATTCGTAAAAAACGTAATCTTTGATAACTCATATACCAGTGAACGGATTTGGTTCAAATTTTATATGATGATGCCTAGTTCACAATGGTATAAACTAACTTTGTGCCAAATTTCATGCTTCTATCACAAAGTGCACGTCATTTCAACATTTTCACGCATAATATGTTTTGTTCGGTAGGATTTGCTACTCCATGGAGTTGCTGTTTTTCTAGTTTCATTATTTCTAATGTTCAAACTGTAGCAGCAATTCTGAGAGATTTCTTAAATATTGTTGTTCCTGATTTCTGTACTATAAAGGACCAGGTTTTATTGTTGTGCAGAAATCAAATTAATTAAATATTAGATTGACACTCTCCCCCTAAATGTAGCCTATCTGAACAATCTATAGATTTTAAAAAAATGAAGAAAAGCTATATTGTTTTAAAAAGCAAAAAGGCAAGTAGGACGTAGTTAAGTTATTGCAAACTTTTTTAGACAGCTCTTACTTAAGTTTTAATAATTATTTGACCACAAAAACAAATATGTAAAGCTGTCATTAATCCACCCATCATTACCAATTTTCCCCTATTGTGAGCCAATTTTCACCAAAAATGCAGCATTTTATTCCAATTTTTTACAACTAAATTGATATGTTCTATTAGTCATGATTTACCTCTGAAAAGGAAAAGTGAGTCTCCTTTGGGATTAGGATAATCCAAAAAACAAAAATTTGAGGTCATATATCTGGCACAAAATCAACATTTTTTGATATGATTAATGTACAAAAAAATCGGCGGGATATTATATAATTGATCTCCAAGAAGAAAAAATAAAAAAAACATGAAAAATGGATTATGAGATAATCCCTTTCTTATTTATTTTTGTCTTTTTTGAGATCGATGTCTATTTTGGACTGACTTAATTGTCATACTTTTACTAGTTTTAGAACAATAAATTGGAAAAAATAAAGTTAACAACAATTTTAATTAAAAGTATGACTGCCATTTTAAATTTCTAGCATCATGCACTTTAGACTGCAGGGGCCATTATACCTTTTCTATACATTGTGCCTTTTTCATCCTCCCATATATCTGGTGTATCAAGAATTTCTTTGTTCTTTTGCATGTTTTCTATGGAACAAACATGTGCCATCTTCTCCAGGAAATCTTCTGTTATTGGTTTACCTAAGAACTCACTTATATCTCTGACTGTTTTGATAAACTCCTAAAAATTAAGATACTAATTGAACTTGGAATTACAAGATAAAGCAAAAATTGAAAATTATAGGTAGGATCATCGAGAGAGTATCCTTAATCATTACTAAAACAGATTATTAAAAATGTGTCTTTAATTAACTGGTTTTCACAGCATGTTCTCCTTTACCTTTTTTAATTGCTCGTATGTAACAAGCTTTACATGGTCACATGTTTTGAACTTTTTCCACCAAAGATCATAGAAGTCAAAGAAGTCTCCATAAGGCACTAGAACATCAGAAAAAAGTACACATGTACAACATCTGTTGAATTTAACTTGTATGAGAAGACATTAAATTTGAGGCTTTGGAGAAAATTTGGGATCTTTAGGAATGTCTTTCTTTCACAAAGATATTCTTTTTCAATTTGACTCAGAAATTTTCACTTTGAAACTCAAAATTTGTTCTTAGTCACTATAACATACCTGTCAAATCTTTATTAAATAAATTTTTAACTGCTCATCCCCATGTAAAACTACCTTAAAATCTTTGTCTTACTATAAATCTAACTATGAACCATTGTTCTGTCTGACTGACTTGACTCCTAGACCATTCGAACTTGGGCCCTCATACTTGGTCAACTTACAAAGTGGGTCAGGGTGCATTCTACAAATATCAGAGGTCAAGGTCATACCAAGAAGGTAAATGTCAAAATCCAGGTGTTTGGCTTTGAAAGATTCTTGATCTGTGCTGTGGCCATTGACGTCCCATAATTAGGGACCTTGAGAGGTGAGGTCAAGGTCAACATTATGTTTCAAGGTGATTAAAAGGTCAATATCTTGGTATGGTTTTATGCATTTGGAGCTGTTGTATCCCATAAGTTGACCTGAGGTCAATGTCATTTCAAGGTCAAATGCCAGTATCTAGGGTTTAGTGATTTAGGGTCCTTAGAGCTGCTGTGACCCTTAGCGACTAATGATTAGGTGATTTGAGGTCAAAGTCAATGTTAATAGGTCAAGGTTATTTGAAAGTCAAATGTCAACATCTAAGTATTTGGTATTTAACTCTTTCGCGCGCTCAGTCGACTTTTTTCGCCAATACGCTTCATGGCGTATGTCGACTTCAGGTCGCCAGGCTATAGGGAAGTTTTAACAGACTTAGAAAGATGTCGCCCTAGTATTACAGTGCCAATGTTCGGTACTCACATTGACCGGAAGTGATTTAAAATTGATTTGGCGAAGAGAAATGATTGAAAAAAATTATTTTGGTCATTTATTGCTTTATTTCAAAATAAATACGAATCTGGAAGTGATCAGACATTGTGGTACTTAAAAAGCGCTCGATTTAGACTGGGTAATGATGATCAAATCGCTGCTATATTCAGCGATTCTTGAAGTGAAGCCTAATATTTGAAGCCTCAGAAAATGAAATTTCAAAACGATGATGGGCCTGACAACTCTGTGGCTGGGGGACAGGCCAGTGAATCTGCTGGGGTACACCAAGGTAATATTTAGTAGGGTTCTTATGTTTTTTTGTAATATACATGTTTAGGATTTTTTATCATCAGTGCCTCTCATTGTGATGAGTTCATACATTGACATATGATTTATACATATGTTTCTAATCATGAGTAAAAATTTGGTGGTGTTATCTCTGTTGGTTTAGATTTTATGTCACTTTCAAATTGGTAGGCATGAAAATCCTAATCCTTAATAAATTAATTAACGCTCAGTAGCTTTTAAAAATAATTAAATAACGCGCCAATGAGTTAAAGGACCTTAATTGGGGCATGCTATGACCCTTAGCCAGTTAATGATAGGGTAGATGACCAGAGGTCAAGGTCAATGCTATATTGCTTCAGGTCATATCAAGGTCAAGGGTCAATATCTAAGTATATTTGAAGGATATTATATTATACCCTTGACAACTCATAATAAGGTGACCCAATTTTCTCCTGATTTAAAAAAATGAATTCTTCTCATTTTTATTTTTTTAAATATTCAAATTTTTATTTTTTCACATGACAGGTCAGGTATGCAACACTTTATGTACAGAACATAATTTTTGCGAGAAAACAATCCAGATTATTTTGATTCTCCTATTAAAATTCACGAGAGGAATTTCCATTTTATTTCATTAACTTCAATCTCATAGTTGACAGAAAACATGACAGATCACTCAGTGACCCAATAATGACATCATCATGTGCTACTTACATGTTTTATTGACAAACCGTTGATAGAATCTATTGATGCCATCATCCTCTGTTTTCAATTTTTCTGAAGATCTTATATGATGATAGAAAGATACAAGTTGATCTTTCGGATTACGCAAAATCAGCAAAATCTTGTTTTTCTTACTCCATACATCTTTTGGCATGTACTTTGGTAGTATGTGTGTTTGTATGAGCCTAGGAGAGCTCTGAGCAGTGGTCTCTGCAGGGGTGTTGAATTCAAAGAAATGTGTTTCAGCATACCTTACTTCTGTATCTCCTGTCATTAACATGTGCAGGATCTGGCTAGACCAATGAAGACCTGTAACATATAATGGAGGATAGTTTTGAAGAAAACAATGTTCTCATTTCAGAAGAACTATACTAACTTAACGACAACAAAAATATTTAGCAGTTATGTCCCTATCATTGAATATATGCCTAAGGTCTGTCACCAATATAGCCCGAGCTTGCGAGGGTTATATTACGACAGACCGAAGGCATATATTCAATGATACGGACACAGGCCCGTAGCCAGGATTTGCCAAGGGGGGTTTCAATTTTCAAAAATTTCCAGGGGGGGTTCACATTTGACAATTTTGGCCCAAATTAGGCTAAAATCACTTGAGACGTGCTCAAAATGGTCAAAAACTGCATGATTTTGAAAGAATTTTTGGCCAGGGGGGGGTTCGCCCGAACCCTGCGAACCCCCCCTGGCTACGGGCCTGGGACATAACTGTTGTATTACATACTTTTATATCATGGCTACGTTATATCAATGACGCCACGTGTCTGTGTGCGAGTGAAATTAGGAAGAAATGAAACATGACGTCCCCATGATGTCATAAGATTGTCATGGTAAAAGGTTTGGTGGCTATACAGGAATATATAGCCGACCTTCAGCTCCATTGACTTCAATACAAATGCTTCGCTGGGTATGTAATACATTCACATATAGCTAGGTAAGGTGTGTCAGATTCCAGCCAATCCGAACACAGTATTTTCATATGAAGCAGTGCATGTAATAATCAATAATGACAGAGCCAGAGGCTTAGACCCTGCATGGTGAATGGTTAGGTGGATATCCACCTAGGTGGAGGCATTAGATAAAAAAAAACATTTTATACTCACCTGCTTTTGGCATGCTAACAGTCCATACATCATCCTCTCTGCATGGCATTTTCTGCACCTCTCTATGCCATTCTTCCCAGTTCATGTTGCTTTTAGGGGGTCTGCTCCGAGGCCAGAATCGTGGCCAGTACATGCCATCATATTCTGCCATCATAATACCATCAACATCTATAGAATCTTTAGCCATTTTTAGTAAATTCACTCACAAATGTTATAAACAGTTAAAATGTGAGATATACGAGGGAGTTTCATTAATTAGTGAGAAAAGTACTCAACTTTTTGTCTCCACCACATAGTGTGGGCACATTTTAATAGTGTGGGCCATATTGACGGCCTCGGTGGGTCTGTCTGTCTCCATCTGTTTGTCTGACAGTTTTCTCCAAAACCTGTTTGGTGTAAATTTCTGATAACTACCCCGAGACCTTAACCCTTTGAGATATTTCTATGGGACATCATGACCAGTACCCTGGAGCAGTTATTAAATGTAAAAAAAACTTCAGGATTTTACTTCAGGATTTTATTTTTTAAGTCTCCTATATCTCGATGCCTCTCTTGAATATGAACCATTTAATCATATAGCTCTTGGGTCAGAATCTTCTGTACTGAAGTGTACTTAAGTCCAGACATCATACAGAGTTCAGTTATAGTGAATATACCATCCTTAGAAACCATATCTTTTATCAGTTTGCTGGGATCACAATATCAGGCTTGCGACCAGATCTGGAAGCATCAGATATGGTGTGGATTCCATTATTTCAAAAGGCATTGAATTCCACCAGTACACTGTTGGCAGCTTCACAATTAATCTATTGTCCATACACCTCCTGTAGGCCCCTATAGGTTTCTAATACTGATATTTCCCTGATTGCATTGTATTCTTTTATGTTCACATTGAGTTTTTTAGATGTCATGCTTATTTCAACAAATTCTGCTCCACCCTGTGGTAATGCAAAGTGGCAGTGTCTCTGATATCACAGCCATGTCTGAAATAAAATGCAAGATATAATATCATCATTGGTTGAATGGTTGTGTTTTCATTACTACCACCTCAGGACAATATGTATACAAAATTTGAAAAATAACTGTCAGTTTTTAAAAATTATATGGTAGCTGCTCCATAGATCCCTAGCAACCATTGCCATGGTAACCACTGTTGCTTATTGGAATAAATTAATAAGTATGTTCATTCAATACCCTATTCCCAGAGGATATATATAAGATGCTGCCTCAGAATTTTCTCACTAATCAATGATACCCCCTCGTATTTGACATTTTGGGCCCAAATGCTATCAGTATGTCACATAAGTATTTTAGATAACATATATCTTTTATTGACTCTTAACATGTCAGTCTTTCAGACATGTGGGTCACTTAATACAGTTTTTACATGTACATTGTACTCATTTCAGGCATTGTGTCATTAGGCCAATTCCCAGGGTTCCTAGGGTTTTTATGTCACCACCAGAAAAATGGTGACTTATTGTTATGGTTTCGGTTTTTTGACAGCGGTAAGTGGTTGGTTGAATCGGAGTCTGTTACAAATTCTTACAACTTCCAATAACTTAACATTTCTGTTTATACAGACGTCAACTTTTTTCAAAATCATCTACAAGTTTTCAGAAGTTAAAATCTGACTTTATATTTAAGGTTTGGCCTTCAAGGACCTTTTCAAGGTCAAAAAGGTTAAAAAGGTCAAAAAGGTATTTTTCAACTTGCAACATTCTTAAGGTCTTCTTTCATCTTGCTTCAAATTGACCAATTTTTTTCATAATCATCTACAAGTTCTCAGAAGTTCAAATCTGATTTGGGATATCACCTTCAATTACTTTCTCAGGGTCAAAAAATGTATTTTTTGTCATGTTAATGCCTTGTCTAAGATACAATTTGTGTTTGTTTTCTGGAAAAACAGCAAATCATACATGCATACTGATGGGAAACAAAGAATTTAAGTTTATCGGCCTTAAGAGACTTTATCCAAATGTTGAATTGGAATATGATTGGTTTGATGGCAAAACCATGACATGTTCATTTTTGAAATATGAGTGTCCCATTTTTTGGACCACCCTCTATGTAGACTGTTGTATGCTATGCTGGCTTTATGCCTGAGTCACATTTGCTACATGATACAAATGTAACAGTAAAAAAATACTAAAAAAGATTTGGGGATAATCAGGCAGATAATGTAAAGGAAATATTTATTATCCCTCTAGATGGAAACAGGTGCACATTATTTGCCTAGGTTGAGCAAAATATATTATCTGAATTTTTTATCAAAGGCATCTCTGATTCAATAATTGCTTGCTTTTTTCTCATCTTATGAATTTTTTGCAGGTCCATCTGTATTAGTAATGAAAGGCTGTTAGTGTGGCATATCTTGTGACTTGGCGAAAGAATATTATAAGGAGAGCTGGATTTGATTTGCCCACAATTATAGCCTCAACCTCATCATGGCAGAAACAGGTAAATTGGATGTCAATTAAAATTTAAAAGTTTTCATAATTTCTAGTCAATGGCAGGATGCAATTAACTGGAGTTTAAGTCTCATTCAAAATTGTGAACAAATACAAAAATGCTCAATCATCTCCGAAATCAGAGAATTTAAAAAAATGACTGAGCTTACAATTTATATTATATTAACTTTCAAATTGATCATTCCAAAATTTAAAAATGGTTAAAGGCCCCATATAAAGTTTAAACCACTTTGGCTTATATTGTAGCCTTACCCAATGTTATCAAAGTGTGATATGTGAAACTTTTTTTTTAAATTTCGAAAAGTGTTTTTTGATAGACTTTTTGTTCCAAAATTTGTGAATTTATTTAAAACCAACTTTTAGAGGTCACTCATATCTTCTAATTAGCCACAATTCATGCTAATGTATAGCATTCATCCTCCCATGTTTTTTGCCGAAAAAATTAAGAAAATCGGTTCATAAATAAGCGAGAAATGAACTTATCAGTGCATGAAAATGGTTCTGAGAAAAATGCATTTCAAAATTTTAGTTATCATAGAAACCAATGGTACAATGATATCTAAAACATAATTTATTCTTCCTTTTAACCTGGTTAGACAATCAACATTGGTTTTTTATGAAAGTCTTACATATTTAGAAAAGATTGACATCGAAAAAAAAATTCAATTTTTTTCAAAAAGTTTTTGGTACCTTAGTGACATCACTAATGTTTCAAAATATTTTTGATATGCTAAAACATTGAAGTGGCCCATTAAATATGGCATTTTATTATTGAAATAGTGTGTCCTTTGTTCAATCTTTGCATTGGTGTTAAAAAGATAATCCTTTTTGAAATGCATTAAGAAATATTTGATGATCAAGAAATTTCATCTTTTTTTGAAAAATGGCGGGAAATTTGAATATTTGAGAAATGAAATGCTCACAACTTTTTTTTCAAAATTTTTTTTTTGTTCAAAAATCTCTAAAATCACTTTTTAAGTCCTGACAAATAGTAAATGAATGATAAAAAAATATTTTCAAACTTTAGACGGGGACTTTAAAAGTTGCACTAAAGGTTGTGATTCTCTGACATTTAAAATATAAAATTTGATGCACAGAAGGACTAAAATTCTATACAAATGGTAAGTCAGTCTCCAATTACATGTATATTATCTATATAATAATATGTGATTTTGAATAATTGATTTAAAAAACAAAGAAGTCTTTAACTACATAAAGATACAACCAAGACCAACATTTAATCTGAATTAGGGGTATCATTCCAGATAAATGTCAACACTTGAACTTAGGTAAGGTGGTCAACATCACTTCAGAAACACACTTCAAAGTTAAGGAGAAGTATTCTGATACAGTTTTGTTGACATAAAGGTCCCATGCCTTGTTCAGCTATAACTGACTTGTTTAAACATTGACCTATAAATAATAGGCTTTTATTTACTGGTCAAACTCGTTACCGTCTTAGGCTCGGTTTTGTTGATGCAACAGATTCTATTATTTACCTTGACTAAACCCATTAACTCGTTAACCATTGTACATACCAGCGTAAGCAAATTGAAGTTAGAAAAGCTCACAACGGTGTAATTGTTGTAAGAATCTGATATTTTTCTAGGGATTCAAAGAGTTTATAGTTTGTTGACTTTGGTGATATGGTTGCATTGGTGATTTTTGTGAATATATTCAAATTTTTGCTTTTGGACTCCAACGGTTGTTGCTCAATTCATATTTGTGGTAAGTTTTTATTATTAATTAATTTGAAAATATGTATTCTTTTGATTATCAAATATTATTCATAAAAAGTGTTCTTGTATTAATTGAATATAACAAACATTTTTTTAAAATGATTATCATGAAAAAGAACATAATTACTTTTCAGTTAATCTTCAATCAAAACATTGTGATTTCGTTAATTAAATCACAACTTATAAACAAATGTGTCCAAAGTACCATTTTATATATATTTAATTCTTCTTGATCTATGATATCTTCTAGAATTTCGAAGTTTTATCAGGTTGAAGTTGAAATGTGAATAGCCACAAAAGAGTTTTAAAAAACATCAATATTAAAATCTTCAATTTCATTTTATTATTTTTAGAAAATAGAGATGACCAGGAATGATATGAGCCCAAATGATCCTGAAAGTGATAATATTCAAATATTTAATAATGTCACAGAAAATGTTCGCTGCCATGTTATCTGTAGAATCTTCTGAATCATGTTTCTGTACTTGTTAGCATATGTAACATCAAACCTTTAGATGCATTTTCAATTTACTCTGTTAAAAGGCACCATATAATCTTTAGATTATATTGTATTCTTGCCCAAAGTTATCAAAATGTTATAAGTATAACATTTTTTTAACTTTTAAAAGTGATTCCTGTAGCGGTCCTTTTATTAGAAAACAACTATTGTTTATAAGTTGTGATTTTATCATCAAATCTGCAATATTTTTGATTGAATGCTATATTATTAATTGGATTTTAGTCACCTTTTTTGTAATCATAACAAATATATTTTGTAGCATTTCAAAACTACAAGAAACTATACAATTGAAGGTTGTGAATTAAATGAAAATTTTTGAAATAATGTTGAAGGTTGTAAATTAAAATAAATTAAATTAAATGGTTGACATTAAAATTTTTTTTATAGTTTATAGAAAATAATGTCTGTGTTACAATTAGTAATGGAGTGTTTGATAACTTTAAACTTTTGTAAAACATATAAATATTATAAATAAAAAATAAAGGACCACTTTTTCAAAATTCATTTTTTTGAAAAATGTCAAAAAAACTTTTGAAGTCTCGAGAACTTTCTTGGGGCCTTTATCAGCATTTTGTTTGTATTGGTCATCTTTACATGTTTCTTAATCTTGGTGCCTTTATATAATTCTGACATGTCTATACATTGATAACAGTCTGATAGGAAGTAGAGCAAATATTTATTCTACTTTAAAATGTTGGAGCTTTTAAAGATCCTATTTCTCTTATTTTGGTTAAAACTTCTGTAGCATATCGTAACAAATAATTCTATCAGTACAAAATGTACCCTTAACACATATTACACATTTAAAGTGGCTTAACAACAGAGTTTTGATGATATAGATCATATAGAAATTGTTTTAGTCCAGAATCACAGACGTGAGTCACTTTAAGTAGAGCTTTCTACGCAGTTTAAAGTTGATAAGTAACAAATATAAGTTCAGTTCGATGATAGCTTTAGATAAATAAATATCAAATAAATGTTGAAAAACTAAATTATTAGCTGGATTGTGCTCTGACAGTTTTTAAGTTAAAATTTGTTTGCTTCAGTCTGCATAATTCCTAGCTTTCTTTTAATCTTTGCTTTTTATTGTGTCCCCCCTAGGAAATTACTGGTATGTATATATAGTGTGTAGTGGGGGGCTCTCAAAAGCTTGTAGCTAGACTAACCTTTTGTTTATTTTTTGTACATTTCAGTTGTGAAACCAGCCTGTTGGCGCAATGTTCTCCCCACAAGTTGGGCCATCAGGACGTCGTATATTCTCTAGCACAGTGAATCTCTCCATCCCTCATAACAATATGGACACCAGTGGTTATCATGTAGAGGACCAGAGCTTCAACTCTGCTTCAGCGGCCCTCAATGCCTACATCAATCATTTTGAACATTCACAGGGACCCATCTCAACCCCTGTTGCTCAAAGAAGTGGCACCAATCAATTTGGCCACTCATCTAATAGGGTTTTTAATACCAGCCTTAAGATTGATGGGACACACGGAGCCTCAGGTGGTCGGACTCCAAGAGGGGGATCTACTCTAAAAAGTAGGCCTACCACTGCAGATGGGCCAACCCCTAGACAGCACTATTATCGAGATGTCAATGATCTGATTATTCCTAAATCTCCACTACAGCTAACTGCAGAAAGATCTTTACAAACAGGGACCAGGCACACAGCTAAGGTATGTCATGAAATTCAACTTTTCTATAAGTTTTATAATAACCACCACCCCCTTCCAGTCTTTCACAAATCACAGCCAGTCCTTTTCCCCATTGGAGATGTTCTAATTTTCCGAAATCAAAAATACTTTTCATGTTGATAGGTATAACAGAACGAGTCACAAATATGGAATACTATTTTGAGATTCCTAATAACGTGATGTTTGAAGTTGTGAGGACTATGTGATGTGAAATACAGTAAAACCTGTGTATATATTGAACATTTTTTTGCTGAGAAAAAATGCTCAGTGTTGGTAGGTACAGAGAGGGTAATCTATACAGAAACCAAAATAGTATGAGGTGTTCGCTATATGACAGGTTTGCTGTACCATTAGAATGTACATTTAACCCTTTCAAGACGATAGGCTCCATATGGAGCCCTATTACGTAATACCATTCAGGACGATAGGCTCCTTTTGGCACCACTATCCTTATTTACATACATCAATGAAATGACAATATCTCCAGTTCTATTCAGTATTTTTATACCAAATTTTGACAAGTTGTTGACATGTGATAATGCTTATTAAAAATAGTATTTTAGTGATAAAATTTAAAGTATAGGTCCCGGGTATACGTCTTTTCCAGTTTTTACCTAAAACCGTTCTTAACTATCCGTCAACATGGCCAACATTTTCCTCTTATATTCATGTCGAAAGTGTTAATATGATTACTTAATTATAGGAGGAAAGGCTTTATGAACTTCGGCAGATGATTGACCGATCACACGACACCTTATTGAATGAAGAAAAAAAGAGAAAAGAAGGTTAGCAATTATCATTTTATTTTGAGGGTGAACACATCCATGACAGTGGTCCCCAGTTTGCAAAATTATGTTCTAGTACTATAGTATTGAATGGAATCTAAACTGTTTTGTGTTCAGAGGTGTGATGTGATTGCAAGACAAGTCAGAAAATATTGACTATTTAGCAATATTGCATCCAATATTTTTTACCATTCCAAAGTAAATCAATGCCACTTCAAACGACCATTTTGCATTTCAAAAGGCCCTCACAATTAATTTATTTCACATTAAAATTTCATTTTGTCCTTAAAAATATTTTTCTGTATTCTAGTGAAAGATGCTGTAGCTTCATCATCCAAGCTATTAACTGATGTTACAGTGGATCTCTCCTCTCTCCCCAGTGCCTCTGCCCAACCTTCTCTCTCCTCTAGCTGCACTGATCTACTCCTTGGGCATCATTATACACATCAGGGGCAACAAAATGCACATTTGGATCAACATGGTACAAACTTAGAGCGACACAATACATATAGGCCTCAATCAGATACCATTCTAGCCCACAATGATGCTGTAAATCTGAGGCCTAAACAAAGAGAATCTTCAAAGAGGACATCCAGTCATGTATATGGCTATAAAAAGTCAAGAAGGACACAAGATACTAATGGACAAAGATATGGAAAACAGGGACAAGATGATTCTAACAATGGAGTTTCATCTTTTCACTCAATGTACGAGAGTTATGGCTCTAATGGAAGCAGAGATAGTGATGACAGTTTAAGACACACTGATTCTAGCTTGAGGCACAATGATTCGAGTTTGACACATAAAGAAAGCTTGAGACACAATGATTTGAGGTTGACACACAAAGATTCTAGTTTGAGACACGATAACTCCAGTGTCCTGAGACACAATGATTCTAGTTTGAGACACAACAACTCCAGTGTCCCAAGGCACAATGATTCTAGTTTTAGAGACAACAATTCCAGTTTTCTTAGACACAGCTGTAGTTTGTTCAACTCAGACAGTAAATATTCAAGCAATAAACCCACAAACAACTCTACAACATATTCAAGGGATATGAAGCCACATATGAAAAATACATCTCACACTGTAGATCATTCAGGTGAAGGGCATCTAGCTCCTAGTTGGATAGGAGACTTGGTAAGATCTGACATAGAATCTACAATAATTAACACTGGTAGTTCTCCACTCACCAGACTTGGTCCAACAACTGGGCCCAAGGGTCGCAAGCCACCAAGTTGGATTGAAGATTTAGATCATTCAGCTATAGAGACTATTTTAGAAGAGGCACTAAAAGGTGGCCGTACCCCTCCATCTTGGATAGCTGATCTAGAGGGTTCAGACCTGGAGACAGTTATCACTGGAGTACAGCAGTTAGCCGCCAATGAGGGACACCCTTTACCTAGCTGGATTGAAATGCTGGGTGGAAAATCTGAAATTGGGACTACTGAAGGGGTGGATTCACCACTGGTGCCAAAACGAGACCATGCAGACCATATAAGGGCATGGGTTAATCAGCTTCATGTTACAAAATCTCCAGAGACACCACATATTGAAAGACATTCTGACAAGTGTACCTCTGATGTAATAAGAGCTGAAAAGTCATCAAAATCCCACACAGCTGATATCTCAACATTGAAAGTCATCTCAGGGGGACTACATAATGAACCTCAAAGTAAAGAGTCTGCAAAGAACATTCAGAAAGATATAAGTAAACAAGGTGCAAGACCTCCTCCAAGTTGGATCGATGGCTTAGACAAATCAGAAATCAACACAGCTCCAAGTTGGGTAAATGATATGGCAAAAACTGATATTGAATCTGAAGTAGGGGAGCAAATCCTTAGTAAAAATCAGATCTCTAGTGGAGGTAAAGTTCCTAGCTGGGTGGGGAGAATATGCCCCTCTAATATCCAGAGTACAACACAGGGGTATGCACCATACCACAAAGACTCACCAATATGGCCTAACAGCAAGTTTAATTCACTAAAGAAACACAATATATCTGAGTCTAAAGACTATATCAACACAACATTAGATCTCAGCATAGGTGATCTTACTAACACATATGACACTCAATACAAAGACTCTGAACATATAGCTAATAACAAACCAGAATCAAACTTTAAAAGGAGACATTTTGGTGACTCTTTGGCATCTGGTGATACCAATGATCTGTTGCTCAGCTCCTCTCATGGAAGGCCAACAAATATTGACAGAATTAGCCGCAGAGCATCCAATGTAGTTAAAACCTCAGATGTTCAACCAACCACTAGTAAAATTGAGAGTAAACTGTTATCCCAAGTGCAAGCAAGAGACACGAGATCTGACTTTTCAAAGCAATACATGAATAAAGAAAATATCGCAGCTGAACCTTATATGTTAAACAGTAAACTTGCAGAATATAAAGACAGGTATAACACTAAGGAAGGGAGTGAGAACACTATAGAACTGGCCTATAAGGATGCATTCTGTAGGGTGGCGAGAGAGCAGGCTCTTGGCAGGCAGAGTTCAGGCACGCAGCCCCCAGAAAGGCAGGGTTCAGACAAGCTACAGACTCCTGACAATATTATATATAGAGTAGAAACACCTACTAAAGACCTCATTACTCATGGTATGCAATTTTGAATATTTAAAGATGAAAATCAAGATTACTTTTTGGGACATCTAGTCTTTTGTATTTGGGGGTTGGGGTAAATTATGTGTAGTACAATCAGTAAAGGGGCCCCTGGGGTTTAATTTCTGAAGTGCACTGGACAAAAATTCCAAACTGAAAAACGGATTTTTAATTTGGCATTGAATCCGCCAATCCTTCAAATTAAAACAGGAGCCAAATAAAGTGTATCTACCATATTCAAGTTAAAATAACTGAACATATATGTACATAGATAAATGCCCATAAAATGACAACCACTTTAGGTTCACATAAACTTTTTAATGAAGACTAAACTAAAGTTTAAACAGATGTAGTTTTCAATCACAATTTTGAATAATTACAAGTAGAAATTTTTGTTCATTTTATAGAAAATTCGAAATCCTAGAAGTAAAGGGAGTTGACATGTACCAGTATTTAACATTGAATGGCCTAAGATGACCAAACATATTTTTGATTTACTTTCTCAGGTGGTGGGAAAGCAATAGAGAGTCCATCCACGACTGTAGTGCTTGAGGGGGACCGGTCCTGGGAGAAACCTATACCATAGTAAGTAACATTACCTGTAATGGGAGGAATCTATGGCATATTAAAATTATTAGTCTTCTGTAATCAGAGAGAGCTGTGATGTTATATTTAGCCATAACACTTTCTGTCATATAAGCCATAACATTTTCTGTTGCTGTCAAGGGAGAAACCTGTGACAACATAGTAAGTCATAACATTTGTAACAGAAAGAACCTGATACATATACAATGAAGACACTGAGACATGTACAATCTTTCATACATTATTTATTATTGCATTTATGAACAATTGCATTGTGATTTGATTTTATCACATATTTTCATTCAATTTACACGATCTAAACCTTGCACAACCTTTCATCCATTTTAATTTCAGATATTCATATAAGGTGGAAACGCTTCTTCTATTAATTAAGAAATCCAACACCGATGAATTAATTTTTAACATTGCAACATTTTCATTTTCCAATAACATGTATTATATATTATATTCATTTTCAATACAGTATGTTTGCTCCTCTGCGTAGCTTTTGCCTATTGGGCATGACAGATAATCCTTGTGGCATGACTGACTTCTTTGAGTTGTAATTCAGAACTATAGTCCAAAGAGCAGGTGCTATATCGACAAGTACCGCAGGACTAGGTACAAATATTTTCTGTACCAGAATGACCGAAAGAGCTTTTGTTTCTAGCCCTGAAGTATTTATTACTTGATATAATACCTGATCAGAAGTGGTATTTTGATTCAAACATGAAAACTCACCAAAATTTTGCAAAATCGTCACTACAGTTCCTACTTCTGGTGCACTGAACAAAACACTTTGTACAGACCGGGTATTGTTTCGACGAATTTGAATTTGTTCACTGTTTATAGAAAGCATGAATTAGTTATGTTTGAATAAGAATTACATATCTTATGACTTCTTAAGTTTCTGAGACTTACAGTTGCAAAGATACAATACCAAATGTTTAATAATGCAATATAGTACAGCCAAGAAAATCACCACAATGATCAATACTAGCAGTAGTATGTCCAGCAAGAAGTACTGAAAGAAGTTCAGTTCAAACATGGCAGTAGATTTCAAGTGATGTGCTCCTGTGCTTCATAATGTATTCACACCAATACTGTATGGTATAGGTGGCATTGATGGGTTGGTCCCGAACCAGCTTCTGTGCTTTTACAGCATTTTTCTTGTATTGAGGGTTTTCTAGGACCTCAACGATTGCGGCAGAAAATGTGTCCATCGTAATATCAGCAAATGGCAATGTTAAACCCATTTTATGACGTTTCGTCAAGAGAGCACAGTTATGGCGCTGATCTAACAATAAAGGAAGACCAATCACAGGTGCAGCATTGTAAACAGCTTCTCCTGAAATATATTTGGCTTGTAACTTTTCATTTTGTGTTATAATTTTGTGATATTTACAGATTAAAAGTTGAAGAAATGGTAATATGTGATCATATGTGAATATTATATGTGACCAGATTTATCAATATCCATCTATTTATTTTCAGTAAACCACCTGCAATCAATACCCCTGACAAAATGGAGCAACATCAGTATAAGACCCATGAAACATTCAAGGTTAGTACAAGTCAAGAGATCACCAAATACAACAATTTACATGTTTATGTCTAAGTCTGAGTGCCTATGTTTAAAACATAAAGTGGTATAATAGTTTCAACATTATTGTAAATCTTGTATACAAGACTAAATGATAAATCACTTTTTATGCCACCACCAGAAGTGGTGACATATTGTTCTAGTCTCCACCTTTTTTGTTTGTGGATGGTGTTCGGCAGTTGATGTTCTGCATCTGTAACAAATGGCAGGTGGTGACATTTTGCCTATTAATGCCTTGTTCTCACACATGACCTAGCTTGATTATCTTCCACACCTATTCCCCAGACTGAGAAGTTCAGATCAGTCAGGCTCTATGTCATGTTATCTTCCAGACCTATTCTCCCAGACTTAATGGTTCAGATCAATCAGGCTCTATGTCATGTTATCTTCCAGACCTATTCTCCCAGACTGAGTGTACAGATCAATCAGGCTCTATGTTATGTTATCTTCAAGACCTATTCTCCCAGACTTAGTGGTACAGATCAATCAGGCTCTATGTCATGTTATCTTCCAGACCTATTCTCCCAGACTGAGTGTACAGATCAATCAGGCTCTATGTTGTGTTATCTTCCAGACCTATTCTCCCATACTGAGTGGTACTGATCAATCAGGCTCTATGTTGTGTTATCTTCCAGCCCTATTCTCCCATACTGAGTGGTACTGATCAATCAGGCTCTATGTTGTGTTATCTTCCAGACCTATTCTCCCAGACTGAGTGGTACAGATCAATCAGGCTCTATGTCATGTTATCTTCCAGACCTATTCTCCCAGACTGAGTGTACAGATCAATCAGGCTCTATGTCATGTTATCTTCCAGACCTATTCTCCCATACTGAGTGGTACTGATCAATCAGGCTCTATGTTGTGTTATCTTCCAGACCTATTCTCCCAGACTGAGTGGTACAGATCAATCAGGCTCTATGTCATGTTATCTTCCAGACCTATTCTCCCAGACTGAGTGTACAGATCAATCAGGCTCTATGTTATGCTATCTTCCAGACCTATTCCCCAGACTGAGTGGTACAGATCAATCAGGCTCTATGTTGTGATATCTTCCAGACCTATTCTCCCAGACTGAGTGGTACAGATCAATTAGGCTCTATGTTATGCTATCTTCCAGACCTATTCCCCAGACTGAGTGGTTCAGATCAATCAGGCTCTATGTTATGCTATCTTCCAGACCTATTCTCCCAGACTGAGTGGTACAGATCAATCAGGCTCTATGTTATGTTATCTTCCAGACCTATTCTCCCAGACTGAGTGGTACAGATCAATCAGGCTCTATGTTATGCTATCTTCCAGACCTATTCTCCCAGACTGAGTGGTACAGATCAATCAGGGTCTATGTCATGTTATCTTTCAGACCTATTCTCCCAGACTGAGTGTACAGATCAATCAGGTTTTATGTTATGCTATCTTCCAGACCTATTCTCCCAGACTGAGTGGTAGAGATCAATCAGGCTCTATGTTATGTTATCTTCCAGACCTATTCCCCAGACTGAGTGGTACAGATCAGTCAGGCTCTATGTTATGTTATCTTCCAGACCTATTCTCTCAGACTTAGTGGTACAGATCAATCAGGCTCTATGTCATGTTATCTTCCAGACCTATTCTCCCAGACTGAGTGTACAGATCAATCAGGCTCTATGTTATGTTATCTTCCAGACCTATTCCCCAGACTGAGTGGTACAGATCAATCAGGCTCTATGTTGTGATATCTTCCAGACCTATTCCCCAGACTTAGTGGTACAGATCAATCAGGCTCTATGTTGTGTAACCTTCCAGACCTATTCTCCCATACTGAGTGGTACTGATCAATCAGGCTCTATGTTGTGTTATCTTCAAGACCTATTCTCCCAGACTGAGTGGTACAGATCAATCAGGCTCTATGTCATGTTATCTTCCAGACCTATTCTCCCAGACTGAGTGTACAGATCAATCAGGCTCTATGTTGTGTTATCTTCCAGACCTATTCTCCCAGACTGAGTGGTACTGATCAATCAGGCTCTATGTTGTGTTATCTTCCAGACCTATTCTCCCAGACTGAGTGGTACTGATCAATCAGGCTCTATGTTGTGTTATTTTCCAGACCTATTCCCCAGACTGAGAAGTTCAGATCAGTCAGGCTCTATGTTGTGTTATCTTTCAGACCTATTCTCCCAGACTGAGAAGTTCAGATCAGTCAGGCTCTATGTTATTATGTTATCTTTCAGACCTATTCCCCAGACTTAGTGGTACAGATCAATCAGGCTCTATGTTGTGTTATCTTCCAGACCTATTCCCCAGACTTAGTGGTACAGATCAATAAGGCTCTATGTTGTGTAACCTTCCAGACCTTTTCCCTCAGACTGAGTGGTACAGATCAATCAGGCTCTATGTCATGTTATCTTCCAGACCTATTCTCCCAGACTGAGTGGTACAGATCAACCAGGCTCTATGTTGTGTTATCTTCCAGACCTATTCCCCAGACTGAGTGGTACAGATCAATCAGGCTCTATGTTGTGATATCTTCCAGACCTATTCTCCCAGACTGAGTGGTACAGATCAATCAGGCTCTATGTTGTGATATCTTCCAGACCTATTCTCCCAAACTGAGTGGTACAGATCAATTAGGCTCTATGTTGTGATATCTTCCAGACCTATTCCCCAGACTGAGTGGTACAGATCAATCAGGCTCTATGTTGTGATATCTTCCAGACCTATTCCCCAGACTGAGTGGTACAGATCAATCAGGCTCTATGTTATGTTATCTTCCAGACCTATTCTTCCAGACTGAGTGGTACAGATCAATCAGGCTCTATGTTATGTTATCTTCCAGACCTATTCTCCCAGACTGAGTGGTACAGATCAATCAGGCTCTATGTTATGTTATCTTCCAGACCTATTCTCCCAGACTGAGTGGTACTGATCAACCAGGTTCTATGGAAGCATTGAAAGTGATGCTGTTTAAACTACAAGATGTCCAGTCCACATTTGACACAACTGATGGCAACTTGTTTGATGTGTCCTCCCATCCCAGTGCTGACATTGAACCAATCACTGCTGATAAACAGAAGGTATGCCTTTAAAAGCAGGTGCATTATTAATTTCATATGATACGAGCACACATACCACATGTTGTCTATGGTAAAGAAATGACGTCATACAACTTCATTCTATTCTTGCCTAATTCAAAATGACGTCACATATAGGCTATGTTACTTATAATAGTAGGCTATGGTACAATAGGTGTAGGTATGGTATTATATAGTGGTACAGCATGGTATGGTATATTATCACATACTATGTAGAAATCTAGTGATTTGATTGGTTGCTTTCTATGATGTATTTCCTGTATCACATAAATTTCATATGATACGAGCACACATACCACACGTTGTCTATGGTAAAGAAATGACGTCATACAACTTCATTCTATTCTTTCCTAATTCAAAATGACGTCACATTTAGGCTATGTTATTATTTCTTAGAAATGACGAAATTCGTCATTTGGGGAACTAGAAGTTGGGAACTGTAGAACGTCAAAAGAAAGCTACCAATCAAATCACTTAAATTCTTCATAGTATGTGATAAAATCGTCATCACACATTTCAGCGCTTTCGTGGTGATACATTTTTTACTTTCGTGGAATATTTCCCGTATCACATGCTGAAACGTGTAATAACTGATAGTTTTGTATGGTAGTATATAGTATTGTACCATATGATATGGTAAAATAGATGTACTTGATGGTATGGTTAGGTGATTTACAGTATGGTATTGTTGGGTAAGATGAGTATGGTTAGGTACGGTATGTTATGGTATGGTAAGGCACAGTACAGTGCAGTATAATATGGAACAGTATGTTATTGTAAGTTTCACTTTGGTATGTTACTGTAAGGTATTAAACAAATACTGGATGACCATGAGGTGGATATGCCAGAATACCTATCCGAGGAAAAAATACTAGGCGAGGCAAAGCCGAGCCTAGTATTTCTTTTCGAGGATAAGTATTCTGGCATATCCACCTCATGGTCATCCAGTATTTATTTTATTATGCACCTCCCTTGAGAAATACTTTATTTTAAAGAATGGGTCTACTAAAACAGAAGCCGAGCCTATACTCTAAAAACCCTGGTGTTCGACAATCAAAAATTCCATTTATTCTCTCATTTGGCCTTAGTATTCCCTCCATATATAATAAGTTTGGCCGATGCCTTATCTAGCGCCACCTACCTTTTGTCAGTTAATCACAGGAAATTGAATAGAAATCCCCTTCTCAGTCTCATATCACGCAAATCATTTCTCCCTCGCATTCGTCTCAAATTCAACATGGAAAGATTCTAAGAAAATGACGTCATCGACAAATGGACTCGTCGAAAGTATTTTTTTCTAGGATAGGTATTCTGGCATACGGGATGGTTAGGGATCTCGTTGCTTCAATACTGGATAGAACGAGATCTTGCTGCCACGTATGGCAATAGACCCTGCAGTTCTTAACCAATCAGATTTGAGTATTTTAATGAGGTGCATAATAAAGAATGTTATGTCATGGTTTGGTATGAAACAGTATGGTATGCTACAATAAGTAGGTGTGTTATGTATGGTATGGTTAGGTAAATTTAAGTATGGTATGGTACAATATGATGTTGTAAAGGAGGAGTATTAGGTACGTTATGTAAGGTACACTATGGAATGGTATGCTACTGTAAAGTAGGTTCGTGACAAGTATGGTACATTTTGGTAGGTGTAAAGTATGGTATGGTTAGTGAGGTGAACAATATAGTATGGTGAGTACATTGTTGTAGATTTACAGTACAGTAAGGTACAGTATTCTACGGTATGGTACATTGTGGTATGGTATTGTGCAGTATGGCAAGACATTTATAGGCTCATACTTTATAATGTTGTTAAACATAGTCAACTGAGAGGAGCTTTGCCAAGCTTTCATTTTTGATATTAGTTTCAAAGAGGCTATACTATATATAATTAAAAATTTACATTGCCCTTTTATATTGAAATGATATGTACTTGCAGGACATTTTCTCAGTGGAGAATAGTGAGAGTCAGTCAGAACATTTCTCTAATGAACAAGGGAAAGAAAAACTTGAAAGGTAAGAATCAAATGCTGAAAAAAGTTTAAATATACAAAAAAAGACAAACATCTAGTAGTGTTCATGTTAATAGTAAAATTGTACATGATCCTTGTATGTATAGGTTAAAGGACAACTGAAATGATAAAATCATGGATCAATCAGATTTGTCCCCACTTGATCAGTAATGTCATACATAGTTTATAATTTTGCTTCATTGGTTCTTTGGTAATCACGATGTCAGGGCAACTGGAAAATTGTTGTGTAAACAAATAACAAAAGATATTCGAATTGTGACGTCATAATTCAATGGACTAAAACAAGTCACATGTGGACCAGTGAAAAGTCTCATGGGGGCCAAATTGAATATGTCACAAAACATTTAAATATTGCTTATTAATATGATTGCAATAAATATTTTTTATGTATTGGAATATAATTTCCTGGACATGTTTGTTTTTTTATGTCAATATCAGAAGTGGTGACCTATTGTTTTAGTCTTCAATTTTTTGTGGATAGTGTTAAGTGGTCAGCTTTTGGTGGCCTGGTGTTAAGTGGTCGGCTTCTGTAACAAATGGCAGGTGATGAAATTTTGCCTGTTAATGCCTTGTTAAATAGTTCTAATTATTATTAAATCATTCATTTAAGTATATTGTTCAAATTCTTTTTCAGAGCATTTGCACATCTTTCAAAACTGAAACAAATATTCACTGTCAACCACCATGAAGAAGATGTTGCACTTGGAGCAAAGAGTGGACCAGGCGGTTCATCTACCATAGATTATACTGTCTCAACTTCAACCATGGAATGAACTGCACAGCGTTTTAGGTGGTTTATCTACCATAGATTTTACTGTTTCAACTTCAACATAGAAGGGACTGCAACTTATATAAAAACTAGCTGAATGAATATCTTAATTAAGTCCACATGGAGTTTTGCTGAAACCACCACAGACAAGGAATTTGAGAAACAACATATGACCAAATTCTCTAATTTTTTGCTCCCTTACATATTGATAAAATCTGGAAAAGCACCATATGTCCAGACTGAGATTTTACTATTTGATTATTGGATCATAGTAAGAATATTGAATTATTTAAACTAATAATAGTAATCAATTACAGAGTGACTGGGTGCAAAAATGCAATCCTCTTATTTTGGAATAACTTTCTCAATAATGATAAAATCATCTTTAAGATAGAATGTTCAATGCAGGAAAAAGTGATGTTTTTACACAGCATCATCGAATTATAAGAGTAACATTTTCTCTAATTGTACAATTCTAGTTATTACTGTATGAGAATGGGGGTATACTTAGTTTAGAACATTTAATAGCCCCAGTTAATGTAGTGCAATATATGTTGTCAAATTCTAGATTTTCATGAATTTCTCTGTTATATTTATTGAATGAAAATAAAATCTTAATGTATAAAAATGGTTATTTTTTTATATACATACATGCACAGTATACAATAAGCTGTAAATCACATATATACAGATGAGCAGTGTGGTATAAAAGCAATACAAATGTGATTGGGAAATATTTTTCACTACAGTCTGATTTTAATTTTGAATAAGATGATTTAAAAGTTAAAACAATGATAGATGATAGTTAATATAATGTAAATGGATGCAAACTTGAATATATCACAATTCATCTAATATTTTCACTCATTTACGCAAGTGTTTTGTGTCATCATCACTGCTTCTCCATTGAAGGTAGTCAAAGTGGATAGCCATCTTTGTTTTTCAGATATTATTTATATCTATCTGTATTTCCTTGACATTTTTGGACATATTTTCAAAGAAATTTTTTGCTGAGAAATGAATCAAACTAGACAAAAAGATAGAGACAGAATGATTTTGGAAAGTTGCCCTCTTTATATGATTCTACCTTTCATCAGTGCCGAGATAATCTTGTGAATATTTTGCAAAAATTAGATAATGGTATATCATAACATTTTCTTGAAATGTGAAAATAGAAAATGAGGTACATGCACAAAGATATGAGACAAAGAGCAAGTCTCAGTTTGGAGAACAGTGACCTGGGCTAATACTAGTAATCTATTTATGAAAAATATAGAAATATCACCCAAATTAAATAATGAATATTCAAAAGAGGACATTTAAATCTACAATATGTAAATATCACAATTTTCCGAAGCAGGGGTAATGGTGCAGTAGACCGATTCAATAAAATACAAGTCTCGATTTGGAGAAAGAAGTTCATCAATGTACTGCGCTTAATAATTTTTTATGAAAAATCTAGAAATATCACCCATATTAAATTATGACTATTCAAAAGAAGACATTCAAATCTATACTATGTAAAAAAAATCAAATTTGTCCGAAGCAGGGTAACGCTCAATTAGAGTGATGAACTTAATTCTCTAAACTGAGAATAGCCCTTTGTCCTTTATAATATATGTGCAGATCATTAGAGGTTTAAATTCCTAAAATTCTCAGATTGTCTTTACATTAATGAGTTCACTCCTAGAATTTTGGAAAGATATATCTCTCAATTATCCCACAATGCACCATTGCTTTTATTTGGAAAAACTACATGTACCCTGAACAATTTTGCGGATTGTACAAATACACCAATCATGACCCTAGATCTATGGGGACCTACATTTTATTATTTGATTCTTAATAGGCCTATTGGGTTTACTGTTATACAGAATATTTTCTAACACAACTGGTCCATGAATATTTTTTTATTTTTTTTCACAGTGTCTACCATGCCATAGATTACTAATACTGTAACCAAAGCCCACACGATTCAAATCTAGACCCTGATGTTTTTCTTCTCGAAAAAGATATAACTGAGTCCCTATTAAATCATTTGCATACTTCGACAAAGAAAAAATCAGGCTTTAAGCTCAGTTGAGAAGGTTTTGTTGTTTACTGATCATATATTATATACATAATGCAGATTAAAATTCATTGAAGAATATCTGAAAACTTGCTCTATCCTATACACCCATGGAGTGCCACATTAAGATACATCTACACATCTCTAAGTATCACATGTTTCACTTTTTCATTGAGAATAGTATTTAAAGGTCAATTTCTTTGGAAAGCTCCTCTGCAGAGGGTGGTGGAGGTGGGGCATCCTTTGGTTTCTTGTCCTTTTTATCCTTCTTAAAGTTGAACTTTGATTTCTTTTTCTCTGGTTTTGCATCAGTGGTTTCATCCATAACTCCAGATGCTGCATCTGTCACAGCTGCAACTTCTGCATCAACATCTGTGTCATCAACAGCTGGTGGCTCAACAGGTTCAGGGGGAGGAGGTTGAACATATTCTTTCTTGGGTGGAAGCTGGCCTCCATTCTCTATGTAAGATTTCACGTTCTCCAGCATCTTGTTGCGTGTCTCGTACAGGTAGTCAGCTGCAGAGGCCTCCTTCATGTGGGGAGTCTTAAGGTGGGTCTCACTGGTGAGCAGGCTGCCATAGTGACCATCTAGGGCTGAGGCCTCCACAGACATCACACCATCACCTGAAGATGATACATTACCATTGTATTGCACTCAATGGGGTCAAGATGCATATACATAAAGGGTTTATGTGCAAGTGTCAGGTTTAATGTTTAGGAACAGGATATGACAATTCAGTGTGTAATTTAGATACAGGATACCCATGAGATACATAGAGGTTATCCTTTATGAGGTTCAGAATATCGAATTATCCCTAGGCCAATATAATATATCTGGACAGAGGTCCCAGCAATTATGTTTTAAATTCTGATATCTTCTTCATAAAACAAGCTACATTTTAAAAACCTGCTTTATACTCTTCAAAAAAACATCCAAGTATGGGATAAACATATTTTCCTCAGAATATTAGAGTCCCCGTCTAAAGTTTGAAAATATTTTTTTATCATTCATTTACTATTTGTCAGGACTTAAAAAGTGATTTTAGAGATTTTTGAATGAAAAAAAAATTTTTGAAAAAAAAGTTGCGAGCATTTCATTTCTCAAATATTCAAATTTCCCGCCATTTTTCAAAAAAAGTTGAAATTTCTTAATCATCAAATATTTCTCAATGCATTTCAAAAAAGATTATCTTTTTAACACCAATGCAAATAAGGTTGAACAAAGGACACACTATTTCAATAATAAAATGTCATATTTAATGGGCCACTTCAATGTTTTAACATATCAAAAATATTTTGAAACATTAGTGATGTCACTAAGGTACCAAAAACTTTCTGAAAAAATTGAAATTTTTTTTTCGATGTCAATCTTTTCTAAATATGTTAGACTTTCTTAAAAAACCAATGTTGATTGTCTAACCAGGTTAAAAGGAAGAATAAATTATGTTTTAGATATCATTGTACCATTGGTTTCTATATGAATTAAAATTTTGAAATGCATTTTTCTCAGAACCATTTTCATGCACTGATAAGTTAATTTCTCGCTTATTTATGAACTGATTTTCTTAATTTTTTCGGCAAAAAACATGGGAGGATGAATGCTATGCATTGGTATGAATTGTGGCTAATTAGGAGATATGAGTGTCCTCTAAAAGTTGGTTTTCAATAAATTCACAAATTTTGGAACAAAAAGTCTATCAAAAACCACTTCTTGAAATTTAAAAAAAAAGTTTCACATATCACACTTTGATAACATTGGGTAAGACTACAATATAAGCCAAAGTGGTTTAAACTTTATATGGGGCCTTTAACTCAGTATCTAAAACCACAAAGTACATACCCCTAATATAAACTATAGTGCAAAAACTTCAGCTCTCCTGGCTATTGATATACAGAAGTCTTTTTAAACTTTACGCAACGTTTGTTTTGGAATTGTAGAAACCTTATAGACATCCTGTATACACAGTATAGGGATATTTGTACCTTTAAACCAGCCTGTTCCAGCTAACTTGCTTGGCATCTTGCTTGGTGTTGTGAACTCATACTCCATACGTCCTTCCTTAGGCATTGATAGTGAATTAACATAGAATGTACATAGTCTCTCTTCTTGGGTGAAGGTCAACCTCTCTGTACCATATCTGTCCACGTCGCGCTCTGTCACTGCTATGTGGATACTGTAATATAAAATATGGCATAGTATTACATAAGATAGTGGAACAGTTACATTTTAGTCAATGGAATGAATGTCTAAGCTGTGCACGGCAAAAGTGCTCACATCAGCAAGTCTCTGGAATGTTTTACATCATTTGTACGTAAAAATACATTTTATACTCTTTCTACACACACACACACATGAAGCCAGTCAGATTTAACATGCTCATAATATGTAAATACTGAATATTCACTATGATCATGGAGGTAGTCATTCTGTGATTTTTCATTATGTAAAAGCTTCATATACCCTTGATTGAACAGAACAAGTATCAACTGTTCCAGTAGTAAGATGACTTAATTTCTGGATTTTTCTGTCTCATTCTTATACCCTATACCCCAATACCTAATTCTACAATATTTTTCGCTCTCATCATTCCATTTTAAAAGTTCCACAGCTCTCACTTCATCTCAGGACAAATATTCAATTTAGTTATATGGCAAAAAATGAAAAAAATATTTTCAATTCTAATGAATCATTAGACATTGTTGCATCTTAAATCTTCGATAAACTTGTTTAGACATTCAATTCTGTGTCTAAACTTTGATTCTAAAATGCATTTAAATTAAGAACTGCCTATAACTTGCACTTGACAAACAACTAACTGTACAATCAATTTTTGTATCTTTAGTTTCTTGCTCAGGTTTTTACCATTGATGGTGCAAGTTGCATTGGGTGCATGTATTTTAGTCTCAGAGTTAGGAACTAAACCTTTTTAACTTATTTAACTTACATAGACGGGTGTACATGCATCATGTTATCAGGCTCCTTTATGAAGTTAAACACAGCCTCTGGTGGTGCTTGGATGAATGTAGACACACTAACTTCCTTGTGCTTTGTCCTACATGTAAAATAATAAGCCACTGCAGCACCTATCACACCAGCAAGAGCTGCTACAGCTATAAGTCCCAACATATTTCAGTTGACTTCAAATCCAGCTTTGTAAACACCTATTTCTTTAAATCCTCATCCGAGTGTAATCCTTTTGTATTCGAGATCCTTTGGAGTACATCAGTATACTTCTTTTTTTGACAAATCCTTTAATTAGTAAATGCTTGTTCATTTGTCGGTTTATGTAGCTTAAAATTCTCACATTTTTACTAAAACTTATTTCCTTGTTTGAAAAATACACAAAATGGTGGCTTTTGATAAACATGTATTTAGGTCAACTGATTTATCTTGCTCTTTGTACCAGTGACTCACACCGCTTGTTAATTATTAATCTAAACATGAGTTGTTTGATAATCATTCTCATTTACTAAAGTAGTAAATAGTCTATTATGTTGGATTTATAATTAACAACAGTACAACCCTTCCTTAAGTATACTACATTCTCAATTTATTTGGGGTCACACACAATAGTGTTCTTTTGCAAACACAAATGTGTTCTTTTGTAAACACATAAGTATTCTATTTCACACAAAATGTGTTCTTTTGCAAACACAAGTGTTCTTTTGCAAGTTTTATTGTATATGGCTCTGAGGTTCTTTCATTTTCAATTCATTTTACAAACACAAACAATTTAATAATTATATCATATTTATTAAGTTAGATTGTATGTACAAGTACTCAATCTGAATGAATTCATGTAATAGTGTACACTATAAAGTGTCATATTTATTTTGGTACAAAGTTTTATAAAATTTGTCGTACTAGTAAGTAACCACACTAAGCTCACACAATATTTCATCATAAAAATTCTAACGACATATCTACATCCCCCCAAAAAAATATTTTCTCGAATGTACTGATCCATACATGTTTAGTAATTGAAAATATTTCTTACCATAGAAACACATTGGGAATGGGAATATTGGATAATAATTCCAAAACAAGAATGAAGCAAAATGTTAAGGTATTTTGAAAAACACATAAGGATGAGAAAAACTGGCCTTCAAACGCTGAAAGTCAATACATCGTTACCTTATTTTCATGTTGAGAATTTCGATATTGAACCTTCAAATCAACTGCTGTACATCATGCATGTAGACAATTTTCCTTGTGGGTGTAAATCAATTCATACTAGAATAGCAAGCAGTCAGTTCAGCGTAGAAACCGTATTGAAAAGTAGTTGATGCCTATAACTGTATAAAGGTAAAGTTGTATTTATTTTGAGACAGTGAGGTAATTGAATTACCCTGAATCAGTTTATCAATTATTTCAATTATTTACTAACAACTTTGATTTTAATATTCAGCACCTTCAGCTGCATTTGTTTCTTAACATGCATATTAAGACTAGTTAAATATTTAAACACCTTTATCATACACTGTACATATGTCATAAGTCAAATCATATTTTCAACAGTGAAAACCAGCTTAAAAATACTTAATTTAACATGATTGATTCACACCTTTTGGGTTAATATTTGAATTAGATTTTAGCTTAACTATATTTGATTACATCAATTTCTACACCAATGCTACTGTCCTGTGCAAATTATTTACATTGTTTGGTTATTTTTAATTGATGTGTACATTATTTAGTAATTTCTACCCACTCCCACTGTCTTCCCTTCTGTATACTATATCCTGTACAAAGACAATTATCAGATTATTTAAAGATATAAAAATTTAAAAAATAACAAACAGAAAAATTCGGAAAATGTCAATGTACGATACAAAAAGATTCCAACGATGTACTATAAGAATTGAACGAGCAATTTTTTTACTTTTACATACATAGTACTGTACTAAGTTAGATACTTTAAACATTTGAATTGAAAATATACTGTAAATCGCACTTTGTCCCCAAGAAAATTCACAATACCCATTTGACAATTACCACACAATAGTAGGCCTAGAACAAAAGGATGGGTCTAGAACAATATTGCCTCTTTAAATTGGCCGCAAATTGTGATCCTAAATTATATTCATGGGCCCATATTATTTCCTAGTCTACCAGTGATATCCATCCTCCGATCACAGGGCTTCAAAATCCAGAATACTTCTTTCTTTTTACCCCCTGCGATAAGCAGTTACCTTTTCCCCGATTAAGAACTCGCAATCTGATTGGCTGTCGCAACACTGCGACAGAAATCATGTATGAGTCATTGCGCATAATTAGATCACGTGATTCAGTTAAATCGGGCGCTTCCAAATTGGTTATAGCAGGGGGAAGAAGGAGGTACGGATTCTGGACACCTGCTTAGGAGGATGGTGATATCTGATATGTACTGTTGAGTAAATTCTTTTACACTGGAATCTTTATTTTGGTGTTTGTTACAAGCATGTCATAATCAGAACTGAAGCTTCTACTCTAAATACCTTTCAAACTGACTTGTAAAATACATCCACATTTCACCACACTAGCACTTTCAGTATTTCAACTACATCTCCATATACTGTAAACAGGTAAAGGTCTCACATTTTTTCTCCAAAGTGTTTTTGATACTTATCAGATACAGTTATAATCTGATTGGGATCATTAGAAGTCATAGAACATTGTGCATGATTTGTGCTTAGGGGCCTTTATACCCCTGATGTTGAGTGAAGAAGTTCCATATTCTTGTATTATACACATATGTGCATGGTACATATCATTTATTGGCAAAATATTTGTGTCTTTTTAGGCCTTTATACCTGACTTTAACATAACCTCCCCCCACTGAGTTTGAACAGACAAAACATTCAGACATGGGGTTTTAGAACAAAAGTGATTTGGTGAGAGTTCCGGTGTTTATTTTGACCTTTCAAGGTTTGACTCAATTCAACTGGTTTCAAAGTTTCACTAAACCTGTACAAAAGGCAAGTGGTGGTCAGAGATTGCAATATCATTATTTTTCTTTTTTCCAAAATTCAGAGGTTCCACTTAGAGGTATGTCACTCATTTGATATTTTTCTGAGTCCAACGAGAGAATCTATTATACTTGTAACATGTGTTAAGTGAATAAGTTTGTTGATACAACTCTGAGTGGTCCCTTTACAAGCTCTGCATTATGTGTGACACCACACAACATTATATGTAACAATACACAGCAGTGTGTGACAGTTCACAACAATATATGTGACAAAACAGCATTATTTGTGACATCATATAGCATTATGTGTGACAACACACAGCAATATATGTGATACACAGCAGCATTATGTGTGACATCATACAACTTTATGTGTGACAATACAAAGCTTTATATGTGACACCACAACATTATGTGTGACATATAGACCGTGTCAATTTTGTTTATAGGGTGACCCCAAAGGCTTCTTGCATTAAATGTGAAATCAATATGTGAGCCTGAAATTATTTGTGTCCTCTTGACATATGTGCACATTTCAAGTGACACAGCCCTGACATCACAAACTTGACATCACACTTTCCTGACATCACAGTCCAGTCTGTTACTGCAATATGATCATATGGAGTGAATGTTACATTAAAACATGATTGGTTTATCCTTAGTTTGATCTATGACGTATTGCGTGAAGCGTTTTAGGAATTTAGGATATTCTCGCTTGTAGACTGCTCGTAATACTGACGCTGGGGCCCAACCTCCTGGGTTCACTGAAACACACAGGATAAAAACTGGTTATTGCTAAAAGGTTTTAGATTCATTTTACATTATACATTGAAATTGATTTGAAAATGTGGCAACTGATCTACACATTGACTTTGATATTGTATTTTGAAAGAACATGTATGTTGGAGATTTGGCAATTCATCATCTCAGGAAAACAATGTCACTTATACATGTAAATCATAGGAACGGGACACCTCAAGAATATGTACAGTGTAGTGAATTTTACAAAAAAGCTGAAGTTGTCTTACCATTAGCAGAATATTGTATTCTACACCTGAGATTGTCTCTGCTGATCTCCTTGCCAGCTGGTGGGGGCTCTACTATAGTTTGACATATCAAAGCCACATTGAATAGCACCCTGACACATTTAGCCACCATCTAGTAAAACATAAGAGATTAAAGGACAACTGAAATAGGTTTTCTCAACTTGCAGCTACAAAAATGTGGTTTTCTTCATTGTAAGCCCAAGGTAGAGTTCTTGCAATTAGCCATAATAAAAATGTTAGATAACTGCTAATGGTCAAAAAATGTAATAAAATTAACTGATCAATCAGATTGGCCCGCACGTGATTAGTAACGTCATACATAATATATTGTTTTGGTTTATTGGTTCCTTGGTAATCACAACGCCAACCATATGATTGTTGTGTAAACAAATAACAAAACATCTTGGCATTATGAGGCCATGATTTAATGGACCAAAACGGGCCACATGGGGACCAGTGAGAGATCACGTGGGGGCCAATAACGTCACAACCAATTCGAATATTGCTTATTAAGCAGCTTTAACTATCATTAGAGTGAAATAATTTTCACCATTCTGATGAGAAAACATGTCCAAATACATTTATCAAAAAATTTAATTTTATTGATTCTTTAGGTCAAAAATACCATTTCTTATCTGCTATCACTTGCATCAGTCAATTTATTATCATAAATTCAGAAAGAATATAGGTAGTAAGCTAGGACACAAAAATGTTTTTACCAGTGAACAAATTGAAATTACTTGTTTCTTATGTATTTTTATGTGATACTTCAGAAATTTGTTGTCTGATGCGCCGTATCCGGGGCGAAAGTTGCCAAAGTGGGGTTTTTGACCCTAATATAGAAAATAACAGGGGGTACTTTATTATCCTTGAATAACTTTTTCAGTTGATCTTTAAGCATCACAATAACTTTACTGGAAGTTGTTAATATCATTCTTAATTAGTATGCAAAGTTTCAATGATCTGTCATTAATAGTTGTCATGGAAACCATGATCTTTGTTGAAAAAGTCCATAATTTTGGTAAAACCTGTACCTGTACATCATAAAGAGTGGGCATTATTTTTCAAATCAACAGACATCAGAACATGTTAGGACTCTAAAAATTATCAGGACAGTTCAGACATTTGTTTAAATATAATGCATATTGTTATTCACATGATTGGTAAGTGTCAAAGACCATACAATTACATAGGTGATCAAAAGTGGGCGTCGCCCATATAATAGTAGATGATTACCATTCCCTTTAAATACAGATTTTAAGTTGACTTGAGATACAATTATAATGTACTTCTATTGCCATAATCTATATCAAGCAATTCTGGTAGATACATATAAGTGTTGTAGGTATTACATCATCCTAGGGATGGTGGGTATATTAGGGGGGGGGGGGGGTGGTAGAGGTACCCAGCCTTATATAAAACTCATATACAAAGTTTAATTTCATGTAGTACATCTTTTGGATCTTGTTCTGATTTATCTCAATATATAGGATATTGCAATTTACATTATTGTAAAGTGTATAAGACCATACAATACAACAAACATAAGTGTTTAAAAGTGGGGTTTGCCTTCATAATAACAGGGTTCATACACCTTTTTATAATGAAATTCCCTGACATTTCCAGGCAAAAAAGGAAATTCTTGCGCAGCCTACTAAAAAGTCTCAAACAACTGTACAAGACTTATAATGAAATTTATCCCAGTAAATGTCAAGGGGGTGAAATTCTTTGGGTTTGCATCACTATGAGTGAAGCAAAACCCTAAAGTGAATACTGGGGTTCACCTCCCAAAATTTTAAAAAATTTGCATTGTAAATGGTGCATTCTGAGCATTTCAAACTATAATTTGTCAACTACTGATCATTGTTAACATTATATGATAACAATAACCTGGCATTACTATTGTCTTCACCCCTTTGGGAAAATCCACACCAAGACATGACACCATATTAGAAATTCCTTCTATAGTAGCGTCACTATACGGAATAGTCCTATGATACCAAATAAAATAATCGGTATTTGTGTTATCAGGAATATTACCTCATCTGAAAACATCAACTTTTTGAGTAGCAACAAGCTTTTTTTCTTGAACAGAGTCATGTGCCCATCTGCAAAATAAATCTGAACCAAAAATGGTGAGTGTCTTTTTGAGCAGAGGCCCCATATAACCAAAGCATCAGTATATAAAGTCTGATATTTGAGTTATTGCCTTGACAGATGGGCAGGTGAATAGACTGACGTAAGACAGCTTCTCATATAAATACAGTTTTACACAGAATCGTTATTGTTTTTCACCACCCACCCTCCTCAGATTAAACCCTCAACAAAACATGAAACATATACCAATAATTAACTATGAATGGCCTAAGACTAACTTACTACAAGGAAAAGCACAATTGTATTGAACCATCTATACATACTTTATATGTATATTCTTTATTATTCGGTTTCAGTATAATGTTCACAATGTTCTTACAAATAGACAATACCAGATAGATTGTCATCCAATCAACCCTAATGAAAATATTTCCAATTAGTGGAAAAAACTGAATGTTAGAATTTGAATTTCATTGATATCCTGTCATAGCCTAAAATGTATTTTGCTGGAACATTATATTTTCAACATTGATACAAAATACCCTGGCATATCTACTGTTTCAAAATTCCCGGACATTTTTGTCTCTTTTTGACCCAATTTTAACATTCCCTGACATTTCCAGCACCTGGAAATTAAATCAATTCCCCTGTCATTCCTCATCATGAGAAATGATGTCTTTCTATTCTAAATTCTAAATATGGAGTATAACTTATAAGATACAATTATACTGTATTTCTGTTATATTACCATAATTCATATCTAGCATTTCTGGAAAACACATATAAGTCTTGAAGTGGGGGGATAGAATGGGTGGGGGGGGGGGTGGGCAATGCTAGTCAGCCTTAGGTATAAATCTCATCAACATAATTTTGTGTCTCATAGTCAGTACATTTCTTGGCCTTGCATTTTCTTAGCATATTGTGGTCTTTTCCAATCATTTAACATTAACTGGCATAGTTGCTTCTTGTTTGCATCATTCTTCAAGAACTCATTCCAATTTTTTGGGACTCTTATATTTCTCCCTTTGGTTAAGTTGCTGCCAAGCCTCTTCTCATCCTTTCATACCAAAATATGTGAAGCCCTCCCAGCACTTCACGCTTTCACTGGGTGTAACACTGTGAGTGCCTTGGTTCGGAGGGGCAAAGTAACACCTTAAAACAATGGCAAAAGGAAGAACCATACAGACACATTCAAAGAACTAGGACTCTTAGCAGACATAAATGACGAAACAACCAGTAAAGTAGAAAAAGTTTGTTTACCATATAAATGGTGTTTCATATGTATGCACCTCATACATTTAACTCATACATGTAGCTTTGCCACCCTATCATGTTATATATCATTTTGTTCCTTATGAAAAGTTACATTGGACTGGAAAGTTTTAGAATAAAGAGGTGTCCCTGAAAAAAGATACAATCCAACAAAATATGTGGGTAGGGGGTCATTTATAAGCAGTTTTGTAAGGATCTGTTCACTGTGTCTGCTACCCAATTTTAGTGATAAAGGTCCCATGGTTCCTGACCTCCCTATAAGCCACTGCATGAATCTTGTCTATATATCTTTGTGCATAACTGCCACAGACATGTGGACTGAGCTCTGCCATGGTGACAATAGCAAGAAATGTGCAAAACGGAAACTAAATTTGTCCTTTAAATTGTCCTCAAAATCACCAGAAATTGCCGTCTAATGACCGGTACCCACAATCTTTGATAGATTATAACTTTTTTTTGTCAGTGACACCCCTGGATTCTGAAACTTTGGAATCCTATGTAACTTTCCATAAGGCACAAAATGATATATAATATGATACGGTGGCAATTGCTACTTGTATGTTTAGAGGGGGTGCATACATATGAAACACCCTGTATACTAGTATGGGAAACCTCAAATATCCCACATCAACAAAGTCAGATTTGTGTTATTTAAAGAGAAGTTTAGGCCCCATACTAAAACAATAACTGACTATGAAGGAACAGATATTACTCTACCTCCTCCTTGTCAAGACTCCCCATGCTTCACTTAGCAAGGGCCAACTACCAGGCACTTATCTGGCGTATGGCCCATTTTGAAAAAGCTAATATTTCAGCACCAGATGGGCATGGGTAGAAACTTAATGATTCTAAAAAACCTGGAAGTTCAATGGGTAACAACAGATATTTTACCACAAGAGTTTGTTGATATCTTAACACCAGGGGAAGAATCAGAAGATGACCCAGGAGATTGACCCTATAAGATCCCAAATTATGTTGATGAGATTTATAACTAAGGCTGACTAGATTTGCCCCCCCCCCCCCCTCCCCACATTGCCCCACCCCCCTCCCAAGCCTGATGGAATAACATCAATACTTAAATGTGTTTTCTAGAAATGCTTAATATGAATTAAGGTTATAGAAATCCAGTATAATTGTATCTCATAACTCCATATTTATAGAAAATGTTGGTCTTCTATTATCATTATGAGGGCAAAGCCCATCTTTGATCACATTTGTATTGTAATTGTATGGTCTTTGACACTTTCCAATAATGTAAATTGCAATATCCTATATATTGATATAAATCAGAACAAGATCCAAAAGATGTACCACATGAAACTAAAACTTTATATATGAGTTTTATATAAGGCTGGGTACCTCTACCCCCCCCCCCATTGTACCCCCCCCCCTGACCCCCCCCATCCCTAGCTTGATGTAATACCTACAACACTTATATGTATCTACCAGAATTGCTTGATATAGATTATGGTAATAGAAGTACATTATAATTGTATCTCAAGTCAACTTAAAATCTGTATTTAAAGGGAATGGTAATCATCTACTCTTATAAGGGCGACGCCCACTTTTGATCACCTATGTAATTGTATGGTCTTTGACACTTACCAATCATGTGAATAACAATATGCATTATATTTAAACAAATGTCTGAACTGTCCTGATAACTTTTAGAGTACTAACATGTTCTGATATCTGTTGATTTGAAAAATAATGCCCATTCTTTATGATGTACAGGTACAGGTTTTACCAAAATTATGGACTTTTTCAACAAAGATCATGGTTTCCATGACAACCATTAATGACAGATCATTGAAACTTTGCATACTAATTAAGAATGATATTAACAACTTCCAGTAAAGTTATTGTGATGATTAAGGATCAACTGAAAAAGTTATTCAAGGATAATAAAGTACCCCCTGTTATTTTCTATATTAGGGTAAAAAAACCCATTTTGGCAATTTTCGCCCCGGATATGGCGCGTCAGACAACAAATTTCTGAAGTATCACATAAAAATACATAAGAAACAAGTAGTTTCAATTTGTTCACTGGTAAAAACATTTTTGTGTCCTAGCTTACTACCTAATACATTTACAATACTCAGACCAACTAGGTAAAAAATTACATTTGTGTGAGTCTATATTTTGGTTAACTTGCATAATGATTCTCATCTATTACATGTACAAACAAAACATTGATTCAAATATTTTTATATTCATTCAAATATGTTCTCTTCTGGTTATAAGTGAAAAGTGAAACAACTGATTCCAAGTTATTATGAAAGATTTAATTCCACTGTAAAATCCATGTACAATATATTAAAGCAATCAACCGAGCAGTCATTGTTGGACCAAAATTCATTGATTATTTACCTGGCAATTAGACTCGTTGTAATCAGTGGAATGGTTACATACGACCCAGTAATCGGCCGATTCTGAATCATCTTCGCTTGGACAATGTCGGATGTGAGACCAGAAATAGGTGTCCCTTTGGGCTGTTGGCCACACTCGCTTATGTACCTTTAGGATATTCAAACATGATTAGTCCTCTATTGAGATGGGTAAATAGATAAACAAATGGCTCTCACATCAAAGGATCATACATTTAGCAGCAGCAATAGCTAAATAGGAATATTTATCCCCATGAAGTCAAAATATTTATGGATATGTCACAAATTGTATCCTTATCATACATCTATTAAAAATGTGATGTGAATACCAGCTGACTATGAATATATCCTAAGTACCTGATAAGTGACAAGAGAATCCTCTGAAAGATACTCCATTGTCTTGGTGGATTCTAGTGTCCCTTCCCAGTCCATTCTCACTTCAGGATTGTAGAAATAATGACATATCTCGTGTCCTGTCACTCCCTGGAACAAAGAGGTATAACTTTTCAAAGTTCCATTTTTTTCAAAAATATATTTTGAAATTTTGTGTATGATCAATGTTCATAGTTCCATATGGCTAGTTATTCCAGTGAAACATAAAATAAGCAGTGACAAACACATACGCATAGGTTTTTGTCAGCATTAAAAATCCATTTTGGTCTACCGTATCTTGACCTGTCTTTATTTACATACATGTTATACCAAAAGAGGTTAATATGAAATCAATACTTGAGAGGACGACTTACACTGACAGTGTGGATAGCCTTCAATGGGTCTACTATCATCCCATCTTCCTCGATCTCACGTTTATAGACTCTCATGTCTCCTTCCTCATATATGAGAGGCCATGTCTCCTCCATGGTCTTAGGATCCATGTCAGCATACCTCATATGCTCAGCTATCACCGAATTGATCTGGAATACAGTTAATAAAAAATATTCCACTGGGTTATAGAAAGTTAAGTAGATGTCATTACAATGCAATATTTTGCCAAAAGATTGGCAAAACATTAATATAAGACCTTACTTGTAAGTCCATAACAGAATATGGTTGAATAGTATATGAAGAAGCCAAGTATTGAATTAAAAACAATTGTCTGAGACATGTTTGGAAAGTGAGGGGTGAGTATTGCCGTTTGAGTTACACCATTACTACATATTCAATGATATGGTTGCCCCAACGCTGCACACTATTTTTCACTTACCTCATTATAAAGTGGGTGTTTGGGGTCCAGAGAAATGATGGGGGGCCTGTCTACAGCTTTCAGTGGTCTGGTTTGTTTCTAAAATAAAATCATATTTTATTATGTTGTGACAATGTCAAGAGAGTTTAAATCATTACTCGCTTGGAACTCTGGACCAGTTAAGTATTTAATGTTCTATAGTTATCAAAAACAACTCCAAATTTTCCTTACAAGAAGTCAGCTAGAATTCCAATGAGCACCAAAGTTTATGTATATCTTTAAACACTTTCCCTATTTTTGACTTTTTCTTGGATTCCTTTGTTTCCAAAGTTTGTACCCCTTTACAACCATTCCCTCTCTTTTATCATAAAAAAATTAATGAAATGGACTACAGTTTCGCAGATATGGGTGGGTCAAGGGTTTAATGAAAGTAAACTCATTTAATGAAATGGACCACAGTTTGGCAGATATGGATGGGTCAATGTTTTAATGAAAGTAAACTGAATACAAACCCTCTCTTCTTCCTTCTCAAGTTTATCAAGTGTTGCGTCCACTGCATCAAAGAACTCATCCTCATTGATGGCACAATGAGGACCTTCCTGTAACACCAATGCGCAACAATTAATATTCTGCAAAACACTCCAGGGGTTAACAGGTAAAATTGTTAACCTAGAAAATGGTGCTGATTTGAGGTCCACAGCACATTTAAGGTTTATAGTTCAAAAAGTTTTAGACCTAGGTGTAGTCTCAACTGTATTAAGATTATAATAAGGTTCAAGCTGAATAAACACAGTTGATAAAAAATGATAAAAAATGTTTGACTTGCCTCATAATCTGGACCACCGATTACAATAGGTTTAATTTGTCTCTCAGCACATCGTGACTTGTACGCTTCTTCTACTTTTTTCCTCTTTTCTATTTCCTACAAATCAAAATAGAATAAAAGATTTTGTAAGAAAGCAAAATCAAAAAAGGAATATAATACCTGCCATCCTGGAAAATTTACAACTCTGGTGTGGTATACCTGTCCTCTATAACTTAACACAGTGACTTGTGTGGGGTATAAGGCCTACATAACAAAAAATAAAAAAAAGAAGCATCATACCCTCTCTAATCGTTTTCTCCAAGCTTCTTCTCTCTGGTTCATCAACTCTATACAATGGCTGAGCGTAGCAATTATGCCTGCTGTTGTAGCCTTGAATGTGAAAGCTTCACCCTTGAAGTCCAATGCATGGGCACCATGTTGACGTAGGACATTTGCTACAATGACACAAGATTATGAGAGGAATGAAACCCCTCATTGGTAATTGACTGGGGAAAATGACACACGGGAAAATAAGACACATTTCAGGCCCATAGCCAGCTTTTGCCAAGGGGGGTTCATTTTTCCCAAAAAATCCAGGTGGGGTCCACTTTGACAAATTTGGAACAAAATCACATGGAAAATGCTCAGAATGGTGAGACTGCATGATTGTGAAAAAGATTTTCGCCAAGGGTTTCACTCAAAACCCTAGCTATGGACCTGCATTCATTATAATTTGACTTGAAAATGAACTGTTGATCTCAGCCAACAACAGGTGAAGCCATTTTTTTTATTCACTAACATGGTACATCATAAGAAATTCAGATATGCTGGTAAAAATTGAATCAATTCATTAGATTTCAATCTATGTAGATAGATTGCCTTTATATATTTACTTACATATTTCTTTGTCTGTAACAGCAGCATTGTCTGCTTGGTCCAGAGATGGCTGATCATAGTCATCAACCTCATCTATGTCATCATGGGCAACTGCAACACAAACATAATAATAATAATTACATATAATTATGATAATATTGTGATGAACCTCTCTCGCATTCAAAACCCACACTTGAATCTGAATTTGCAGTTAGATATTGACATCCAGTAAGAGTTGCCAAGAGACTTCCGGCAGACATGGAAAGGTGAAAACCAAACATACTTTCAAATATTTGAACCAATCATCAAATAAAAGCTCTATCTAGTTTCAAAATTACCCAAAATTCCCATATGCCAGTAACCAGTTACAAGTTCCCACACTAGGTGGCTAATTTAAAATTAATATAAGAAGTTTATTCATTAGCTTGTTAATTTAAGATGCTTGAAAAAATGCAAAATGTACAGTATCTTACATTGTATCCTTATGAGTTTAAATCTAGTTCTAACTTACCATCGTGAATGGTAGATTTGGAAATGGCTGAGGCACAAGAGTCGAAGTAGTTCTGTAAAGTGTCAACTTGTCTACTGAGAATATCCTTGAATGTTTCCATCTCCATCAACTTCTCATTCAATCCACGGCCCCTCTGGAAAATCAGCCATATAACATGCATAATATTTTCATGAAACAAGTACACACAGTGATCTCCCCAGTATTAGAGCAACCAGGTGAAAATTACCTGCTATCCTGTCTGTTTGCACCCTGCAAAATGGGTGAAATATTGAGATCCATGTTAATTTTGACCAAAATAGGTTAAACTATACCCTTTGCATTCGTTTGACTTCACTTCTTAAAAGAGAGCTTTGTCTTCACTCTTTCAAACTAAAATAAACCTGTGAACTCACCGCGCCAATCAGTGTTCGTCGGCCAAATTTGACCCACGTTCTATATATGGTCATTCCTTCAGACGTCATTGTTGAATTGACCAATGACACACGCATATTTAATTTGCACGCATTTGGCGTATGTTTCTTCAAGCTCGCTGATTGATAGAAGAAAGGTCAGCGCGTAGGTCAGAAGTGATTTATTACCCAAACTGTCACCGGTACCCGTGGTGGGGGCGGGGTTACTAAACTGTAATATGGTCTCTACTAGGCAGAGTATAGTTTAACTAGACTCTGCGCGGAGGGTAGTTAAACTAGGATTTAAGAAAATCTTAATTCTGCATATTTAGTGCAGATAACAGGAAAACTAACATGTGTGATAGGCCACAGAGCAATAACACATCTCGCTTACCTTGAAAGATGAAGTAGAAGTTGTGGAGAGACTAGCTGCTGAGGTTAGGGACAACATGGAGCCATGACGTCTTAATGAATTCTCACTACCATAGCCTGACTCTGCCTGACGATGTAACTCCAGTCCATCTATCCATCTCTGACGATCTTCTACAGACTCAGTGCGGAGATACCAAAGACAGTCATTGACACTAACATCAAAGCGACATTCATCGAATTCATGAGGCTAAAAGTTAAAAAAAATTAATTTACAGCATTTTGAAAGCTGGCACGTGTCATGTTGCATTCTGGGAGCAAATCCTCCTTGCGGCGTAATCGGGCTCCAAAATCACCTCAACATTTGAAGAGTCAGCATTAACATGTGAATATCAGTTCCTTTTTGTCATTATGGACACAAATTCTACTATTTGTATGTTCCGGGATGGAGAAAATAGAGCACTCAATTCACTGAGGTAATAATTTTTGACATATGTTACAGAATGTCTTTTTAATAGTGTTAGTAATAATTTATGTTCACCACTTTAGGGGTTTGTGTAAAAAACTGGGTGACCAGATGACTGGGAACGTTCCTAGCAGGGTTATGAATTTTATTTATTTTTTATTTATAACGTTGGATCTGGACGATACATGTACATTATTTTCGATGTCACGTTTTGAGGTTATTTCACATCGTAAGAACGTTTTGCAACGTTAAAATAAAGTCGGTAATGAACCGATTTAGTGAGAACATAACGTCTTTGTAATGTAACGTTTTCTTAACTTACAAATATTTTGAAGCCATTTCCACAATGTTGAAATAAACCGTTACATCGAAAATAAACCAATGTGGTAAAAATGAAACGTCTCTGTTACGTTTTCTACAGTAACATGGTCACCCGGCTACCTGGTCACCTGGTTTTTTACACAAACCCCCACTTTAGGGAGAAAGTAACAGACACACTGTCAAACTTACTGTGATAATAGCTTTAGCTAAACTAACTGCTCCTCTACATCCAAATGTAGTATCAGTCTCTGACTTGTAATAACTCAGTGTTCCTTCTTTTAGAACCACAAATCTATCTTGCCAACCATGAATGTAATTTGTCCATTTGTTTAGAATGCCGGAAATTTCAGGAAGTTGAGATTCTTCCTCAAAATCGTCATTATCTTCGTCATCTGTTAGATTTAGGATATCTTTGTCCTCTGACATTGTGAGTGGTATTGTCAACGTTAGTTTGCACTTATTATTTTACCATTTTGATTCATATGAATGGAGATATTTATTATAATTATTGAAATTTTGAAAATTTTCATACACCCTCAGACTCCATCTTGGATTAATGACGTCACCGGAAATAGATATTGATTGGCTAGTATAGTATACAACTTAAATGTTGCGGGAAATTTGAATCAGAACACACATTAAATTTGCAGGTTATTAAAAACGGGAAAACGATCAGTCTAATTAATATAACGGAGTATTTTATTACGTTACAATCATAACATAAACGAAAATCTTGCAAGGGTATACTACACGTGATTCTATTAGGGGCCGGGTGCCCGGGCTTTATAAATTAATTTGAATAGGCATGGAATAATGCTCAGCACTAAGGGACTTTTATAATTTTGGAAGAGAACAAAATGGCTGAAAGGAGATAATAGTCATATTTCCATACACAAATTGTTAAATTATACAAAGAATACTATAGGCCTACATTTATTTTTATTTTCAGATCTTGACATGTTACAATTACAAGTTGAATAAGCTTACATAAACTTTACTTGGTTTTAATGCGTGGCTGAAAAAAATGGAAAATCCCATCAGTGTCTCTTGCTGTTGTTATTTTTTGTACATATCCCTTTAGCAAATGTCCCTAATATAATATAATATAATATAATATGATATAATACAATATATAAATATAATATTATATATTATCCCATGATACTACTACTACTACATCCGGGTATATTTTTGATATTGAAAAATATCGTATTGTCCCGCCCAATCCCGCTCATGTAAATGGTATTCACCTCCTCCCAGGTATTTTTGATAAACAAAGCTTCTATTTCGTTCAGTTGGGTCGATGGAGCGTGCTATAATGATGTTCTTATGTGAGAAACATATTTTCCAAACAAAGTTCAAAATAGACGTTTTGAAACGTAAGGAAAATGATGCTCTAACACAGTCAACGTCATAAAAATCTGAGCAATAAGCGAACGCCCTGATAAACTTGTATATACCATATTGTTTAATTTTTTTGTATTTTACAGTTTATTTTATATACAGGTATATATGGGGCCCCAAATTTTTTTGGGCCCAGAACTTTTGTAGGCCCTCAAAAAGTGGGCCTTTTTGGCATAGTTTGGCCCTTAAATGCCTTTTTAGGCCAAATTTTCACAAAGAAGGCCTTAACTTTTCAAAATTTGGGCCCAATTTTTGGTTTAAGTGGCCGATTTTTTTACTGACTCAAAATTTGGGCCCTCTCCTTTTTTAGCTTCTGGATTCGCCACTGCATGGGATAACAATCTATTTACTGGTCGATATATTCAATGTGTGTTTATTCCTCGTAACAATATGATATTTCCCTCTGGCACTCCGGGCCCTCGGGAAGTATTATCATATTGTCCCTCGAAATAAAACCCATATTGAATCCCTCCCAGTAAATAACCTCTATATATACTGAAAGCCTTGGATGAGTGGTGGTTTTTACAATACAAAACTGCCATCTTTTAAACAGTGCATATACATGATATACAGGGTGTCTCAAACATGTACTCAAAAGTATATCGACAGCAGATAAAGCAATCAGTATTTTCAAGCATTTTTGCATAGTCATCAGCTGAAGCATGTAATTTTTTATCCAACATACACAGTTTTATAGTTCAGCCCTGCCTTTTTGATGTTTGAAGCCTTTACTTTTTTAATTCATACACATACAAAATACACAATTTTTAGTTCAGCCTTGCCTTTTCGATGTTTTGACCCTTTATTTTTTGAAACGTAAGGAGAATGATGCTCTAACACAATCAACGTCATAGAAATCTGAGCAATAAGCGAACGCCCTGATAAACTTGTATATACCATATTGTTTAATTTTTTTGTATCTTATAGTTTATTTTATATATATGTATACATGGGGCCCCAAATTTTTTTGGGACCAGAACTTTTTAACCCTTTACTTTTTTATTTCATACACATACAAAATACATAGTTTTTTAGTTCAGCCTTGCTTTTTTAATGTTTAACCCTTTAATTCTTATTTCATATTTTGATGACAACACGCATCCTTACTGCTACATTGAATTTTTTCATCACATTTGAAGATGTTTTCGATGGAATGTTTTGAATTTCTCTTCAAATGTTGGCCTTAAGTTGTTCTAGCTCTTTTGGCTTGGGATTAGCTTAAAACGCTCCTTCAAATAGCCCCAGTGAAAGAAGCTCGAGGATTAGAGGATGACGACGACAGAGCAATCAGAGAGAACCAGGTCAATATCAATAAATGATTAAGGAGTTCTTCCTTAGTTTCAGAGTGGTTTCAAAAAGATCGACCCCTCCAGACACTGCAAGGGTCAAACGAGAATTCCTATGAAGGCAGTTACTTTTGAATGCCTGATCTTTCTGTAAAAATACATTGTCTAACTATATTCAAATATTTGACATTTCGTACTTTTTCTCTGAGGCTACTTGAAGAACCATTTGTCAATACCCCCAAGCCAGGAGACCTAGAACAACTTAAGGGGACAGTATATTTGGAATCTACATGTAAAATTACATCTAGGAATGTGGTTTTGAAAAGTTTTTCAACATTGAAAATTAAATTTTCTCTGAAAATGTGACTTCTAGGCTGGGGAGATTTCCCATAGACCCCATGTTGTAAAATCACAAAAAGTGAAATATATCTTTTCTTGTGTTAGGCAGATAACATTTTCTTTTACTGGACATATTTTAATTTGTATAACTATGAGATACATGAGGATAATATGAAAAGTGAACCACTAAAACTGATGAATATTCAAGCTTAATGGAGTTTGTAATGGTCTGCCATGCTATTTCCCCCGAATTAGCCACCTGGTGGCGAAACTGGTAACTACATACTCGCATCTAAGTAATTAAGCCATTGTTTTTAGAAAAAATACAGATTTACATGTAACTAAAATATACCTTTTCTCCTATTCATGACATTCTTTTCATGATTTTGTAAGCTTTTTTGATTGTTTATTTTGCTTGAAAATATGTACATCTTTCATTACTATCCTATCCTATCCAATCCAATCCAATCTTACAAGCAAAGCAATCACAACACACTGCAATGCAATTGTACATAACGTTCACAAATCATTATTCATGTAATCAGAATGATGAAGCAAGTAGCGCAACTAAAAAGTGAAATGGATGTCGATAGAATGGAGGCAGAAGACGTCTTCTTCTCTTTCTCTAGTTCGTTATCGCAAGACTCAAATCCTTTCCAGACCCTTTGAACGTCCTGGTTTTCCCTCAAAAGACCCTTTATCGTTGCGTAAACTTCATTGTTACCCATACACCTGTCATTCAACCTAGCTTCTTTGACCAGCTCCTTGCATTCTGGCTTACATGTATCACCAGTCACCGAGCATTTTGACAACACATTAGTTGAGAAGTCTGTCAGTCCCGATGGGCTGAATATAAACCCTCGAACGTTGCACCCTTGTATCACTTTCTTGTCGCTAGCAGGTGCACAGATATCCACGTTTTTGTACTGCACGATAGCTGTCAAGTTATCATTCACTGGGTAGTACTGGAAAAATCCGTAGCACATTTCAGCTGATGTATCGTCGCCGTAGTAAGTGGTTTCTTTTCTTGAGCGTGAATCGAAGGTGCAGCTAATGAAGATCTCGTCACCAGGTAAAAATTCTTTCGGGGGCTCATGCCTGGAAAATTAACATTTGCATTTGAATCAACGTGAAACAAAAAACAAACTACCCAAACATGATCAGGGCTTTCGCGAGAACTTTTCACAACAGGCTAAATAAATGAAAACAACAGGCAAAATTAATGGAAATCATATATTTAACATGGAAAAGTTTAAAAGTCCCTTAAAACAACAGGCAGTTTTCTGAAAACAACCGAAAATCGCCTGTTGCTAATGAAACCCTCCGTGGCGATTCTTATGAATTCTTAATTCACATGGAAAAGAGATTTTGATAAAACATCAAAGCACTTGGAAGCACTTTGCGATGAATTTGACTGGAGCAGGTTATGAGTTCGATTATACTCATATATATCGTTGGTGTGGTTTTACGAATGAATATTGCCACTTTGACACACTTATCAGACTGGATTTGAAGCACATTATTAGAGACAGAATGGCCAGTCTTGTTTAGATACAAGGAGGATTGGCTCCCAGGATCGAAACTCGATATTTTCCAACAATGAAAACGTCGAAATGTCGTTATTTTCTGAAATTAAAACCGACTATAAATTCAAAATAAACAGTTCAAAAGATTCGAACCAATATCTCGATCGTTTCTTGTGAGTTTTGGAATTTTTCGTTTGGAAATAAGACCAAAATTCACGATTTAAATGTTGAAGTGAACAAAATGGCGGCTGTTTGAATTCGAATTTTGTATTACGACATACCCATATATGGGACAGAATATCGGTGGTGCACTCTGGGAGCCAATCCTCCTTGGTTTAGATATGAGAATCTAAGAGTATATAAAGTCCATTTCACTGCTTCAGTTCGTCAGTAGAACGGCAAAAATAAGAAATTGGGAGACCATTGTGCAATAATATATGGAAAAGTATATTCATAATGTACACGAATGACATTTCGTCGCATGAGAATAACTTTGTACTATCTCACATTTTTACGGAACTGAGAAATCAAGGTTTGAAAGTTTAGAGGTCTGTATCTTACTTAGTATTGCTATGTGAAACTTGATTTTTTGTATGTCACCTGGTCTCACCCTAGAGATATCTTATATGAAATATCATACCTTGAAACAATTTGCAAGATCCTTTTTTAAAACTATGGAAATGGAGTTGATACAATTTCCCACCGGAATAACAGCTTATTTCTAATTTCAAATTGTCATATCTGATATCAACTGTTTCAACCAATCAACTCTCTAAGAATTGGTCATGTGACTTGCAAAACTTGGAGTTATAACAATCTTATATTAAAACAAAGTATGCCAATATGCATGTTATTGTATCTAGAATGAAAAATAATGTTTTGCTTTGTAAAAAAATCTTCAAAAACCAAAGAATATTATTTAATAAAATAAAGAAAATTCAATTTATAAAACTTTAAAATCAATTTCTCAAATAAGTACAATTATTTCTTAATTTTGGAATCTCAGGACACCCTTCAAAAAGAATTTATTGCCTTTGAAACTAAGGCAGAAGTACAATGCATTGAAACCAATGATGCCAATACGGTCTCCCACATATTTCCCTCGGTATAAACCCTGTAGCCTAAACCTCCCAGCACATTACAATGTAGCCCCTAAGGGCCGGTCCGCTGGTCATTATCAGGTTTTTTTGATACAGACCAGTTGATTTTTTCACTGGGTATAGGAGAAAAACATTGCAACTGGTCCGTAATTCCATTTTGACCAGCAGGTTTCAGATCCTTAGGGCCTAAGACATAACCAATTTTTCTTACATGCACATTTTAATTTAGAATTTGAAAATAGAAAAATAATTTCTAATTCATTTTAGATTAATGAAAGTGATGAAACCTCGATTTAGGTAATCACATTTTATTCATTGGGATGCAGCTATCATTATCCATTCATTTTCTGTTGTTTGCTACTCTGTGGAGTACAATAGAGGAGTTTCTAAATGATTTTGAAATCTTGCTAATTCTCGTTTTTTCATGAGATTTGCACATTTTACCTCTAATGACTTACTTTTCTTTGTTTTTAATATCATATTTGAATTCAGTGATATGTTTCCTACAATAATAGCTTTGATGTACACATTTATGTCACTTAAATCATTCTCCATGACATTTTAAAAAACTTGGGCCAAATCTCCATTGATGTTATGCTAAAATTCTTTAAAACCATGGTTTAATCGTATGACAACCAACATTTTCATGTTTAATCACAATATGTTCATTGACAGGGTCATTTAATGGTATGCCATTCAAGTTTCAGACAGATTTAACTAACACTCTTTGATAAATCATGGAAATAAGTGACTATTGCAAGCTTTTAGCATAGAACTCAATTGAAGGTTGGCCCAAGATGAACAAAGGTGACATCTATTATGTCAGCTTTATTCAGCTTTATTTAGCTATTTAGAAACTATACTATTGGGAATTGAAGCAATTGTAGAAGTGGAGACTAAGAGAGGCTCTTTGTAAAGAAATTGAACCAATTTGTTACTTTAAAAATGCAAAAGAAAGGACAAATCTGAAAAACATACTAGTAATAAAATAACTAAAAAGATCCCAGATGTTCAGTGAAAAGCGCAAAGTAAATCATAGATGAAGAGAAAATAAAATAAGTGTTTTAAGGGACTATACTAACATAAAGATAACTCCTTATTGATATAGTGTATGGTCAGTAAAAGTTAAAGCTAGTTTAAATAGATTTAGCTTTTTTCCAAAAACTATAAAACATCATTTTGAAAGAGATTTCAATAGTTGAGCAATGTAGTGCAAAATATGACAGTTACTATTTGTTTTGATTACTATATCTAGTATATAACCTATTATTATGTACTCTATTTGAAGAAACAAATAAGTAGTCTTTCATTTTCAACATTTATAATGATGACAGCTTCGTATATGCATTTCTATTGCATTTAGCCATTCAAACCCCTATAAGACCTGGTAGCAGGGAAGATAAAGGGTACTTTTGACTGCTCACATGATCTAATTAACTGGTCATTTGTACTTTTCATCTTCCCTGGTAGCAAGGATTTACGTTTTCGAGGAAATTAGTAATTCTATTTCATATCATGTGGCCATGAATAATCCAATGAGCATCCATTATACAAAGAGTAATTGAGGGCATATAATTTGAATATGCATGGGATTACACATACTGTCTCATTTTATTTTTTTGATCTACTTGTAATAGTTCTAAAACTAAAACATGAAAGGCCAGGCATGCAAACTGGCATGGTATTGTGTTACAAAACATTATTTCATTCTAGATACAATAACATGCATATTGGCATACTTCGTTTTAATATAAGATTGTTATAACTCCAAGTTTTGCAAGTCACATGACCAATTCTTAGAGAGTTGATTGGTTGAAACAGTTGATATCAGATATGACAATTTGAAATTAGAAATAAGCTGTTTGTCTGGAGATGGTACAATTTCACACTGAATTCTAGCGTAATGAGAGGGAATTGAGATGGGGCATGTATCTGAGATGAAAGCCTGTGTTTCAAATAGTAAAATTCCATGTCTATCTCAATTTTTTTGAAAATGGCAGTTAGTACAAAGTTATTCTCACGCGACGATTTGTATATCTTGGATTGCTTCTAGTTTGGCTTATAAAGTGTGTGGCCTCTTATATTTGGATGTTTCTCTGCCATGTTATTTTCATTAAGATTAACATGGCTGAAATTCTTCAAATTACAAGACGGCACAGGCTTATTGCACAAAAAACTAAAAAATCTGAAATATACAAATGTCATTCATGTACATTATGAATATACTTTTCCATATATTATTGCACAATAGTCTCCCAATTTCTTATTTTTGCCGTTCTACTGACGAACTGAAGCAGTGAAATGGACTTTAGGAAATCCTTTTTTGTTTTCTGCTCATCAAGGATCAAGAAAAAGTATTTTCTTCATCATAGGCGCATCTAATGTGATTTTGACTGAACAAGATCTTGTGGTCCCGATTGGATTTATATATAGGATGTCTCAAAAATGTACCCAAAAGAATATCAACAGCAAAGATAAACCAATCAATATTTTCAGATATTTTTTGCATGGTTATTTAGACAAAACATGAACGTTTTCTTCCCAATACTAAATTTTTACTCAAGTCATACCATGTGTTAAATAACCTCCTCATATTTCGATGACAGCCTGCATCCTTTCTCCTACATTGTCGATCACATTTCAAAATGTTTCTGGTGGAATGTTTTGAATTTCTTTTCAGATGTTGGCCTTAAGTAGTTCTAGGTCTCTTGGGTTGGGACTGGCATAAACATGGTTTTTCAAGTTACCCCAGCGATGTCAAATAGGGTGTCTAATCTGTTGAATAGAGAGGCAACCACAATGTCCTTGTGTGACCCTTGATGAACGTGGAGGGGCTCAATTTTTTGAGACTAAAGTGTTCTCATTAATTGGATATTAATCAGTCTCCATAAGCTTATCCAAAGCCAAAAAGACCTAGAGCAATGTAAGGCCGATATCCAAAGAGAAATTCAAATCCAGAAACAAAATCAATTGTGATGAACAATGTAGCATGAGAATGCAGTCTGTCATCGAAATATGAAATAAAAAGTGAAGGGTTAAACCATCAAAAAAGGCAAGTCTGAACTAAAAGTTGTGTATTGGGGAGAAAACTTACATGCTTTAGCTACATGACCATGCGAATTGTCTGAAAATATTGATTGGTGTAGCTGTGTTGTTGATATGTTTTGGTAACATTTTTTGAGACACCCTGTATATGCAGTCCATGAATTATATGCAATCTGCAAACGAATTTTGACGCTTTTTTAAATTACATACATATGATTCACCGGAGAGTCGTAGCTAAAGACGTCATCTCGTCCGAACGTCCCCACCTTATTTCCATCACGATAATGATCAAGATAGCCTGCTTTTCCTACAAGAACAAGAACCTACTGAACAAAAATACCATCATAATACGCGAAAACGTGATAGGGATATCAAATGTTCACATTTAAAGTTTTTCACTTTTGCCTGGCTACATGTAACCAAATAATACTATTTTCGAAGTTTCAACATATTCGAGTTGACACGTCTGTCTATACATATGTCTATGCTTTTGAGAATGATTAGAAAATCAAATAAATTATATTTTCAATAATGTCCAGTAAGAGGGGAAAACCGGAGATCAGAGATACCTTGAACCTACCAAGGTAATGCATATGTAGAAGAGCACCCAGTATGTAAATGGGATCGGGCATGAGATGTCGAGTACATTTGGACGATGCTCTTGCAGTGGCTGTGTGAATCTCCAGTCCTCCCTCAATCTTAAGGTAACGTTGACCAACTAAAAAATAACCAGCATCATATTGCCTTTTATTTGGAGTGTAGAATAGCGTCAAACCAGAGCTGTCTGTGTAATCAGAGCGCAATTCGGGGTTGTTCCAGTGCATCTGGAATATTAAGAAAGCACAAAGGTTACAATTTAAAACAATAATCATTTCATACATTTATATGATTATTATTCAAGTCTGCAAATCAAATGGATCTTAAAAATGAAATAGACATTTGAATAACGTAACAATAGTTAGGCAAAGTGAACTAATAAAACATGTTTGCTCCCGGATCTTAAAACGATGGGAATATGAATGATTTGGACCTTAGCCTACATTTATTGTTAATACATGATTTATCCTTAGTAGATTATGAGGATTAAGTATGAATTAAATGTTATTATTAACACCTTGCCGGGTCAGTTCCAGGGGTTTTAGTGCTAGTTTAGAAGGCATCCATTTTACTATATCGACCTGAGCAATATGACGTCATAGTGGCGGTCCATATTGCCGGTCAAGAATGCAATTAATGACCGGCAATTTTTCCTGGGAAATTAGATATCGTTCAGTGCGTAAGATTTTCTTGCTGTTTCAGTCCTGGATTAACGGTGGTAATAATACTAATAACGTCATCTCTGCGGGCAATATAGTAAATATTGGACCTTGGGCCTTCGCCTCTCGGTCCAATATTTCACTATATTGCCCTTCGAAATGACGTTATTGTACTATTGAATTCTCGTGTATTAATTACAATAATGATAGTTACAATCGAAACATGAAAAAAATTCTCAATATTTAAAATTCTTAACATGTATTGTTTTTTAAAAATTCAAAAGTTTATAACATTTAGCAGTAGGTAAAATTAATATAGGGCCATGGTTATACACGTTCTGTACTGATGAACGAAAAAAGCACCGTACGAAATTCCTGGGAATTGCTGATGAGCGGGTGATATATATATATATATCCCGCTCACCTCAGCGAGAGATATTCTTGTGTATCTCATACTTAAGTGGGTTTGGGGTAGATATCACTCGGGAATATATATCATATCTGAGGAGCGGGCAGGATATATTGTATATGTCCCGCTCCAGGCCAAATACGGGCAGATATAATATATCCATCCCGCTCCCGGGAATTTTTCAAAAGTTTAAAAAAGTTTTAAAAAATTTTAAAAAGTATGAGATACACCAGTTTTGCATGGTCGGTTTGGATACATGGAATATCCCTTGGGATATACAATACATCTTCCCTCGGTCCCTTTGGTCCCTCGGGAAGATGTATTGTATATCCCTCGGGATATTCCTTTTATCCAAAACCTCCCAGTGCATAACCCCTATGTATCTCATACTTTAGTGGGTTTGGGGTAGATATCACTCGGGAATATATATCATATCTGAGGAGCGGGCAGGATATATTGTATATGTCCCGCTCCAGGCCAAATGCAGGCAGATATAATATATCCATCCCGCTCCCGGGAATTTTTCAAAAGTTTAAAAAAGTTTAAATATCAAAAGTTTTAATTTTTTAATTTTAAAATTTAATTTTTTTAAGTTTAAATGTTACAATTTCATTGTATTGAACAAAAAGAATATTACAAAAATGTTAAATATAAATATCTTGTCATTTGAAAAAGGTGGAAAAGGTTATATCTATCCTAAACCCACTCACGTATGAGATACACCAGTTATGCACGGTCGGTTTGGATACATGGAATATCCCTTGGGATATTCCCTGTATCCAAAACCTCCCAGTACACAACCCTTATATATATCACCCGCTCAGTTTAGATATAAATTATATTCCCACATTTTATCCCTATAACACTACTAAGTAGAGGATAAATGGTTAGATACGTACCTCATGACCGCATATTTGTATCCGTTTTTGCCTATTCTGAAAGCAGCACGCTTATCAAAACACTCTCCTGCTAGGCCAAGAGTCCAAGTACTAATTATGTTCCTGCATACAGTGTCCATCCCACACAGTGTGGGTTTGGCAAACCTTTTGCGAGCATCATTTTCACCCGTTAGATCCCCTGGAAGAAATCAACGACAAGTACTGTAATATTACGCATCGTGAGAGATCTCATCCTTCTAAGGGTCGACTAGCTAGTTTTGAAAATAGAAAGAGACTGCAATGCGTGTCAGAATGGTTATCGTGCAAATAGAGTACATGGCTGATTACATACGTGTAGACCTACATATATCACTGGTCAGTATCAAGCGAATGTAACGGCCGTTACCTTCGCATCAAAGATGGCGGACAGTAGGTGTCGATTTCGATATTTTTAGTTTTCATCGAATTAACCTACTTTGTCGTTGATGCTTTGATATTTGAACCATATCAGACACATATGACATTTTAACTCTAAAGTATGATCATTTGTTCATATGCGGTAACGTTATGAGTGTCTATAATGGAGAGCTATAAGATGCCCAATTACCGTGTATGAAAAAACATGACCGTTACCGTATCATACATTTCAAGTTACCTTCCCTTAAGCGGTGGAAGATGTCGTTGAACTACGTGGCGCCAACGCATGAGTGAACACATCATTATACTCCAGAGTTCCCATATCAACGTAGAGATTGTCACCCAACATTTGTACCTAACCCCCCTATCACACCAAACTAGTTCTTACCCGTTCTTGCCAGTCCTACGAAAACGTCGTAAACGGGCTCAATCTGGCTGTGGTCGGGAAATATGTCTTAAATAATTAGCTATATTCGTTCACAAACAGTCTTCAATACGTCCATCTCATTCGCAGTTCGTTCAGGTCGCACCACGTCGATGTGCAACGTCGTATAACGCACGTCCCCTAGTCTAGAAGGTCATCATGACCTGATTACAGAACGGTATGGTCTGTAAAAAAATTCTAAATCACAATCCCCGTCCGGGAAAGTCCATGAAGTTCGTAAACATACCGTAGAACGTTGTAGCTACGATCATTCCGCTCGAACGTTCTTAATAAGTTTTAACCCGTTTGCAATTAGTTCTACCTCGTTCTCAATACGTCCTCAGACAGTTCAACTCGTTGTAAAAACGTCCCAAGTAGGATTGAAGTACGACGGTTCCGTTCGTAGTACGTCCAGCTCGTCGTTAGTAGGTTGTCACTCGTTCTAATTGTAGAACGTGACGACCAAGAGAACATTTTGAGCATGTTCTAAGTTCTAGAGGACCTACCCGTTGGAGTACGTTCGATGAAGTTTGTAAATAGACCCCAAACAGTTATAAGTACGTCCAGTCCGTTCTCACACAGTTGAAGCCCGTTTTCGAGAACGTAGTGAGAACTAGTTTGGTGTGATAGTAGGGTAACATGTGTATGAATTTGAAGATATTCCGACAGACGGTTTTCCTGGAATCGCCAAGATGAAGATTTAGTGGCAAACTTTCAAAATGGCTGTCACAAAACAAGATATTCTCCCAAAAGACATCCAGCTTTATGTAAAACCTGGCACCCTCTAACACGTGTACGAAATAGAAGAAAATCCAATTAGCGGTTTACAAGATCTGTGCAAAATTTTCAAAAATTGCTGCCAGAAAATAAAATGGTCACCCAAAAGTTTATCAGCCGTAGAATTTTGCACACTCAAACGTGTGTCGTGGAATCGCGATAACTTCAAGAACAATTTATCGAAAAACTTAAAATTGGCTACAAGAAAATCAGCTGACCGTCCAAAAGCTAATCTACTGACACAAAACTTGGAAGTAGTTCGCTCTAAATTAACTACTATCATAACGACTTTAAATTGTCATGTGATAAAATATCAACTTTGAATCATAATTGAGACATACCTTCTTTACATCCAAACAGCAACATGTGATGCATTACGTATGTATTGTTGATGATTGGAGTTGTTGCAATAAGATGATAATCTCCATCCTCCGGCAGCTCTACCGTAATACAATAATAATTCGTCTCTAGAGCAGGCACCTGCGTTGGCGGGAAACGAACACTGACATTACGAACGTCATCTTGAGAATCAAGAAAATGTCTTATATTAATTTGATTTGAAAATTGAATAAAACGTAATTTAAAATATCATGCCAAAAAGGGCTAAATATCTTTACTTTGTCTTTGACGCTTTGATTTTTGAGCTTTTTGTCTATAGGCCTACCTTGAAACTATATTTTGTATTTTCTGTTCCCTCAATTTTTGCCACAAGCAATTGTGCTTCCCATTCAAACTATATGATCCAAGTCACATCATTGACATTTCAATATATTAACATTATAAGTTCTGTTTTGTTTAGAAGCTTTATTTGTATTTTGTAATCAATTGCCGAAAACTACATATGATGTACGTTAATCTACAATACCCGTTGCATCCATAGCTGGGCAAGAGAAGAGTTCGCTGTCACAAAATTCCCACTGATTGTGTGCTAAACATTCTGCAGAGTCCCAAGGCTCACATACACCTATAAATGAAATATATAGATTTATTGCTTAATCTTTCATGTGTGTAGATCACAATACTGCAGGCGTACAAATTGAAAACCATGCTAGTATACATGTTTTTACAGTGAAACCATTTCGAAACTTACGTTACTAAGAGTGTTTCCCGTTTACCTGGGTGCGAAATGTCTTTAGTTGATTCAGGAGCCTCTCCTTCCGTCCATTCACAGTTAGGATCTCCAAGTTCAACACCATTTGTTTTCCCATCATTGTCAGAATCAGCGTTACACAATTTAGCATCCCATACCTAAATGTAATCACATTGTCCGACACAAAGTCATATCCAACCAATACCTTAAGATAAGTCTGCATGTTCGGAATTTTGCTGCATTGCTCAATTGACTCGCATTTTCTTTTCAAATAGGAATCACTCCTTCCCCACATTGTCTACACCTTTCAGTTTTGCACAAATAGTGCACTAATAAACCTAGGAAAGACTTGTGAAAAAATTTGTTTTGTAAAATGTATAAAAAACGACAAAATTCAGTGACAGAAGGTCATGTGATTAAACCAGATCAACTTCATGCAAATAAATATGAATAACGCCTAAGGACGAATAGAACTATGTGACTTATTAGGTGAAAACAACTTTTATATAGGAATTGAGTTTTAAATTTCAATGACATATAATGTTGGCATATAAATGGTTGGTTTGCTAACACAGTTGTGATTTTAATTCCAATATACATAAAAATGTCAGAAATACCTGGTCTCAACGGCGTCTTTGCCTTTCATTTTTATCTTAATTGGAAATATTTTTGTCAAAAAACAAAATGGCCTCTAAAACATACTAAATAAGTTGTCAAATGGTACATTTTATTTTTTTCAATAGTGAGAAAGGAACATTGGGAAACAACTCCCAAAATCCGAAGTAATGATTTAATGTACAAAAACGTGTCTAGCGCATCGTCTACTTTCCACCAATTCATAAATCAAAATCCTAGAAACAACAGTAGAGAGTTCATTCACTAGTCTACTGACAAAAATATGACTTAAGTTATTAATAGTTATATCTGAGACTAACCATGAGCTTTCATCCAGATAATTGAAAGCCCATGGACTAACACAAATAAACTCACGTTATATTAAAAAGTTAAATCTGATTCTAAAGGTTCTCAACGCTCAATTTATTGAATTTCTGAAAAAGTGACCCAATATACAAAACAAGCCCCCCCCCCCCTCAGTCACACCATGGGGGATGAAGGCCTAAAATATTATCATAAACAGTCTTCAATACACGAACCTACTCAGTTAACTCATTTTTTTGATAATCAACTTCGAACTTTACCGTTTTAGTAAGTCCGTCAATTTTGTTTGTCATTCGTTCTATTTCATATGACACATAGCTTACGCATGTGTATTGTTGAAAAGCACAAGTACTCCATGTAAAAGAAATCATCAACTTCATAAATATTATCACAACACTTGATACATATGTGACATATATCTTTGGATAATCGAAAATTTAAGTAATTTACTTAAAGAAGACATCAAAGATATCACTAGGGTAATAGTAAACATTAAAGTAGCTTTTCTTAACCCCAAATAATAACCCAAATACCTTTCCATTTGCTGCAAACGCCAATCCAAATGCGTTCCTCTCCCCTCCACCCATCGAATTCTTATGTCCTACCCCCTGCCACACGTAGTTAGGCTTACATGGGTGGGGAATTTTGTTTCCATTTGGTATTTTATCTTGGAAGTATTTAAATCCCATAGCTTCATTGACTGAGCAAATAATATACAACAAATATAATTTGAAGTCCATATTGATGTTAAATATGAAATGCCACTGAAATTATTGTATTTTCGTTTGAAACAATTTTACCCTCTAAGATGTATCTGCAGACTGACTCGGTTTAAATTATCACTATGTTGCATTGCTCTGAATATAAATAAGGTGTCCCTATACATAATACGAAGTGGCAATGTTACCCTTTATTTCAACCTAAAGGGTGAATCAGAGGTACTTTTTAGAAATAACATTTCTCTGAATAATTTAGGTTATTATTGTCATATCTGTTTTAAAATTATTCAATGTTAATATGTTAGAATTATATAAGAATGCAAAATATATATATCCCTTATTCAAGGACATGAATGAAGATTACCTTTTTGTTTCCCCTTACTATTCCTCTTCCGTGACATATCCTACCTTTAATACAGTAAAGTCACAATACCCCAATACGCATGCGAAGATCACAGGATCAACATTTACTAGCAACGTATACAAGCATTAAAAATGAACTGCCAGTAGATAAAAAACATGTCAAGAATGATTATTTCTAGTAAACCTGTTTCCTTTGAAAAAATAATATGTTTAGGATGTAGTAATAACTATGACCTTGATCAATACATAAGCTAAAGAGTTGAGGTGACTCCAACCAGCTTGCTGTCATTTTCCAGTCATCATTGGCCATTCCAGACGGAGCCCCAGGTGATAACACAATGCATCTATTAGATTCCTAGATGCAGTCGTTCCATATATTGATAATAAGAGAACAGTTACAGTGCAATCTGATTGGATGTATAACATACCTATCATGATGTATAGTGCAAAGTGTACACAAGACAGCGGGCCAATATAAGTTTTGAAAAGCCCGCGCCCGCTAACTTTCTGATTGGTCAAGGCGCTGACGTCATAACCAATCAATCGAAGATAAAACTGCGCGAGCAATTTTTCTAAACTCATAGTTTTCAAACCATTTGTTTGTCAATTCTATAAGAAAATGGTACTCTCTGACCAGTCTACATCATCATAGGTATGTTATAAATCGTTTATGTCACTATCGTGGCACATATGCCCTCGGTTCTCAGAGATCAATGTCCCTCCCAAGGTCGGGCCATATATCACGGAGACCTCGGGCATATATGCCACGATAGTGACATAACCTCTAAATACAATGTATTTGAATGATTTATATGTAAGCGCAATGATTTGCTTCTGAGCATTAAAAATGAACTGCCAGTAGATCAAAAAACATGTCAAGTATGATTATTTCTAGTAAACCTGTTTCCTTTGAAAAAATAATATGTTTAGGATGTAGTAATAACTATGACCTTGATCAATACATAAGCTAAAGAGTTGAGGTGACTCCAACCAGCTTGCTGTCATTTTCCAGTCATCATTGGCCATTCCAGACGGAGCCCCAGGTGATAACACAATGCATCTATTAGATTCCTAGATGCAGTCGTTCCATATATTGATAATAAGAGAACAGTTACAGTGCAATCTGATTGGATGTAAGATTCTGATATAACGTCACTGGCGGATCCAGAAGCTAACAAGGGGAGGGGGGAGGGACATTTCAAATCAGAAAAAACTTTGGGCCCAAATTTTGAAATTTAAGGCCTAATTTGGATAATTTGGCCTAAATAGGCCCAAAAGGCCAAGTAATGCCCAAAAGGACCCACTAATTAAGGCCCAACGACATTTATGGGCCCAAACAATGGGCCCGCCAAGGGAGGGGGGGAGTGGCAGGCCCCATTACCATATGTTTTAATGGATATTAAACAACACTTACGTACGTAGTAGCAACACAATACAGAGTGTCTCAATAAAAATATTAAGTAGAAAATGGTCAATATACACTGGCGGATTAGGGGGGGGGGGGGGGGGGGGCTGGGAGCCCGGACCCAGAAAAAAAAATTGGGCCCAAATTTTTTTTTGGGCCAAACAAGGCCTTCAGGCCCCCAAAAGTGGGCCTTTTTGGTCATTACTGGGCCTTTTAAGGCCTTATTTTTCAATTTCAGGCCAAATTTTGAAGAAAGATTTCAAATTTTGGGCCCACTTTTGGATTTTAGGGGCCCAACATTTTTTTCAAAGATTGTATCATTTAGAGCAATATATTGGGCACATTTTCTGAAAAATTCGAAAGATTCTGTTCAGTGACCTTTCCTACCTCCGTCTTTTAGCTATTTTTCAGTCACATTTTCAGAGGGCTGAAAAGGTTATTTCTTCATGTTTAGGGTTATTCTGGCCATGAACATTTTGATCCTGGACCTGTAAATATAGGTATTTGGAACTTTGACTGGAGGTCAAAACAGAACTCTGTTATCTTTGTTCAAAAAATGTTTAAAAATGCAAAAAAAGTTGTCACTTCCTGTTTTGTCATTTCCTGTTAACTTCCATAGCACCTTAACAGGAAATGACAAAACAAAAAATGACAAAACCATGCTGGATTTTAAAAATTTTTTGAACCAAGATAACCGAGTTCTGTTTGGACCTCCAGTCAGTTTAACTAGTTCCAAATATCATTTACATGACCGGGAACATAATGAAAATGGTCAAAATGACCATAACCTTTTCAGCCCTCTAAAAATGTGACTGAAAAATAGCTAAAAGTAGGTGCTCAGGAAAGGTCCATGAACAGAATCTTTTGATTTTTTCAGAAAATGTGTCCCAACTATATATTGCTCTAAATGATAAAATCTTTGAAATTTTAAAAAATTGTCGGAAACAATAATGGCTGTAGTAAAAAGGAAAATACATCAATTTTCAAACCATTTTTTTTCATTTTTTCTTTTTCTAAGAATGATACCAATCTTTTTAAAATTGTATCATTTAGAGCAATATATTGGACACATTTTCTGAAAAAGTCAAACGATTCTGCTCAGCGACCTTTCCTGAGCACCTACTCTTAGCTATTTTTCAGTCACATTTTCAGAGGGCTGAAAAGGTTATTTCATCATGTTTATGGTTATTCTGACCATTTCCATTGTGTACCTGGTCATGTTAATGATATGTGGAACTAGTTAAAGTGACTGGAGGTCCAAAAAGAACTCTGTTATCTTGGTTCAAAAAAATTTGAAAATCCAGCATGGTTTTGTCACTTTTTGTTTAGTCATTTCCTGTTAACTTCGTTAGTGGCATTTCCATTATTATTGTTTGCTGTGGCTTGTTTTATATTACTGTATGCATGTATTGTTTTATGTTGTAAATAAATATCTGTAAACCGTGTTAATTTTATCCGATTGTTATCTTTTTAAATACCCTCGGTCATTTGTTCCTTTACTCAGCTATATTTTCAGTACCATCTCAATACCCCATATTAAGGTCCCATTACATAGGGAATATATTGCGGTACGTGCATCATCAAACGAAAAAATTGAACAAAGTTCACTTGTGTTAAATATGATTTTCTTGAATCAATACTGGATGACTGAATTATTACTATTTGTTTGCGTTACTTTTTTGCTCACCCTGTATAAATAATAAACTTGTTTGCAAAAATATAGTCGTACAATATAAGATATTGATTTATGAACCGAAAACCCTGTAATCGACATGTAATATAAGCGTAAATATATATATCAGGTGTAAGCATGCTGTGAAATCTATCTAGAAAATTAACAGAGCGAAATGACATTAAGCCTGTTAAATGTCAAGGAAAATAACTATTATCGTATGTCACGTATTCACCCTATGCAGACAGAGCCTGTGGGAAATATTGGGTGCGGAGCAAATGAGCGGAGGGTGCGGAGCTAACGGTCATTTTTGAATTTAAATTTGGGATATTTCTGAAACTAAGCCGTTTTCGGACTTCAAATATACCAAGATATGTGTATTTGACACCAAATATCAATACAATTGTGAAAATAGTAGCGCAATTCATTCTATAGCGACGCAGTGTGCCTTAAAACTTTCCCAGACCTATATATTTTGAAATTATCCTGTTAATACTGAGTCCCCAGCATTCATAAAAAATGGTGTTCAAGGTACACTATCTATACAAATTATTTTTGCATCTTGGAAGCCAGGCAGTATCTGTGTGATTTTATAAAAATTCGGAAATGTTCTTCAGATATGAGCCCCCTCTAAATATTGGGTGCGGAGCTACGTTTATGGAGCTATAAACGTAGCTCCGCACCCAATATTTAGAGGGGGCTCATATCTGAAGAACATTTCCGAATTTTTATAAAATCACACAGATATTGCCTGGCTTCCAAGATGCAAAAATAATTTGCATGGGTAGTGTATCTTGAACACCATTTTTTATGAATGCTGGGGACGCAGTATTAAAAGGATAGTCTCAAAATATATAGGTCTGGGAAATATTTAAGGCATACTGCGTCGCTATAAAATGAATTGCACTACTATTTTCACAATTTTATTGATATTTGGTGTCAAATACACATATCTTGGTATATTTGAAGTCCCAAAACGGCTTAGTTTCAGAAATATCCCAATTTTTAATTCAAAAATGACCGTTAGCTCCGCACCCTCCGCTCATTTGCGCCGCACCCAATATTTCCCACAGGCTCTGTCTGCATAGGGTGGTATTGTATTCCGTATGGAGAAAGAGTAATAACTGGATCACATTTGTTCCGATTCATCGGCCCGGCCGACGCCCGCCCGATTGAGTATTTTGTTCAAAATTGTAGTTTTGACCAGAATACTCAATCGTCCGGGCGCCGGCTGATGAATCGGAACGAATGTGACCCAGGCATCAGCAAGATCTATAGGTGATATAGTCCATGGTATCGAAATCTCTATGACGTCTAATAAAGGAGTACCCTGCGTTCAGAGTCTAGTTAAACTACAGAAGACAAAGCTCTCTTTTCAGAAGAGAAGTCAAACGAATGCAAAGGGTAAATACGAAGCTGTATAAGGGACATGAATTTTTTTTCGGAATTAAGAATTTTCGTTTTTTTTTAATTAAATTTTTCGATTTTTGAATTAGATTTTTTTATTCTTTTTTCGCCTCGGTGGAAATTCGGCGTGTCATGA